ATGCTGTCACCATTCTGGAACATAGTGCTCTGTGGCTTTCTGTTTAAAGCAAAGTCTTTTACTTTTGCAGTTTTGAGGCTACAAATCATGGCGACTTGCTGCTGATTGTGATGCCCTAAAGCTTTTTTTTTTTTTTTTTTTTTTTTTGGTACTAAGGATCAAACTCACAACCTCATGCTTGCTGGACAAGCATTTATGCCACTGAGTTAAATCCCTGTCCCCACTGAGCTAAATCCCCAGCCCTCTAAGGGCTAAATCCCCATCTTTTATGTTCTCTTCTTTCTCAACAATAGAGATCTCAGCCCTATCTTTATAGTCCACAGCTTTACTGCAGCTTTATTCTTGGCCAGACTCACGTTTTAAATCATTCTGATGGACTCTTTGCTCTGGATTTGCTATGTAAATCTGGCTAAAAGTCTTCAGCAATAGCCATCGCACCACCTCAACATTTGACTGCCTTGAAATTTTTTTGTTTTTTTGGCAGTACCAGGGATCAGACTCATGACCATGCTCTCGCCAAGCAGGCACTTATGCCACTGAGCTAAATCCCCAGCCCTTGAAATTTCTTTTGCCAACTTAATGAGTTCAATCCCCCTAGTTTCAGGCAAAATTTTTGGACATAAGCAAAATGCAGAGAAACGTTTTGCCACAATATATAACACACATCATCTGGAGTCCAGCAACCAGTGCAGTCCTTCCCAGCAGGAACCTCCTAAGCCTGGTTTTTACTAGTTTTCTGATTTTCTGAGCTTTGACAAGACGAGGCTGTTCCAGCTCTACACTTTCTCTAATCCTCTGGACCTTTCCAAACTGACCACAAGCCATTCCCAAAAGCTCTTGAACCACAGGGTGAGGTGTGGTCACAGCAATAACCCCACTCGTGGAGCCAAATTCTGTCTTGGTTACTTTTCTCTTGTTGCTGGGACAAAAATACCTGACACCCAGAATTAAGGAAGAAAAGGTTTATGTAGCTCACAATTTTTGGAGGTTTCAGTACATACTCAGTTGTCTCCAAGGCAAGGTGGCATGCCTAAGGGGCAACCATTCACAGCAGCCACAAGTGACAAGCATGAAAAGGGCAAAAGGAAAAAGCACACCTCCTTCCATCCCTCATATTGTATGCTGGCTACCTGGGTCTGGGAAGGTGCAGCACCGTCAACTCCAGCACTAAACAAACTGATCACAAACTCTTGACTCAGCCACCTTTGAAAGGCCACCTTGCTCACGACTGTATGAGCCTGTGGGAGGATATTTAAACATGAACCATAACAAGGAGGGTAAAGTATATGACCAGCCTAGTTCTAAACCTTTTATATACATTAATATCATGAGGTACATGAGATTTATATCATCATACAGCTATAGAAACTGAAGCACGGAGAAGAGAAATAACAGCCTTGGTCATTTAAGTAAGTTTTAAGTTGCTGAACCAGAATTAAACCCCAGACAGTCTATCCCTCCCTCTCTCCCTCAGGCTGATCTAAAATTGTTCCTGGGTTCAAGTAATCCTCCTGCCTCACCCTCCTGGGGTTACAGATGTATGTACTACACCTCTCCGTTTTTCTTCATTCCTCCAGTCTAGAGGAACATCTCTGTCTACAAGTTGTACTCTGGTTTCACCCCATCCTGCCTCCTTGAAGACCGTTCTGAGAATTATTCTTTTCTTTTTCCTGGGCCTTTGGTCTCTATCTCTATTTGGGCTTTTGCTGTTCAGCATATGAATATTACCTGTTGTCAGTCGTTATCATTGAAAGTTACTCTTTACTATTGAGGAGAGGTTTTTAAAAGTTTACCCAGAGTAATACTATGGCAAATAGCTATCAACATTCATTACTTTATTTAAATTCCAGGTACTGTGTATAATCTCCTTTTAATAAGCATACTGATATTTCACAGGTGAAAAAAATGAAAGCTCAGAGGTCTATATCATTTGCTTAGCTTAGGAATCGTAGCACTGAATTCAGACTTCTTACTCCAAAGCCTAGTCTGTTTTTAACCTAATATGCTAGTTTATCACAAACTTTATAAACTTTCATGATCCTCTGCCTTGCCTCTACTTTTATAGTTCTGCTTTTTGTAGGAAAACTTCTAAAAAATATTTAATATTCATAAGCCTCCATTTACTTCTCAACCCATTCAAAGCTAACTTCCACTTTTGTGTCATTCAGTGTCCTCCAAAAGAAACAACTGGTAGGGGTGTGTGTGTACATATGTGCCTGAGAGATTGTTTTTAAGAATTGGCTCAGTTGATTGTACAAGTTACCAAGTCTGAAATCTGTAAGACATGTCTTTAGGCCATGAAAACTCGCAAGATTTCTATGTTGCAGACTTGAGAATTTCTTCTTTAGCTAATGAGATAAGTCCTGCCCATATTACAAAAGCTAATCTCTTATCCAAGTCAATTATTATAAATGCTAACCATATTTATAAAATACCTGCACTGCAACTTTTTAGAGAAGTTTTTGGCAAACACCTTGGCAACAACAGCCTAGCCATACTGATACATGATTCCCATGTCAACTTCTGTCATTCCAACATGTCTTGTTTGCTAAGTCCAGTGGATACTTTTCCCATCTTAGCTTTCTTGATCATTAGATCACATTTGATACTTCCAACCATTCATTACATTTTTAAACCTTCTTCTTAATGTCCTTGGCCCTCTTACGACTTCAGTCATTGATGTCTCCCAAATCAAAAGTTCCATCTTAGAATTCCCTTTTGAGCTTCAGACCTATATATCCAGTTGTCTACTGCATGTCTCTACTTGAATGTTGCACAGACACCTCACACTTCACTTGAAATCCTATTCTTCCCCTCTCAAACTTATTTTGCATCTTTACTGTTCTTTAAGTTGGTGGTATCTTCTCCACCCATTTACCCAACCAAGAACCCCAGGGGAATCTGCAGTTCCTCGTATTTACCAAAAATCATCTCATCCCCTTGCCTATCTCAGCCAAGAAAACTCAACCCTCATTTTCTCACACCTGGAATTCTACACATACTCTCCTAGTGAATCCCTTTCTAGCTCCTATACACTGCTGTCAAGATGATGTAAAAGCACAGGTCTGAGCCAGGTCTGGAGACTGAGGCAAGTGCCAGTCCAGCCTGGGCAACTCAGTAATTTAGGGGGACTTTATCTCAAAAAAATAAAATTTAAAAACTGGGGATGTAGCTGAATACAAAGGTCCTACATTTAGTCCCCAGTACCACCAAGAAAGAGAAGAAAAAGAAAATCTGGGAGTGCGTATGAAATTCAGTGAGTGTAGCAACAGTGTGTTTATGTAGTGTACAAGAAGCCCTGGGCTAGATCCCAGAAACCAAAAAAAAAAAAACCCGTTTCATTGTATTGCAATTCCTTCAGTAGCTTCTAATCGCCCACAGAATTAAGAGGCATACGAGGCCCTGTACACTGCGTCTTTCATGCTGCTGTTCTCTTACTGCACATCAGACACCCAGTCTACTTTCAGGTTTTTTTGTTTTGTTTTGTTTTTTTGTTTTTGGTACTGGGGATTGAACTCACAACCTCGCGCTTGTCAGGTGAGCATTTACACCACTGAGCTAAATTCCCAGCTACCCAGTCTACTTTCAAATCATACTGAACTATTTACAGGGCCCGAGTTGCATGTTATCTCTGCAACACATACTGTTTCTTCTTTGCATATTCCCTACCTCTCTTACTCCCCTGCCTCCTTACTTGCTGCCTAGGCCATCAAGAAAGATTATTTCAGGATCTAGGTCAGTCATCTTGGTACAGCCATCTGCAGTTCCGCAGACAGATTTGATCGTGCTTCCTTTCTGGCATTACTATGATTATTTCCATGTCTACTCTGGCACCTATTCTTATTGTATAATTTATTTTCTGTTTGTCTGAGTATTAGCTTTCAATGGACTGTGAGCTCTCCAGCTATTTTTATGGGCTAACAAATTATGGGACTCATCAGATACGTGGTGCTGGTGGTGATGGTAGAGATGATGTGCCCAAAGTGGATTAGCCATTCATTTAAGACTAGGCCTCCATATCAAGGATTCCTAGGCTTGCACACTTGCAGAGGACAATGGTAGGTAGTTGGTTAGTCTCACTTGTCCATTCTTAAGTTGCTCCAAACTTAGCATGAGGTTCTTTTGATTTATACTTCTGTGATAATCTGATACTCATTCTCGGCTTTTGTTCTGTTTATTTTGTTTGTACCCTTGGAGCAGTTAAGAAGAAAGGATATTGTTAAGTTTTACTATTCTATTCCATCACAGAAAAATAATAAGTTCATTCTCATGTGATTCTTCTATACCAAAGAGTCTTTTTCTCAGATAGTGAAAGAGAAAAATTCATGTCAGAGGACAGTTTTCGCTGTACTTTTAAAAGTCTGCCGGTCCCCAAAACATCTCCTTGCCCTTACTGACAAATTAAAAACTAAACTAGTTCTGTATTAACCTAGAGAGGTGAGAGAGTAACTTTTAAGCATCGTTAATAGAATAATGAAGCATTCTTGGCTTTTTTCACTTGAAAATTTTGGGTAACCAAGGGTCCTTCTGTACACACTGGCGTCAGAGAATAGAATTGTCAGTATCTCAATTTAGACTTTGCTGTTACTTCATACGCTAAATACACTTGTAGAAGCTACTTGTGGTGTAACTCCTTATGTATTAAAACACTTACCTGACTCTGGATTGTCTTGATTTTTTTAAATGGGTGAAGAATCTTCTTATGAATTCTTTGCCCTTTATGGAATGTAATATTTAGTTTTAATTCCATTTGTTCCTTCCCCCTTACTTCTTATTGTTTTGCATTGTGTTCCTACAATAATAGCTTGGGCTTGTTTTTTTCCTGAATGTTTCTGCAGTTTGGTTTGAGTATCTGGCTTTGGGCACCGTCCTGAACTTGGACTTCATCTGTACTTGTGACTTTTGAAAGACAGCAGTCAGTATTTTCTGTGGATGATTACCTTTTTTTAATATTATATATGTCTCCCCCTTCCCCTCCTTTTTTTGGCTTTTCTTCAAAGACTGGAAAGAAAGCAGTGAAGGCAGTTCTGTGGGTATCAGCAGATGGACTCCGAGTTGTGGATGAAAAAACTAAGGTAAGGTTTTGATAAGCTTAAATGTGGCTGCTGATACGATTTTTTTTATCACTAATAAGCAGTGTAATGCCATTAACCTGTCTTTGCGACTCTGTACTCTTCTACTTTGTCTGAAGTAAGGGCTTTTGGGAGACTATAACAATTTAGTCACTCATTTACTTCACAAAAAATAGAATTTTCAGAAATATTCCAAGTCCTGAAGGAAAAAAATATGCAACCTAAGTTCATATATCCGTCAAAACTCTCTCTAAAAATTAATGAAGAAATAAGATACTTTGAAGACAAGGAGGAACTGTGGGAGTTCGTGGCCACCAATCCAACCCTACAGAGAGCGCTGAAGGACATTACAGAGAAAGAGAGGAAGAGATATCAGGATTACAGCTACAGTGGCAGAGAAGCCTCAGTGAACGGGGCAGACCATGGAATGAGGGAATAAGGTGGACAAATTATAGCAGAAAAGTGGAGTAGCAGACATGAGGCAGAGACGGTAAGCTAGTCTTTAGTAGAGACAGCTCTGAAACTATATTTAAAAAAAAAAAAAAAAAAGCAGAGGTCATTGCTAATGGTGTATAACGATTTAAAAGACACAGTAGTCCTAGTGACATATTTAGATTGAATTAAATTTGTTCTGGTCTGTCCACTCATATCAGATTTGAGGACACAGACCTCTAGAACCAAAAATAGCAGGTTATACCACGGCAACTATCCTTACTTTCCTATTGACTTAGGCTGAAATTCTGTATTACTTACATTGTCTTACTATGACTGATCTTAATTGTATCTGAATCATAAGACTATTGGTTGGCCTTGACTGATCCTATTTGAAATCGGTATGCGTGTTAGAATCAACCCTAAAAGTAGAGGAAACTACTCTGAGCATGACAGGATGTAAAGGATATCCATACTGGTATGAATCAGTAACAGCTCTCAAATACTACAATGCAGTGAAAGATAAGTTTTTATAAAAATAGGTGATAGTATGTTTAACTATAATAAGCCAGTGTTGTCGACAAATCTATTGAAAATAACAAGAGAAAACATAGTAGCTACGGAAGATCATTTATATTATAGTTTTATAAGTCCTATCCATTGCATGTTTATCTAGGAAATTGTTTCGTTGTCTTGTTATGACTTGGTTTTCCCTATAATACAGAGAGGATAGGAACAAATACTCTGAGGAAGAGACCTGAAAAACCCGAGGCTTATTTTGTAGCAATATAATATAAATTCTAGCAATCTATTGCTTGCTGATTAAAATGACTCTGGACTGGTTTCTTCAGCTCAACTTCAGCATATGCAGAGATGGGGACGGCTATCACAAAGAGAATGAGAGATGCGATGGTAGTTGGTATTGTCTTCCCTAATTTGGAACTTGAGGACCTAAAAAGACTCCATCATCCTGTAATGATTTGATTAGTTCTATAATATGCAATAAGTATAGAAAGTGGGTGAAGTTAGGGACAACTATTTGTAAGAAGCTAGAGACAGTTAGATAAGGTAGATCTCCAGTGGACTTGCTTTGAAATCTGTATTTCTTTAAATTGTTTTTTATTTTTTTTAAAATGTTCTGTTCTGTTTTGATATGGTTAACCTTATCCTCTTAGAGATGTAAAACAAATAGGTGGGACTGATAATCATATTACGGAGCTTTTGTTCGGCCATAGAGCAGAATGGTTTGTAGGGTCATTTTTTTTTGAATGTCGTTCTATATACTTTAATTCTATAACCTGAACAGCCATTTCGAAGATGACAATTTGTAACTTATCAACTGGCAATTTCTTACCTTTTGTTTGTCTGTAATTTAGAATTATTTCTACCCTTTTTTTTTAATCTCCATGTATTTTTTTCGTTTCCTTTTCTTTAAATAAATTAAAAAAAAAAAGAAAAGAAAAAAAAAATAGAATTTTCTCAACACTTTGTTCTATGTAACATAGCATGTTTAATGTTCTAAGCTTTAGTGTTAATGTTAACACTTAATGTTAAAGTCTGAGTTCTATTTTTGTTCTTATATATTTCAGAGTTTCATCCCCACAAGTATAAGAGATGATGCATCCTTTTCCATAGTTAAAAATTTTGTAAAGATGACAGACACTTAGGAGGCTGAGGCAGAGGGCTCACTGTGAGTTCAAGGCCAGCCTGAACTGCGTAGTGAAACCTAATCTCCTTATTATTTTTTAAAGTGTTAAACTAATTAACTTACTATTTAATGGAAACCCAATTGGAATGAAATTTTAAGTTCCAGTTAATGGCTCTTTGGTTAACATTTAGGATCCAAAAAATGTCATTACATTATAGTATAAAATAGGTAAACAATACCTCTAGTCCTAGGTAGAGAAACTGATGCTGAATGATTAAAAATAAAAAGACTCTATACATAGAAACTGTGATACTATTTAAGTACATTTTATCATTAGTTAAAATTTTACAAGAAATCTAAAGTGAAAAAATTTTAAGAGACAGTTTTTCAAAAGTCTGGTTGATAAAAAGGCAACTTGGTTGATAAATTTGAGTGTTTCTTTTTAATATAGCTACCTTTTAGTCTTTTGACTTATTATTTTTGGTTGTTTAGGGAATGTTTGTTTCAAGTTCAAGAAAAGTAATGATACATTGCTTTTGGAAACAATAATTAGCTTATTTTTAAGAACTTGTATCATTTTCATTATTGTTTTGGATGATGTATTTTTAAGTGCCGTGTATTGCGGGAGATACGCTCAGTGTCACAGCGCCTGCCTAGCCAGTGCAAGGTCCTGCTTTCCATTTCTGTACCACATCCCCCAAATGCTGCATATCCACTTTTACACTGTACTGTAGTGGGGAAGTGCTGTTGCCCCCTGGTGGCTACTTCTATTCATTAATTTACTTCTGCCCAAATCAAGCTTCCCATCTTTATGTTTTCCTATAAGCAGGGACTAAGATAATGTTAGAGCTAGTGTTTGTAATACAGCCATATGATGATCTGTACAAATTTACTGTGGTGTGGAAATCAAAGTTTGAGGGTCTTAACCTTTAAGCAAGAAACTGTCAAATTGTCTTGTTCCATCTCCCCACGCATGCCTACCTTGGTTCTAATAGTATCCCTACTCAAGAGTATGTTAGGTAACTTTTGGGTAGTTTCTTTAAAAGGGGGATAAATTAGTCTAGTTGTGAATAGAAAATGAAATGTGTATTACCAAGAAGAAAAACAATTTTTAGAAAGTATCTTCAATATGTTTCACTTCTAGCAAATGTTGAATAAAACTCATATTGGCCTGACTTTCCTGCAAACAACTATAAGTTCTGAATAAAACAAACCAAATTTGAAGGCACTAGAGAATAATACAAAGCAAGTAAATTCTGAAGGGGTGTTTGACACTTAGAAGAAGGAAGTAACACTGAGAGTCTTCCATTTCAAGCCTGTATCCAGAAAACAATGCTACTTTGTACCATACAGAATAGCCACAACTCCAAAAGAAAATTCTTGGTTTTTGTGGCTTAAAATACGACAAGACAAAAGTTGAAGCAGCAACAGCCATTAGAAAGTGAAAGAGAAATCCTGGCTGTGAGAGAGCCAAAGAGGATTCATAAATTCCGCCAAATCTCTGATCCGTTCACCACACAAGTGTGAGGCAGACTAAGGTAGTTATCCATTTGAGTATATAATCAAATTATGTGTTTAAAAAACGACACTTCCAAGGAATATAACAGAATGCAGACACCCCATGTATACTACACATAATGTGTACTCTGCAGTACAAAATTACTCAGCCTGCAAATAAACAGAAACATGACTCGTTCTCACAGAAAACAGTAGGAACCCAGCCTCAAGATGATCTAGGTGCCAACCTTTTGGCTGGCCTGGGCCACACTGAAGAGAAACTATCTTGGGCAGCATATAAAATATCTGATATAGCTAACATATGCAACTAACCAACTTCCCTTTTTATGTTTTTCATTATAACTTTTAAGAAACAGGGCAACATAAACAAACTAGTGAGGTGTTTGACCCTGACTTTGTGAAATGAATAGTTGATGAAAGTAGTTGCAATTTTTAGTTCTCAAGGTACCTGTCAGAAATTTTTTATGGGCTTCATCCTTGAAAATAGTTCACAAATGTACGTATGTGTTACATATGTTATATATGTGCACATTATGTGTAACAAAGGTAGGAACATGACTATCAAAAAGCGATGGCATAAATAAGGCACAATCATGAAGTGAGGCGATAGTTTTTTGGGGTTTTGGTGGGTTTTTTTTTTTTTTTGTACTAGGGATCGAACTCAAGTCTTTGCATTTTTCCAGGCAGGCGCTTGCTTACTCGGCTGAGCTAAATCCTTGGCCAAAGAGAAATCATTTTTTCTGGGATGATAGTTCTTAATTATAGTAGAAAAATGATCAGATTTTTTTTGAGTTGAATGTCTGGTTTCAATTCTGTGCATGCCAAAAATTAATAATTTTTAGTGTTAGTGATAAATATATAACAAGATGGTGAGCAAACTGGTACATGTTTATACTTCTATACATAACTGCTAAAAAAACTTCTAACTTATTATCTTATAAATAACACAAGACCAAGTTTAATAACTAGTAGGAAAACTAACACATCTTCTTAATAACAAAAATATGCCTGTTTTCATAGATACACACATTGTAGGTTAAAATACTATTACTAGTAATCGTTATGTTTTGTTCACCAACTTGCACCAGAGCATGACAACTGACACTTGTGACATCTTTTCTTTTCTTTTGTGGGATCTGGTCTTTATTTATTTATTTATTTATTTAGAGATAGAATCTCACTTTATAGCCTGGCCTTGGCCTCATTGTGTAGCCCAGGCTTGCCTAAAACTCACAGTGATCCTCTTGCCTCAACCTCCCAAGTGCTGGGATTGTAGGTGTGTGCCACCACACCACACTTGGCATGTGGGTTTTGGTTTGATCATGTGTCGGGTCCAAGAGTTGAGCCTAGCACTGCCCTGTGCCCTTCCCTACTCAGCATTCTGTGCACCTGTGCAGTCTATGATTGAAAAATGTTACTAAAAATCACATAATAAAAAGTTGATCTTGTGGGACCACATTATCAGCTGTCTAGAACCACATGTCTCTCTTAGGCTGCAATTTCAATGTGCCTGATCTAGACTTTGGGATTAGCAGACAAAACTTTTATTGAAGTGAGCATTATAACTATACTCAGGGATATAAAGAAAATCTCAGAAATGAATCTAAAAACCGAACAGAAATTATACACATGAAAAATACAATACCTGAGGAAGGACGAGGTAGGAGAATTGCAAACTCAAGGCCAGCCTGAGCAATTTAGGGAAGCCTTGTCTCAGATTTTTAAAGTAAATACATAAAAAGGGCTGGGAATGCAGCTCAGAGTGTGGCCCTTGGTTCAATCTCCAGTATTGCTGAAGATAATGTTTCACTGGGTGGGATGTATTATTACTTGAAAAGAACAGTATGCAGAACAGTGTATGTGCAGATTGCTGGGAACAAGATTATCATGTCTTTTTGCTTGTATTTACAAACAAATCAAATTAAATATATATTTATTTACATGTATTGCCAAATGTCCAGGGCATCTACCATGAAAGATCTGAAACTAGAATCAACCAACATACATTTTTAAGATGTGGATAAAATAAGAGAGGCACCTGGGCAAATGGTTCTAAAACAGATTCTCAAACTACTGGTTGCAGATAGACCTGTTCCCTAGCTGAGCTGCGTCAGATAAGAGATTTGTGTCGTGATGACCATCCAGTGTGTATTCTGAAAAGACTGAATAACTTCATAAGTCTTCTTTCTCTCATGTTTCCCATTTTCTAGGACCTCATAGTTGACCAAACAATAGAGAAAGTTTCTTTCTGTGCCCCAGATAGGAACTTTGACAGAGCCTTCTCTTACATATGTCGTGATGGCACCACTCGCCGCTGGATCTGTCACTGTTTCATGGCTGTCAAGGACACGGTGAGTCCAACAGTGAGTTACTCTCAGCCAAGCTCCTTCTGGGTTATCTCAGCCAAGTAGTTTCCACTATCCTTTCAGCAAGTACATGATACTAAAGCTGCTCTTGAAAATGCCTTCTAAGATTTTGCTCCTTTTACTGAGGTGATTTACTCTTGGTGTGATACTGTGAGTTGCAATTCACAGAGCAAAATGATTGGATGAGACCCAGTATCATTAAAGGAAAGTAAAACTGCCCTGGTGTGCTGGGGGTGGTGGAACATGCATGAGGCTCTGAGTTCAATCCCCAGCATGACAGAAAAACTCAAAAAAGAGAAAAAAAACTACTCTGATAATGATGGTTGCCAAACTTTAGTTGCAACTTTTATTATTAGAAGTGTCCTCAGGAATTTTAAGTGTATTTGTTTGCTAACATATCTGAGTAGAAACATTGGTAGAAATAAATACATCTGGTAGAAACGGCTAATAAATGTATTTAGTAGCAAAAAGGCTACTACAAGTGAATATTGAACAGAAGTACACTTATAATTAAAAACTAGGAATACTAAATTATGGTAGAATGAACTATGACAAACTGTTTAATGGTTTAATTTTTTTCCTTTTGGTTTGCAGAGGGTCAAACACAGGTCCTTATGTGTGGGAGGCAAGTACTGAGCTGTGTCTCCTGCCAGAAACTTTGGCACTTAAAAGTTACCCAGAATTCTGACATGGAAGACAAGCATGTTAGGTGACAGTGATCTGACTGCATGTAGTATTGAGTATGTGATTTCTGGGATTTTTAAAAGTCCAGACTCAATAAACTACCTACAAAAGCTACCACCCCTCAGTAAAGCTCTTCTCAAAGTTCAGCAGAAGTATGGCTACGCTCTAACATTGACCAAAATATTTTTAAAGCTGTATAAGTATTACAAACAAATGTCCAACGCCTGAGGCTGAGTGGAATCTGGAGTCCAGTCATGATTCTGGGTCCTACTATCTGGGATTGTGGGTTAACATTCTCTAAGTCTTAGTATTCACTTCTATTAATGGAAGTAACTGTGAAAGATTAAATTAGATGCTTATCAGTACACTTAACCGATTCTGTCCAACAGTTAACTTTTCCAAAAATTATAGTTAATATAGTCAAAGTTGGTGGGCTTTGAAAATAAGTTGCAGTAATTGAACTACTTTCTTCCACCACCCCTGTATCAGACTGTAAAAAAGCCACAGAGGTATATATTTTGCTATCACTATAGTCACAAGATCCAGAGCTTGGAATTTCCCAGTACTAATTTTAAAACCACTTTATTGTCAAGTCATAGCCCAGAAGCTGTTTGAACCGTTGAGGCTAGCAGTTCTACCGTATCAGAATCAGCAGGCCCTACTCCCAGAATTTTTTATTCAGAAAGTTGGGGTTGAGGTTTAAAAATTTGCGTTTATTTTTGAGTGTGAAGTCAAACATCTGTAATTGAGTACCCTAGAAGGCTGAGACAGAAGGGTGGCAGATTTGAGACCACCCTGGGCAAACGAGCAACATAGCAAGACCCTGTCTCAAAAAATTTTTAAATGGCTAGGAGACAGGCATTGTGGTGCAAGCCTGTAATCCCAGCCCTTGGGAGGCTGAGACAGCAGGATTGCAAGTTTGAGGCTACCCTAAACTACATAGTGAGTCCAAAGCCAGACTGAGATAGATATATGACATCAATATAGATAAAAATACCTAACAAGACCCTGTCTCAAAAATCAAAAAAGTATTGAGTCTTTTAAAGAACATGTTTATGATAAAACGTGCGAGTCATTAAAAAAAAAAACAGCATAAGAGAAAAAATAAACTTTCTTGGCCTATATAGATCTGTCCTTGTAATAGAACTCTGCTCAAATGCAAATGAATTCAACACTCTAGCTTGATATTTATCTTACTGGAAAATTAAAAATCATGTGAATTCGTAGGGTAAGTCTTTACAGACTTTAAACAGTCAAAAGGTTTACAATCATATAAAAACTTAGGGCAAAAAGCACTTTAAACATTATCTTTCCTTATGATACTTACAGCAGCATATGCAAATCCAATGAAATGACTTGTTCACTTACATGCAGAGAGGCAGCTGCCTGCGTGGGTTTTTTTTGTTTTGTTTTGTTTTGTTTTGTTTTTGCATGTTTTGGTCTGGTTTGATTTTTTTGGTACCGGGAATCAAACTCAGGACCTCACAGGGATTTAACTGTGCCACTGAGCTAAATCTCTAGGCCCGTGGGTTTAATTTTGAAAGACAATAAATACTTGAAAGCCTCCCTGTCCCAAATATCTCTTCTCACTGTGAATGATGCTGACAGTTACTATCCTCTCTCTTCTGTTCTACAATTAGGGATATGATTTAAAATACAGGATAACCCTGGTTTAAAAAAAAAAATCCATTGGATTTATTAAATCGGGTAATGAGTATATCTATAAAGCAGTTTTAATACAAGTTCCTAGCTCTTCCCATGCACAAGCAAATCATTTTAGCTGTTTAATTTGTAAGCAGAGAATATAGGTGAAAGCAGGTTTTCTCTTTTACCTGTGTGTAGTTGGGAGGTAAGAGTTGGTACGAGAGGGCTAGAAGATACAGACGGCAGGAAGCAAAGTGCAAGCACTGAGTCTTTCAGTGGGAAAGGTTGCTCAGCAGGACTTGGGAAGCAATCAGACAAGGCAAACAGGAAGCTAAGCTTGCCTTTGAGTCTTTTTAATTGGGAGTTGTACTTATTAGAAGTTTTGTGTTTTGTTTTGGTTTGGTGTTTTTATTTATTTGAGAATGTATTTAAGTGACTAAAATTTGCCCTGCCTCTCCATGGTTTCTTAGAAATACCTGGCAAATATTGCAACTCTTTACCTGAAGAGCAACTAAAGTTTTATGCGTAAAGACATAGAACTTTGAGCAGTGTGCCCTAAGCTGGTGGCAGAGCTGACATGACAAATGGAGCTTTAGTAATAAGGACCTCCCTGTGACTGTTCACAGAAGCACAGGTTGCTGGCGATTGCTTTACCTGAGGACTGTAGCAGCTAATATAATTGAAGTCTCTTAAGTACTTTCTAATATTATTTATCTAAATTGAAGGTGATAATATATTAAAACTTAGTTTTAAGCTGGATTTTGCAACATTTGGTCTTATGTAATTGTTGGTAGTATGGCTCTTAAAAAGCTTTAAAAACCTTTGCTTTCTACAGGGTGAAAGATTGAGCCATGCAGTAGGCTGTGCTTTTGCAGCCTGCCTCGAGCGTAAGCAGAAGCGGGAGAAGGAATGTGGGGTGACTGCTACTTTTGATGCCAGTCGAACGACTTTTACAAGAGAAGGATCATTTCGTGTCACAACTGCCACAGAACAAGCAGAAAGAGAGGAGATTATGAAACAAATGCAAGATGCCAAGAAAGGTACAATGTGTTCTACTACACTACGTGTTTATTAAATGCAGTTTCCCCCAACACGTTAATATGTTAAAGCTGTCAGGGACAAGTTCTCACGTAATCAAAGAGACCCCTGGGAGTGTGAGTATAGCTCATAGGGTGCTTGCTTAGCATATGAGGCTCTGCGTTCTGTCTCCAGGTCTCCCTCTCCCCCATAAAAAGAGAGAACCCTTAGCAATAGGTAAAAAACCTTAATAACAAAGCCAGAAATCTTACAGGAGTGCCTTCCTTTAGAATGACTAGTTTAGTGACATTATAGTAGAAATACTGGTACACGCATTGAAGTGATTGAGTCTGTAAAGTTGAGTTGGGTGCCTTTTTTTTTCTTTTAGTTTTTTGAGACATTGTCTTGCTGTGTGATACAGGCTGGCTTTACGTTCCTGGCAGTCTTCCTACCTCAGCTTCCTGAGTGCGGGGATTACACCTAGCTGGTTGGGTACATTTTAAAACTATTAGGGCTTGGAGAAAATGCTTGTATTCTTCTATATATCTAGGCTAAAGCCAACTAGAGGTACACAAATAGTTCAATATAACTAATAGATATTAATATAATTTTGCTAATTTTTATGTCTTTAATATCTTTTAGTTATACTGAACTAGTTGTGTTACCTCATCATCAGCACGGACACAAACAGCTCTAATTTTTAAGATCTTCGAAAATACACAATATTTATTCAAAATTATTGATGGTGTCACAGTTGTGGCAGTCGGGCTGATAAAATATTGCCCAGACTGGACTTAAACTCCTGGGTTTAAGTGATGCTTTGCCTCCGCCACTTGAGTAGCTGGGACTACAGCCTCAATCCACTGCACTCAGCTGAGTGTGAACTTTTTCTTTTCATTTCTTGTAAACATTTGTTCCAGGATAGCAAAGAATAAAACACATGCTAACCAGCTGTGTGACACATGTTGACTATTTAGCCCCAGCTACTTGGAAGGCTGAGACAAGGATCATGTGAGGCCAGGAGTTAGAGACCAGCAGCATAGTGAGATCTCTTCTCAAAAGAAGTCATGCTAGCTTTAGTAGAAAGTTCCCCGAATAGCCATTATTTAGTATACTGTAGTAATTTTTAGACCACAGGCTGCACATGTGTGTGTGGTTCTGGTGATCAAAATCAGGACCTCACATATGCTAGGCATTGTTCTTGCACTGAGCTGCATCCCCACCTCTGAAAGCATATTCTTTGATGCCATCAAGTAATACTGCTGTGCACAGCATGTGACAAAGAGATCAAGCCCTAAGATCTGCAATAGATCATGAAGATTGAGGTAGAGATTTGCCACAAACAGTGGTACTCAAAACTGGGCATCATGGCACACACCTATCCAGGCACTATGAGAGGCTGAGTCAAGAGGATCACAAATTCAAGCCCAGCTTGGGCAACATAGTGACTTAGCAAGACCCTGTCTCAGGCAGAGCTGAGGATGTTGTTCAACATAAAAACCCTGGGTTCAGTCCACAGTATCACACACAGGGACACACAGGAAGGGGACTCACCTGGTACTGGAAGCAGTCATAGATTTAGGTCTAATCCAACTTAAGATTTCATTCTAGGGCTGGGGATTTAGCTCAGCGGCATAAGCACCTGCCTTGCAAGCAGGTGGTCATGAGTTCAATCCCCAGTACCAGTTAAAAAAAAAAAAATGATTTTCCTTCTACAGTCAAATGAACCACAAGTGCATACATTTGTGATTTAAAGATTTTTGACAGCTAAGAAAATCATAGACCAGGGGCTGGGGATTTAGCTCAGCGGCATAAGTGCCTGCCTTGCAAGCAGGCAGTCGTGAGTTCGATCCCTGGTACCGGTTAAAAACGAAAAAGACCAAAAAAAAAAAAATCATAGACCTTTCTGATTCTTCCACTCTCAAAGTCACCCCCATACACACACTCAGACAAGCTCTAAAAACCACAACCCATCATTCTTTAAAGGACCTCACATAAGAAGTTCACTGGAACTCGATTTTTAAAATCTTGTTGGAAGTCTTAATTTATAAATCACTGCATGAGAATAAAGAATTGAATATTTGAGTTTTATAAATATGATATGTGATATGCACTGCATGTAACATATCTGAGGACACTGGGCAAAAGATAAGTAGAAGGAAAAGAGGCCTTTGAGGTCAGCTCTATAAATTTAGAACATTGGAAGATCATTTCTAAGGTCTTCTTGCTCTTGATTTTCTTGAGCTGAAACAGATAAGACAGCTTCTGGTGGATCCGTAGCTTCTGGCAACTCTGCCCCGTCCCCATCCTCTCCTACTTCTCCCACATCGGACAGCACTGCCTCGTTAGAGATGAACAACCCTCATGCCATTCCACGCCGCCACGCACCGATTGAACAGCTTGCTCGCCAGGGCTCTTTCCGAGGATTTCCTGCTCTTAGCCAGAAGATGTCACCCTTTAAACGCCAACTATCCCTACGCATCAACGAGCTGCCTTCCACTATGCAGAGGAAGACTGATTTCCCCATTAAAAATGCAGGTAACACAGCACACACCTGACTCGTCCCATGATGCTCTGGCACAGAAGCAGTATCATCATTTCTGGTAGCAACAGAGCCCATTAAGCCAGCTGCTCCGGTCTCTCAGGCTTATTGGTGGTTTTATCTGTGTCATTTCCCCAGGAGAAAACAAAGGTCTGCAGAGGGGACATGAATCATTAAGTTCCCCTCAACAAATAGATGGAATTTCTAGTCTGAGCCACAAAGTTTATGGCTTTTCCTGATGTAAATGCGCCGCCTCTCAACCGGTCTGTTTCCAAACATTCAGGGTTTCAAATTTTCATTCTTACCCTACCATTTGGGACCCAAGAAGGGATTAATTAAAAAAGGCTTTAGGAAAACGTACAATTAAATAACACTACTGGCAGATGTACCAGAAGCAGCGGATAAGTGTTCATTGTTCTTGTGGCCGGTTGACTCCATAGGAAGGAAACTCTAAATGGGCCCCTGTATAAATCTAAGATGTGTTGTTCGTTAGAGGCAGTGTGGACTTGTTCACATTCAGTCATTACCTTTCAGAACTGCCATACAGGCCTTTGTGTGGCCTCGATTCAACGGAGCCAGCCTGTAACCTCTGTCCTCATGTGATCCAGAGCTAACGTGTTAGATCTGGTCGATGCTTTTTTGAGCCCTGTTTTACTTCCCTCTGAAACACATCACGGTATTGCTGTGATGGTTTGTGAGGAAGCCCTGTCTCAGTAGGCATCCCACTGGTAGCAGTACAAAAGAACAGAGAGTTGGGTTTTTCTCCAGGTGAAAGTAGGCTTAAAGAGCAGTAGACTAAATAATCACTGAGGGCCTTTTCAGCCTCCAATGCCTTTAAAAACTGAAACCCCAGATGTGTCAAGTACTCCATTTCAGTTTCCCTCTGGGGAAACAGGTAGAGAATAAAAACTGTTCTCTCTCCACAGATGAGCTTCAGCACACATAATTAGCTTCCTCAGTGCTACAAAAAGAACAAAGACTCTAGAGTCCTACACTTAAGTTCACTTTTTCTTTTTATCACAGTTGATATACTTGGTACTAGAGACTTTACAGAAAAATGAGTGATGGCATTGTTACTGTATCTCAGAGAAAGGCACTGTTGCATCTGCTGGTGGCCTGGACTTTACCCCATTTTTTGTAATTACTTAATGGCACCAGAACTTAATTCAGACCACAGCCATGGTGACTGGTTGAAAGGCAAATAGGAGAAGCGTCTTTCAAAAAGATCTAGCTGGTTAAATATTTTGGTAGAAAAAGAATGAGGACACCAAATTCCACATAACGTCACAAGAAATGGAACAAAAGAAATTTGGAGATGTGTTAGGAAAAATACATTTTTTGACATTTTATACTTTCCCATCAGAAAAGCCAATGAAATGGTGGTAGGTAAATTTTTGGAAACTATTTCTAAAGCCTCACCAGACAGAGCCTTTTGCTTCCTCAAAAAGAGATACAGTATAAAATGCCAGCTGGTGTCCTGATGGCACAGTTCAGGGTTATTCCATTTTTCCGTCTGGAACCATTTTGTTTGCCTTACAGTGCCAGAGGTAGAAGGAGAAGCGGAAAGCATCAGCTCCCTGTGCTCCCAGATCACCAATGCCTTCAGCACCCCCTCTGAGGACCCCTTCTCCTCCGCACCAATGACCAAACCAGTGACAATGGTGGCACCACAGTCTCCTACCTTCCAAGGTCAGTGCCCCAGGCCTGCCCTCTTTAAAGTAGTGCTCTGATCTCACTGGTTACTAGCTGTGAGTTGGCATCCTCCGCTTCTCCCTAGCTGGTCAGACCCAGTACCAGTGTCTTAGAACCACTGATTTCCCTATTAAGCAGTATCTTTGTGCTTTGTTTCCCTTCCTGTTTCCTAAGCTGTCAGCCTTCATCGTGTTGCATGCATGTGCCTGTCTTTTGTTCCTTGTATTATGAGTTTCTGTAACCCCAACCCACTGCTTAATTTGCCACTTGACAGTGAAGGGTCAGAGTGTCCCACCAGTCTTCCAGAAGCACCAGGCACCAGGATTTATTCTACCATTAGGCTTTATTTAGCATAGCAGTTCTCAATCAGGTACTGCTTTGCCCCCTGAGGGAAAGTTTGGCATTCATTGTATGGAGACATATTGGGGTTTTATAAGTTGCCGAGAGGAATGTTTTGCTGGCAACTTAATAGAGGCCAGGGATGCTGCCAACCCTCCTTCAATGCACAGGACAGCAGGCACAGTGAAGAATTAGCAGGCCCAAAAGAGCAGCAGCTCCCAGGTTGAGAAGCCTGAACACACCTAGACTCCTGTCTTTGGGATTCATAAAGAACAGGCACTCCTTTTGGCTCTGTAGGTTAGCTTCTGTAACAAATGTCCTAAAACTTACTTCTGCAATTGAAGACTTACTAATTTTTTTTTCAGAGATGTCACATGAATAGTTGGCATTGACTTGAGTTGACAGTGAATGTAATTTAAACTCCTTATTAGAGTTCCTATGGTTGCCCTTCCTTCATTCTTTTTTGAAAAAAAGCTCAGAGAAAGTCATGCCTGGAGACAGAACCCCACTCCTACTGGAGGATGCTGCCTTGACTCCAGGAGAGTCAGCATCTGTCTCTTCTTCTTCTCCGCCTCCTTCTCTTTTCTTCTTCTGCCCCATCAAACCTTCATGTCACCAAATAACCTTTCATCTCATCTAACAAGTATTTATAATACTAGAGAATACTAAGAATAGGCGCCACATACTGAGCACTTAACATGGTGCTTGCCACACTGGTGTTGAGTATTCATGCATTATCTAATTTAATCCCACAACAGCCTTTGAGCTAGGCATGACCAATTTAAAAGAAAAAAAAGATGCTTAGAGAGGTTAAGTAAATGCCCAGATCATACAGCCAGGATTTAAACTCAGATCTTTCTAAATGTAGCATGCATTGCTTTCAACTGACCATGCCTATTTATAAGGCAACTGGGTATAGGAAATTGAATAGAATATAGTCCTTTCACTGCCTTTAAGGGAACCTCAGTTTAGAGAGAGATTGTTTTTAGACAGAAGGTGTGTAACGTTGCCAACACCATAAGCATGGTTGCCCAGTCGTAACTAGTGGATTTTATATTACAAAGCAGGAGGAGATGCTTGTCTGTACCATATTAAGTATAATACAGGGATAAAGAATAGAGACTGATACAGATTTCTAGAGTAAAAGAAACAGGGTTAGGAGGTTTTAACAGAGATGAGGAAAGATAGTAGGCACTTTGAGTTATTGTGAACATTGCAAGTGGAAAAATTTTTCAAAAAGATAGAAGTAGGGCCAGAGATTTAGCTAAACAGTATAAGGGCCTGCCTGGCAAGTTGTGAGATCATGAATTCAATCCCTGGTACCAAAAAAAAAAGTATAAGTTTATTAAGCAAATAAAATATTGTTTGATTTCTCATCTTTTATATGGAAATACATAATACAGTAGTTTGCCCTTCTTTATGGTTTCTCTTTCCTAGGTATCAGTTACTCATAGCCCTCTGCCATCTCCAAATGTTAAATAAAAAATTCCAGAAGTAAATATTCCATACATTTAAATAATTTGTACTATAATATGTTATTCTATTTTTTATTGTTATAAATCTCAGTGTGCCTAATTTATAAGTTACAGTTGATTGCAGGTATATATATGAGAAAATATTATATACTGGGTTTGGTTCTATATAAGGTTTCAGTCATCTGCAGAATATCAACTCCCAGTGGTCCTACTGTGCCAGTCTGAGATGATGCACATAAAATACTGTTAGCCTGGTGCTCAGCACTTAATGAAATATATTTAATTACTATTATTCTTATAATTTGACTTTTGGAAAAGCATAGAAGAAAGAAATGCCTTATCTACTTCATTAAGCCAGAGGCTGTTATATCTGGAATAGATTTTTTTTTTTTTTTTTGCTGCTTATAAAAGCAGCTCTGTTCAACTTAATTTGAAAATTTTTGTAGGCTTCATTTCTGCTCTTCCTATGCACATATTTTTCCAAAACAGTCATTTGACTTTATCATTATAATCGTTGCAGTTAAAATCTCTGATTCCTTCTTTGCCAAAAGGTCCGTGTACCCATTGCAAGACAGCATGGTTGTCCACTGTCAGCTCTTCCTTCTCACCTCCTCCACCAGTGTTGCACATTGGCCTGACTGACGCAGCTCCCTGAGGTCACTCGTGCATCTTGCATGAATTAACTCCATTGATGTTGTCTGCTCCCATTGTAGCTAATGGCACTGACTCAGCCTTCCATGTGCTTGCTGCTAAGCCAGCCCATACCGCTCTAGCACCCGTAGCAATGCCTGTGCGTGAAACCAACCCTTGGGCCCATGCCCCTGCTGCTGCTAACAAGGAAATTGCAGCCACACATCCGGGTAAGGTGGCCACAGATGGTGGTGAGGATTCTGGGATCAGATAAGTGACCTTGGTTCTATAAACAGCAGTTACCCAGGTGGGAAAGAGAAGAATCCTTTTTAGGAAAAGTATTTTCCCTCCTAGACAGGGTGGTAAAGGAAGGGAACAAAAAATATCAGATTGATATTCTCAGAACTATAGCACTGAGGCATCCATAGAGATTTCTATGAAATACAGATTCCTGAGCCCTGCCCCCAGGGAATCCACCCCTTGACTTGGCAGAGGGCAAACATTCCTGTAGGAAGAGGGAACCTTGCCTCCCACAGGGCAGTGCTTTTCTCTGTTTACTAACTTTTCTGTATTTACTAGTTGTCCTATAAGATAAGGAATTACATTTTATAGTAATAATAATTCACCAGAAAGGAATACCATGTGACTAGAAACCAGACAGCGGCCCGCAAGGTGTGGCCATGTCATGGGCGATGCTGAGTGTTGGCTCTGTTAGACTGGAGATGAATCCTTTGAGTACTGTGGGGCATGTGCAAGCTAGTGTTTATATTGTGGGTGAGCCATGGGAACAAGGAACATTTCTAACACCAGCCAGCTGCCTTAGGTCAGTGCACTGGAGGCATATCAGACAGCGCCTCAGCATGGCTGAGATGGCAGCATGGCCTAACAGGGTCTCCTCCTACCACAGAATCTCAGCTGAGAGTATGATACTTTCACCTATCAAAGCTACAGAACATCCCAGGAGAAGGATGTCTTTTTTGTTCCTTGTTTCTTGTTCCAAGGACAGATCCTTGTTAGGATCAAATAACTGAGGCTATGGGTGAGGGAAGAGACTGCCTAACTCTCCTCTCTCTCCGTCTTGCTGGTTTCAGGCACTGAGTGGGGCCCATCCGCTCCAGACCTCCAGACTGGCCATAGACGCACTCCCTCAGAGGCTGACCGCTGGCTAGAAGAAGTATCCAAGAGCGTCCGGGCCCAGCAGCCCCAAGCCTCAGCGACTCCTCTGCAGCCAGTCCTGCAGCCACCTCCACCCACTGCCATCTCCCAGCCAGCACCGCCTTTCCAAGGGAGCGCGTTCCTCCCTGCTCAGCCTGTGCCCGTGGGTGTGGTCCCCCCACTGCAGCCAGCCTTTGTTCCTGCCCAGTCCTATCCTGTGGCCAATGGGATGCCCTACCCAGCCCCTAGTGTGCCTGTGGTAGGCATCACCCCCTCCCAGATGGTAGCCAACGTGTTCGGCACTGCAGGCCATTCTCAGGTCACTCTCCCCCATCCGTCACCTAGCCTGGTCAAGCAGCAGACATTCCCTCAGTACGAGACAAGCAGTGCTACTGCCAGTCCCTTCTTTAAGCCTCCTGCTCAGCACCTCAACGGTTCTGCGGCTTTCAATGGTGTAGACGATGGCAGGTTGGCCTCGGGAGACAAGCACGCAGAGGCTGCTGGGGGCACTTGCCCAGTGGATCCTTTCGAAGCCCAGTGGGCTGCATTAGAGAGTAAGTCCAAGCAGCGCGCTAATCCCTCCCCTACCAACCCTTTCTCCAGTGACTTACAGAAGACGTTTGAAATCGAACTTTAAGCAGTCTCTATAGCTTGTGTATCTTGTCTGTCCTTAGGCAGAGGCAGGGGGTGGAGGTCAAAGGGGACTTTGTCTTCTCGCTCAGTACACTTTTCACTAATCCCAAAGGTCCCAAGGAACAAGTCCAGGCACAGTGCAGTGAGGGCCGACTTCTGGAAGTGAGGCAAGCCATTCCTAGCAAATACTGTCTTGCAGCTAGGCCAGACAAGTCAGAAAATATTGCCCACACTCCCCTTCTCCCCTCACCCTCATATAAGTCTCTGGCAACAGCGAGACTGAAGTGCTGCACAGGAATCTATTCAAAGCACATTTACTGGAATATAAAACACAACCGAAGCAAAACTATGCTTGAGGCCGTTCAGCTGGCTCCTTCCAAGACCGGCCTTCACGCTGGAGAGAGTGGCTTGAGCTTGGGCTGGGAAGACAGGCAGTTGGCACCACCGGAAGGTGCAGAAGCAGCTGCCCACCAGGGCTGTTTGGGGGTGTGAAAGGTGAGCTTCCATTTTGAGTAACAGAATAAATATATATATCAAAAGCCAAAATCTTTATTTTTATGCATTTAGAATATTTTAAATAGTTCTCAATATTAAAAAGTTGTAAGTAATCTTGCCAAAAAAGGGTTATTTGTAAGAAATTGTACATAAGATTGATCATTGATGCCTACTGAAGTAAAAAGGGGTGGACATTGCAGGCAGTCCCTAGCTTGTTTGCTGTCATTGTAAGTAGCACATTGCAACAACAATCATGCTTAGGACCAACAGGCACTAGGTTGTAGTTTTAAATTAAATGAAAGCAGTATTGTCCTGGTTTTAAACCTTTGATGAAATTCTAATGTCATTTTAATTACATCAACCTGTGCTCTGTAGAGACTATTTTATATATCAGTGGAATTTCCTTTTAATCCTTTAACACTAAGATGACAGTAACATCTCCACAGCAGGGAACAGTTTCCTGTGTTGGTAAATTGGCTCTTGTCCTTTAAGTTTTGTTCCTATGATCTGTGGGGAGGAGGACCTGGTTTATTAGCTTTGTGTGCCCCAACCCACCACCCCCTTGGTGAGACCACCCCATTGCCAGTTGCAGCCACTTGACCTCGGGTAACATGAAATCCCATCTCATTTTTACTTTTGAACGTTGGCCTTACAATCAAATGTAAGTTATATATATATTTGTACTGATGAGAATTTATAATCTGCTTTAACAAAAATAAATGTTCATGGTAGACACTTTCGTCCATGAAGGGCTATTCTTTCCTCTGAGTTTAAAGTCTTATTCTGTCTCTGCTGCTATGATAAACTGCTCATTTAGTGGCTAGAAAATCTTGGGGACAATTATAGCCGTACAATGTTTTCATCTATAGCAACGTATGCAGGATGAGGTGTAGCCTGGAATAGCATTGGACCTCAGCTAGGAACTGGATGCAAAGGTGACATCTTACCCTGCCCCAGGGCTGGCACTGTCCCCCTCCACTTGGCTGCGTATTAGAATCACTTGCACTTTAAAGTCCTAATCCCTGGGACTGGGAGTGTAGCTCAGTGATAGACTAAGCCCCCTACACACACCCCAAGAGAAAAAAAGCAAAAAACTAATGCCCACCCTGTACTTGAGACCAGTTAAGTCAGACTATTAGTGGGTTTGAGGGACGTGGGGACTAGTTTCCAGTATAGAAGAGGGTTGAGAATTGCTGGTCTGGGGTGACTAACCGTCACCTCTGGACTTACTATTCTGTGACTAGTTCTAAGAAGGGCTAACTGTAAAGAGCTGGTCTTGGCTGTACCTTCAGAAGCACATGCCCATTTCATCAAGCCGGGAAGTCCCAAAAAGCAGTGCTTTCCATTTTCTATAAACAAAGCAGGCCTGATGAATGAACAGAATTGCTTCTCAGTGTTTTGATGGGAAATGAAGATCTCTACCCTGACTGAGAGGCCGCCTGAGCAGTAGCCTCCTCGTGACACCATTTCTTTTCCATCCAATTAGTACCTAAAGAAAGTTGCCTTTCAGCTCTTCAGTCACTGGAATGACCATCTTGCCTACATGCAAGAATCACCTTCGGTACTAGACAGGCCGCTGGGAGAAGCTGAAGTGAAAGGGAACTGAGCAGCTAATTGAACTCAGGCCTATTTCAGCATTGAGGAGTCAGAAGTTCTGCAACTTACACCATTACTTCCTGCCACTTACACCATTTCTGAAACCACTTCACTGTTACACTCCCCACACACACCCACATCCCCCCACCCCGGTTCCCATTCCACTAATGCTGTTCGTAACAGTAGTCTGATTTCTCTCTGGCAACAAACATTCTGCTTCCACAGAGACCAGGCCAGCCAGCTGTGTAAAGGAGTCACAGACTGTCACAGCCATCTGTCCATGCTGGCCTCAGAAGGGCTTCAGGTGCAGCTTCCCAGTGAAGGAAGCAGCTTTTCCAGGCCTTCCCTGCTGAGATGACAATGCTAACTTGGGCTCTTTCATCCCAACACCCTGTGAGGCTACATTCTGCCTTGGTCAGAGCTTTCCGAGCTTGATGCTGCCAGCCCTCTCGGCGATGAGATTTCCTACCCAGGAAGGTGCGATGTGAGCGGTGGACCAGACCCCAGATGGGGCTTGGCTCTAACACAGGATACTTCGCTGACACAGTAGGAGTTGGCATTCCCCTTAAAAGACAACTGTTGCCCACCTCTCCACCGAGCCGTAAGTCAGGTCCAGCACCTTGCTTTAAAATTCAGTGAACTAGCTGGGCAGTGGCGCGTACCTATAATCCCAGCACCCAGGAGACTGAGGCAGGAGAGGCATTGTGAGTTCAAGGTCAGCCTGAACTACATAACAAGACCCTGTTTGAAAAAGAGAAAAACAAAAAACCTGATCCTTTGGATTCCTAACATGAAACCCAAAATATTCCAAAGTCAAAATATTTTGTGCACCCACATGACACAGAAGTGTTTCAGGATTTGGGGGATTAGGGATGCTCAATCCTAGTCGGCAAATATTCCAAACTCAGAAACACTTCCAGTCCCACACATTTCAGATAAGGGATCCTTGTAAAGAGACAGTGCAGGGGAAAGGCTACCCTCCAACCAGCCCGCTCTTGACAACTCAGCAGCAGCTGTGCAGACTCCGCTGGGGATTGCAGAGTTAGGCTAGTCCTGGTGGCTGCTGGGGGCAAGACACTGGGTGACTTTCTCGAGGGCAGTGTCTCCAGATGATTCCCTTGCCAGCCAGGGAGAGGAGACCGAGTTTTCCTTCTCAATTCTTCAGAACGGCGTCAGAGCCAGCCTTCATCCCTGCTGCTGGGCGGGCTGAGGGTGCGGCTGGAAACGGGAACAGCTGGCACAGCAGAAGCTGGCGTAATACTCATTGCCACAGAGCTGGGCCTGCAGGATCAAGCCACAGTTGGCCAGCTCCGGCTGATCGATGCACTCTCCGCTGGGCTCCCTGGGCTGGGCCACCGCCGCTGCAGAACAGGCAAGAGAGGGTGAGGCAGATTCTCACCTGCCACTTGTACCAGCATGAGGCGGGTTGGGGTTTCACTGCTTGCAGGCCTTGCCCCAGCATCTCACAGCCCTTCATAGACCCCCAGCTCTTTACCAACTGGATAGCTAATCATGCCTTTTGTTTTACCCCTCTTGAGCTGAAAACTGGGTCAGATGAGCCCTAAGTACAGTTTGAGTCAGCAGGAATCCGAGGGTCTCTCTCTCGCTGCTGCACTTCCCCCCGTCTGAGGTTTATACCTTCAGTATCCCAAGCCAGGGTAGGAGTCCAGGTCAGGAGTGAAGCGCCTGCCTAGCATCTGGCAGGTATGAAGCCCTGCGCTCCCTCCCTCTCCAGCACCACACATTTGTGTTTATATTTTATATGTAATATACAAAAATCTGTTAACCTAGTAACATTTAACTTGATTTTAGTGTTAATATACCGAGAACAAAGCCCTTGTGGCCACCACTGCTTTTCTAGGAGCTGGTACCTCCCTGTGGGAGCCGCCCCACTGCCCATCTCAGGACTGGGCTGCCTGCCCAGTTACCTTCTCTCCTTTCTGCAGCAGCTCTGACAGGCTTTGGCCTGTGCCTCATCTTCCCTGAAGTCAGGCTTCACAGTGGGAAAGCCCTTCATCCTCTCCTTTGTCCCTCACAATTACCATGAAAAGACCAAACCTAACCAGAGTGGCCTCAAGAAGAGTCAGCCAGCGTAGCCAGGACTAATGCTAATCACATAAATGGCAAAGCCATTGTGTTTTAAAAACCTGTAACTTTGTTATCAACTTAACCTGGTTGTTGTAGTACCTGGACCTGTGAAGGCAGGCACTCCACATGATGATCAATACTCTTGTCACCTACTACCCTCTTTCCCCAAATATAAGACCTGGCTGGAAACCAGTCAGCCTTGAAAACTAGAGATAAAAATGCCAGCCCCAGTCAGCCTGTCCCTGCCTTACCTGCCGTCACTATTCTCTTGCTCAGTGGCTACTCTAGGACAGTAGAGTTTACCCTCATGGCGAGTTCCTTATCACTTAGAAAAATGAGTAACAGCTTATCCTTCACCCCTGCAGTATTTTCTGCTCCTTACCCCACTCATATTTTTGTTTTGAGACAAGGTCTCACTGTGTAGTTCAGGCTGGCCTTGAACTTAGAGCGATCCTCCTACCTCAGCTTCCTAAGTACTAGTATTACGTATGTGTGTTACCACAGCCAGCTGCTCACTCTGTCTTAAGCAAAATGACCAAGAAGTCCTGGCAGTAGAACCATGTCCCTTGCCCCAGCACATGACCAACCCTAAGGTCAGCAGTGCGATTCCAGAGCCCACAAGCCATCAGTGGGGCAGCACTGGGCAGCTTCGTGTTATGTGATCCTTAGAAACAGGGGTGAGGGCAGACCCTGAGTGAATGCAGATAGCGGAAGAAGGGGATAGCTTGTGGCCAGGAAAATTACCCCAAACCACCTAGAACTAGCACCATGCACCCAACAGAGGGCAGGTAAAGGACTGAGGCCATGCCCCTTCTGGGACTCAGCTGTGAGCCCTTTGGCCTCGCAGACCAAATCATCACCAAGCAAGTTTCTGACTATAATCCAACTTCCTATGCAGACACCTACAGCTAATTACAAACCTGAGCATCCGGGTCCTCAAGGGCAGTTAGTATATGCATGTAAGATTAATTATCTGGATGCAATAGCAGTGAAACTAAGTCCCTGAAATATGATGCTTTCTCTGGGGCCCACGCACACATCACCTAGTGATGCTGGGCCCTGGTGTCTGGGCACCACTCACAAAGCCACATTTCAACCACAGACCTGCAACTGCAAACACTGACCAGTTCTCCCCTCAGCTGGCAGGCAGGAGGGACTTCCGATAGGCTGCAGCCCCGATGGCATGAACGGCTGAGCAGAAAGGGCCTACCACCTCCAAGCCCACTGCCCTCCCCAGGTCTGCATCATGCCTGGAGAACCAGAACCTGCTGCGTGGCCCAGGGCACCACCCAGCTACTCATCCCTCAATGAACTAGGACCAAGGATTTGATCAGAGAGGGTAGGGCTTTCCTCATTCCTAGAAACAGCTCTAGCAAGTGAACGTTAAATCATCAGTTCTCAGAGGTACTTTGCACATCTCAACTTTGCGCCTTAACGGATGGTGTCTCAGCACTGTGTCACTTAACCGGCAGTATTTCTTCCATAATGGTAACACTGCAGTATGGTACTTTGATTTGTTAAAATAGAGCTCAACAGCAGGAGCTGGAGAATATAAGGCTAAAGTATCATATTACTGAATGATGCATGTAAAATCCCACTCCATACAAGTTAATAGTTCAGTGAAAATACATAAATATAAGGGAGTCCGAAGAGCTGGGTTCTGGTCCCAGCTGGGCTGCTACTGTGCTGTGTGACTGGTGGAAACACACTGAGTCTCTGGGCTCCTGTCTCATGTGGAATGATGGGTAATGAGCCTGGCCCTATGCTTTGTGGGTTAAATATTCACGGGGTCATGGAGGTCCTCTTTAGGTCCACTTTTTGCCACCCCGACTAGAATGGAGAGATCTTAGTAGTCTGTTTGCCTTAAACATTACAATGAAAGCTGGGGATTTAGCTCAGCAGCATAAGCGCCTGCCTGGCAAACGTGAGGTCATGAGTTCAATCCCTGGTACCAAAAAGAAAAAAAAAAAAATGTCACAATGAAGTTGTATTTTTTGAAATAGCTTGCTAAATCTAAAACAACACTGTGCCCCTTCAGCAGCACATGTACTAAAACAGGAACCATACAAAGATTAGCAAGGCCCCTGCACAAGGATGACACCAATTTGTGAAACATTCCATTAAAAAAAGTGCTGACCATCTGTGAGACCATTACCTGGCCCAGTGGGCAGTTGCCTTCGCCTCTGCTCAGGTCGCAGGTAGCCCCACTCCAGAGGAGGAAATCGAGGCTCTGGGTAGGGAAGCCCCTTGCCATGAGTCACAACCAGAGTGAGCCAGGATTTAAACTCAAGTCCCTCAGATCGCTGAGCCTGCATCTTCCACAGCTCACAGCCAGGCCCAAGAATGAGCTGATGCCATGGGGAACCCGCCCCCACCCCTGTGCCCTCTGACAGGCTACTCACCTGGCGTGGCCACCTTCACCTCAGTGCTGCGGCTGACCGCCTGGCTCCCGCGGTAAGCGCTGCACGTATAGGAGCCCTCGTCTCGGGCCTGTAGGTTGTGGATCAGCAGTGTGCCATCCGGGGACTGGTACACACGGCGGCCATCGGCCTGCACTGGCAGCCCATTCCTGGGGTGGGGAGGACACAGGAGCGTCAGCCAGCTGTTCTTGTCTTCAGGCTGTTTGAGGCCTGGGACACCGAGAGAGATCTAAGACTCTTCCACAGCCAACCTCTCTCCCCTGAGGGCAACTGGATCATCCAAGAGAAAGCAGATAGGCACCCCAGAAAGGCAGAACATTATGAAAACAAAGTAACAGTGAGATGAACCCACACGGGCGCAGTGTGCACAGGGCCCTGTGTCTGAGAAGCCAGCAGAATTGCCTGGCATCTTCTGCCCCCGGCTGGTGAGGAGCACAGGTGTTTGGGGAGCCTTTCCTGAGGAAGCTGCTGGCTGAGACCTGGCCAACTGGCCAGCAGTGGACCGCCCATGACAGTGGCTTTGGGAGACCCAGCAGCAGGAAGGCGGGATATTCCAGTCAGCGCACTCAGCAGGCCTTGGCTGTGCCAGGGTTTCGGGCCGGCTCCCGGGTGATGGAGATGTTTGAGCTAAGCAGGGACTGGGGGATGCCCAGAAGCAGAGCAGCTGCTGTCTCGGTGCACATGGGGTAGATGACCCGGGCAGTGAGATAATGGGACTTGCTTGAAGGTCGGATATGGGTGGAGAGAGGAAGCAATCAGCCTGGATTACTGGTGATGATCATTTCCCTCCAACTTGGAGAGACTTGGGCCGGGCTGAACTTAGGTGCCACTATTTGGAATCTGCTTATGAGATACCAGGAGGCATCACATTTAAGGGTTGGAACCTAAGAGAATCCAAATCCATGAGGGACCCCAAGAAGCACGTCACCAAGGCTCTGAGGTGAAGCCATAGGAACTACCAAAGACAGCTGTTTCCTGGAGCCAAAGAAAGCAAACATGTCCGGAAGGACAAGGGGCCAGCAGAGCCACCCTACGGTCATAAGGACTGAGAGGTATCCCACAGGGTTAGCAACAGGGACAGATTACCCAGATGAACGGCTGAGCTTAATGTGCAGGGTAGACGTGTAAGCACTGAGGCTTTGGGCACCAACAGCTGACTGGTTACCACTGCCTCTTCCCGGGCCTGCAGCACATTCCCAGCATCCTCTGAAACACCAGCTTGGCCCTGCGGCTTCCCCTCAAACACCCTCTTCAGTCACTTCCCCTGGCTCCCCTCCCCGCACCCTCCCAACCCAAGCAGTCGCCCCGCCACCCCATGCTCTGGGCAAACCTCATCTGGAACTGTGAGACCCAGGGCCACCTGCTGCCTGGGGCCCCCAAAATTCCCTAGATCCAAAGTAGTCCTGACACATTCCAGGAAGGGAGGAGTGAAAAATGCTGAATGAATAAATGGATGCAGGGCCAGCTAGTCTGGGATTAAAGGCCACCATGTCCCCAAAGCCAACTGTAACCCACTGATTCTCAACGTAGAGAACAGAGCTTTACCTGGACCATCTGATGTTCACGCTTTCATCTCCCACCACACAAGGCAGCCTTGCTGTGTCGCCCTCTGGCACTGTGACAGTAGGTGGCAACCCTGTGATTGTCAGCTCTCCTGGGCACAAAGAGGAAGCGCGGTCAGCCATGGCCCAGATCCGGCCCCACCTTGCCACTTAACCTCCAAGCTGACGGCCCGACTCCCGCCTTACCCAGAACTCTGAGCTGGACCCAGCGCTGGTCTCGGTGCTGCCCATTGAAAGCAACACAGGCATAGAAGCCACCATCTTCTACACCCACTCGACTGATGACCAGAGAGCCATCTGGCTGCGTCTGGTGTCTAGGGACAAAGCAGAGTCAACAATGGGCTCCAGCCTGAGAGGGGCCAGCCAGAGGCGGGGAGCAGAAGGGGAGCAGTGAGGAGGCTGAGCAGCCACCGCCATCTAGGGAAGTCCAGCCAGGGACCTGGCAGGCCTCGGGTCCTCCAGGCACCTGCATGCTAATTTATTGAAAATGTTTGACTTTTAAGCTTCATAAACAAATTGTACCAAGTTTTCTATTACTTTGCTATTTTTACTTTGGGTTTCTCATATAAGAAAAACCTTGCAATATTTAACCTTATGTGTCTGATTTATTTCATTTACCTTTATGCACCCAAAGTGCACCCATTCCTACAGACTGGTCAAATTCTTTTTTGGTTGACCAGTACTCCGTTGTGTGTATATGTGCACATTTGCTTTACCCATTTATCCGATGATGGGCATACAGGCTACTTCCACGATTTAGCTATTGTGAGTTGTGCTGCTGTAAACATAGGCATGCATGTATCCCTACAATATGAGGGCTCTTTATAGAATAGCTGGGGCAAATGGAATGTCTATGGTTAGCTTGAGAATGCTCCAGACTAATTTCCATAACAGGTGTACTAGTTCACACTTTCACCAACAGTGTAAAAGGGTTTCTTTTCCCCTCAACAACCTGGCCAGAATTTGTATTTTAAGTGATGACAGTCATTCTTTATGGAGAAAGATGGAATCTCAGTGGGTATCAAATTTGCTAAATCAAAATAATTCTGGTTGCCATTGAGCACGGTGGTAGACCTATAATCTCAGCACTCCGGGAGGCTGAATCAGGAGGTTCTCAAGTTCAAGCTTGGTGTAGGCAATTTAGCAACTTATTAAGACCCTATCTCAAAAAGGGGCTGGGAAGATAGCTCAAAATGATCAGGATTAAATTCTCAATACAGGGGTGGCAGGGGGAGGAATCTGATTTGTTTCTATTTGTTGCCATAAAGGCTTAAATCCCAGTCCTACCACCTACGAGTTCTGAGCTCCCGAGTACAAAATGAAAAAGAGCACCTGCCTCAATAAGGTTCCTTTGCAGATTATGCAACAGAGAACAAGCCTCCCGTTCAGTACACGCCAATGACGTCAGCATTTACGTCCTGGCCCATCACCTCTCAGCCAGCCTGCCACCAACCACATTCAGGAAAGTCCCAGGGACCCAGATGTTGCCCCCACCCCAGCCCTGGAGTCCCACTCAGGCCGAGAGGTGTGGATGGGGCTGCAGGCAAGGGGGTGCTGGGTGGACCTGGGGGAGGAGAGGGGCTGCCCATCTCTCTGCCACTCGATGACTGGGGGTGGGAAACCATCAGCGCGGCAGGGCAGCCGGATCCGCTGGCCCGGACTGGCATCCACTACCCCAGGCTGGGTCCGGTCCAGACGCAGCCTGCAAGACAAGCCATTCACAGCCTCGCAGGGCCTTCGCTGCTGCCCTCCCCCCTTCCCCTTCTCCAGACAGAGTCATGTCCAAAATCACCCCTTTGCTCTGCTTATACTACCAATCAGGGAAGGGAAGCCTGAAAGCCACCTCAGACATTGCACCAGGACACTGCAGCTCGCTAGACACACCCAGCTCCCGGCAGCATCTCCATCTGTCTCCTCGCCCCACCACACCCCTGGTTTAGGACCCCCTCGGCCCTTTGATCCCCTCTGTAAACAGAGCTGATCCTCAGTGCCAGCTCCGGGCTCCCTTCCCTTCCCAGCTGCTTGGGGGGAAGGGGCTCCCCTCCGCCCCTAGGAGCCCAGCTCAGGGATTCGTGATTTTCTAACCCTCACACCTCATAGCCCTGTGCAGGGCCAGGAAAGCCAGGTCCCAGAGACCCCTTCTCCGCTCACCTACTGAAAACATGGGCCCTGGCTGACGGGGGGAAAGCCGGGAGCCAGAGGCACTGCTAAGCTGTTACCTGGTTGCAGGTTGTGGCTGTGGAGAGGGGACAGCCCCAGGGCCACCTGCATCTCCCCCTAGGGTGGAGTCCCGAGGACCATGGCCCTGGGCTGGGTCCCTGGTCCACGGGAAGTGCCTTGGCTCAGCTTCAGATGGTTCCGAGAAGTCACTCCCTGTCATGAGGCCAGGAAAAAAAAAAGCATGAGCTGTAGGAGATGGCTTGGCTGTGAGGCCAGTGGGGACACGTGAAAAAATGAGGGTCACACAGTGGCTCACACCCGCCCTCCCCCCCAGTGCCTCCCACTCTGGGACCTGGGTGACCCCAGGTGGGCATCGGATGGGAACAGGGACCTGCGACACGAAGCTGGATCTTCTGAGAGTCATGGCCCAGTCTGTTGCCACCACAGCTATAGATGCCAGCATCCTCTGCCCAAAGAGGGCTGATGACCAGGGAGCCGTCAGGCTGCAGCTGGTGCCTGAGGGGCAAGGAGGGGAGATACACTCTTGAGCCCACTCTTGAGCTCAGGGGAGGCCAGAGGGGCTACTGTCGGAAGACTGTCACACTGGCAGCAGGATTGCCACTGCAACACATACCTGTCAGAGGAGATGGGCTGGCCATCTTTGTGCCACTCAACCTGGGGGTCCAGGGAGGCGTCCTTGGAGCAGAAGAGCTGCATTGACTGCCCCAGGGCTCCCTGCACCAGCACGGGCTCCGAGCCTGCCAAACTGATCCTGGAGGGGGGAGTGAGGAAACCACTACTGAGACAGGGCTGAGGGCCGGGGTCAGGGCCCACCTCTCAAGCACCTCAACAGATGCCTTCATGTGTCAGAGTCCCATGGGAGACCAAGCTCCAGAAGCCAGGGGACCCTCCCAACTGTGCCCCCCCCCCATTGTCTTTCAACTAGTAACAGCAACAAGAAACATGGAAAGCCCAGGGGTTGGGGAGGGACTCACACACCCCAGATTTTGTGCGTGGCTGAAACATTGACAGTCCTGTGGCTGAGAGTTTTCACCTCTTTTCTGTGAAGTTTGTTTCTCTCCCCCCCCCCCCCCCCGTGCATGTGCACGTGTATATAGTACCGAGAATTAAGCCCAGGGTCTTACACATGCGAGGCAAGTGTTCTATCACTGCACTACACCCCCTGACCTTTCTATTTTGAGACAGGGTCTCACTAGGTTGACTAAGCTGGGGGCGGGGTTTGCAGTAATTATTTTCCTGGTACCGGAGATTGAACCCAGGACCTTGCACTTGCCAGGCAGGCACTTACACCACTGAGCTAAACCCGTGGCCCCCACTAGGCTGATTTTGAGCTTGGGTTTCCCTGTTTCAGCTTCCTGAGTAGCTGAAATTATAAGCATGGCAAGTTTTTTATTTCAATTTTCCAATATCTCCCATTAATATGTCCTAAGGAGAATAATGAAGAGAACCCACACCAAATCTATGACAGCTACAGAGCAGGAAACAATTTCACCATCGGGGGGCTCAGAGAAGTCAGTGACTTGCCAGAAACCAGGAAGCCAGTAAGTTTTCCCAACTAGACAGGCCCCAGGGTACATGGGCAAGATCTGATGGAGAACTCAGGTACCCACATCTATAGCAATCTCTGTGAGCTATCAGGTAACATCTCTAATCTCAATACCTGTAGAGTGAAACTATCAAGACCCACTGGGCAGGGGTGTCTGGGAAATGGAAGCTGGGGACAGGAGGCCCTGGCTGGATGCCCCGTCTCCCTACCTCACCTGTAAGAAGAGCTGGGTGAAGGTGGCATTGGCCATCTGGCATCTCTGCCCAGTCCTGGAGTCCTGGGCCCAGCCTCCTGGCCCCTGGGCCTTTCTCCAAAGGCCCGGGTCGGGTGGGCCTCCCCTGGCACAGGCTCCTGCTCTCTTCGCCAGAGGCCACCAGAAGATGAGGTCAGTCTAGGGCCTGCATCCTCCGTCCTATGCCTGTTGCTCTCCTGCCGGCCTCTGGGACCACTGCTGCAGCCATCTGTGTGAGTGTCCAGGCCGGTGGCCCCAGGCTCGGGGTGGTGCGGCCCACGCTGGGCACCCTGGCAGCTGCTCATGCACTCCTGTTCTGAGGCGAAGTTATTGGCATTGCCGTGGCAGCCGCCATACCAGAAGCGGTTACACCGGCCCACGGAGGCGATGAAGTACCAGCGGGGGGCCCAGTCTGTGCAGGAGCCGTGGGCACTGGGCAGCAGGCACCGCACCGGGTAGGCTGGGGCAGAAATGGGGCCTGTCACCAAGGTGGCCAGTGATAGAGCGGTAGCTATCTCTCCTACACCTCAGATGTAGGGAAGACACATCCTTCCGAGTTTATGGAGCATGGCTGCACCCTACCTGGATCCCCAACCTGGTTCTAGGGGTCTGTCTACCACCCAGACTTGCCCTAGAGGGCTCTAGCAGCATCGCCCTGAGCTAGAGCTCTCCAGGGGCAAAGGTCCAGGGTTCCCTGATCAGGTGATCCTCCTATAACACACCAAGCAGCAAAGTTTAGTCTTTCAGGCTTAATTTATGAAAGGACCCTGGCGCTAAGCCACCTCTACCCTGGACCTAGGCAGATGCCCCGTAAAGGACACACCCTTGTCCCCAGGACCCTGCAGCAGCATCTCAACCCATTCTGTCTGCCCATTCTGACAACTCTCCCAGCCATCACAGCCTGCTCCATCTCTCCACATTCAGATATAACCACCACCACCAGTCCAGGCTCCTGACCTCTTCTAGAGCCCTGACCACCAGTCTGTCCAGCTTTCAACATCCGTGATGGTCCCTGGCAGCTCCAGCCTCAGGGACCTCCCCAGCCCAGCTCTCCCTCCCTGGATGTCCCACTGCCCCTCCCACCCCTGGGCAGAGTCTGGGCACACCGGGTGTCCAAGCACTGCCCACCTTGACACTGTGTCTGTGGACTGAGGCATAGGATGAGCCTTCCCAAAATTATAACCTCCCCCAACTACTGCAAGCAGCCAGAAGGCCTCCAGTGCAAACAATCCTGGTACAAGAACAATCCAGCACTCTTCTTGGGCCTGGCATCTCGCAGACACTCAGGTATTTGTGGGAGAAGCACATCCACCCAGCAGAAGGATGAGAAGGGCATCCACTCACTCACCAGAGCTGGGTTGGCCTGCACATCCTTCTCCAAGGGGGCCTGCAGCAGAAGCCACATTGTCATAGCAACAGCCAAATTGGGAGCCCCGACACTCAGCAGGCTCATTCTGCTGGGGCTGGGGCCTGTGGGCTTTAGGGGCCTGGAGAAGAAGGTTGGGAAGTTAGGAATGGGCCTGGGTCCTGCAGAGTACCCTGGGCAGCCTGGGGAAGGACAGCAGGAAGGTCCACATGAATCCAAAGTGCATGATCCCAGCTGGAGGGGACCAGAGCCAGGATAAAGCCCCAACCTCAGCCCAGGCCCATGTGAAGCCGTGCACCCTCAAGAGGGCAGCCCAGACTAGAATGCCATTCCCCAAGCCCAAAACTGTGAAAGCCTGGGCTAGCAACACCCAGCGACTCAGGGGCCGTAACCTTCCTGCCCATCACCTCAGCCACTTACAGCGGAAGGCACCACCTTGGACCCTGGCCTCCTTCCAGCATCGCCACTGCCATAAGGCCTGGTGCAGCCAGCCTGCTGGGGCCCCTTGGCTGCAGACACCCCGTCAGGGCAGCACCCGTACCTAGGCAGACAGCACACAGCCTTCCTTACTGTCAGCCTGGACCCCAAGCTCCCAGGGGCCCTGCGTGGGGCTGACCAGAGAGGCCCTGAAGGAGAGGACCAGGGACCCCAGGCCAGGTGCCCCGTCTATCCATGTCCACCACCACTCAGCAGCTGCCAGGGAGAGGAGTGGTAAGCGGAGGCCCTGAAAACTGACAGACGCTCTAACCCCAAAATCAAGAAAGGCAGCTTCACCTGAGCCCACTCAAAGGTCAGGACCCCAGGGAGCCTTCACAAGATAACAGCAGATGGAGAACAGGCCACTCCAAGGAGCCCACCGCCCATCTCTCTCTGCCAACCAGCTATGGGGAGGAAGCAAGGCAAAAAGGGATGGACCCAAGCACCTACATGCCAGGTACCTTGTGATTTATTCTGTCCTCACAATAACCCACCCCACGGCTATCACCGTTTGCAGTTCTTGGAAAAGGAAGCCAAGATCAGAGAAGTAAGTTGCCTCAGGTCAGCATGCAGCTGGTAAGTGACAGCTCTGGGAATCATCCTGAGCCTTAGCACCCCAGCCCCTAGGAGGGACCTTTCAGGGCAGGGCTTGGAAGAGGAGCCTCAGGGAGAGTGTTGGGAGGAGTCAGCCCCTCTCTGCAAGGCTGCCGTGGGTGGGCTTCGTGGGAACTTGCTGGGAATGGGTCAGCTCTGTCCAGCTCTGCCGTGGGTTCCCTAGGCCTGCTTTGGGTCTAAAAGCTGGAACCTCCCCTCAGGCTCAGGTCCTTCTTCAAGAAGCTCACTGCAAGGAGGCAGATCCCCTAAGATCCTACAACCAGGACAACTCAGAAACACCTTGTCTCAAACCTGAGCTCCCAAACCAGCCCACCTCTATTCCCAGCAGAGATTCGGGGACTCCCATCAGCGGCCCCCAGCTTCCCACGTTGACCATCCCAGTGCCCACCTGCTCTGCTGACACCAGGCCTCAGTCCTGGGACAGCCTTGGCCCTGCGGCCCAGGAGATGCCATGCGGCCATCAGGACAGCACCCATAGGGGCTGTGTCTGCAGTCTTGGGCTCCTGAGCCAGACCTGGGGGGCTGCCTCAGAGATGGGTTTGGTCCTCGAGTTGAAGGTGGGGAATTGTGGAACCTCCCGGGTCTATTCGGAACCCAAGGTCGCTGGTCTCTGGAGTCTAGAAAGGAGAAACAAGAGCCAGGCAGTGGGTCCCCCTGGCTCCTCACTCATTACCTGTGTCTGCCTCTAACCCATCTCCTTTCATCTTTGGGGCCCCTCACCCCACTCTGCCACCCTTAACCTCCATGTCCAGGTGCTACCCAGGCAACCAGAGAGGGCCCCCTGGGTGAGAGGCTGTACCACTCCTACCTGAGGCGAGGGCCTCCCGAGGGTCTGAAGGCATCCAGGGGCGCCTGGGGTGGACATCGGGGTCCTGCACACTGGGGACCTCTGCAGGGAACAAGGGTGATAGGTGTGGAGGCAGAACCCAGCACAAAGAATATCAGAGGAGGCCATTTCAGCAAACAATAGCTGAGCCTCCTGCACGCTGTGCTAGGGATGTTCTGCGGGGGACAGAGGCAGGAGAAAGGGACTCTAGTAAGCCCAGTGACACAGAAAATTGATCAGCGACACAGAAAAGAGATATGCTGGGGGCAGGGACAAAGGAGAAGCCACTGCCTCTGGGTGGAGGAAAGGAGGGCCGCTCAAAATGTTGCAGGGAAGATGGACTTTGCCATAGCAAGCCTTCAGCAGAGGCCTGGCACCTGGTGGGCAAAGGCCCCAAACTGGAAGTGGCTGCTTGGTTGGCATGGAGGGGGACAGAGAAGCAAAGAGGGAAGCAAAGAGAGGGGGCTCCCTGCCTGTGCTCACCCTGAGGCAGGTGGCAGGGCTGCGTGTTACAGAGCTCCACATCCCTGGGCTTCGACTGCTGCAGGTTCTTACAGTGGCTGGGCGGCCCAATGGCACAGACAACCTGTCTCCTCCGAGTGCCCGAGCTGCAGCTCTTGGAGCACTGGGGTCAGTGGGGGTTGGGGGTGGGAGAGACAGACCTGAGGCTGGGACACCCAAAGGAAGAAGGAAGGGGAAGGTGGCCCACGACACATGTCACATCACTGACAGTGCATGTGTACCCACCTGCCCAAGGTGCCAGTCTGACAGCAATATGGAGGAAGAGGGGACAAGCACTCACTAAACCCCAGGCGCTGACACGCCAGGCCTGGTCACTGTGGAGGGGACAGGCTGCTTGCACACAGGTCTCCATGAAGGGTGGCCGGTCTTCCAAGGAACATGCCGAGGCAGGGAGCATAGACCCTTCGTCACCCTGGCAAGTCACACTCCGCCTCCGGATGCCAGCACCACAGGTGACAGAACACTGCAAGAGCCAGTTATCAACACAAGCTGCTCCCAGCCCAGAGGAGCCACCCAGGGGACAGCAGAGGCCCACTAGCCTGGCACGAAGGGCAGAGTGCACCCTACTGCTGCGTCCTGCTCCCAAGCCCTGAGAGGATGCGTCACTCTGAGGTCACACATTCTGATCATGGTTGTGGACACCAGATGAGGGGCATCACGCCTTCATTCCTAACTAGGGCAAGGGCAGATGCTGCAAGCAAAGACCAGCAGCCCCAGCCCTGCAGCCCATTCATCACCGCCAAACACCATGCCCTGCCGCTGCTTCAAGCCAATGCAAGGTCTTGGGACCTTAGAGAAGAGTGAGTTCCCTCTAATCCCAGCCTGCCCACAGCTTCCAAGATGACCCTCCCGAACCTCAGCGTCCATACAGAGGACAGATGCTCAGCCTGGCCCTGCTACCTCTAGGGCCCAAGACAGGGCTCCTTGCTCTGACTCTAGTCCGGGCTAGACGGGGGCCTCACCTCTCCCCAAGGCCCGGCGCTCCAGGCTGCACAGCGATGCAGGTTGCAAGCCTGTGTGGAAGGGGGCTTCCTGGGCAGGCCAGCACACTCAGCCTCCTCAGCAGCCTCCTGTCCTCCAGAGCCATCAGACGAGACACAGTAGACAGAGCGGGACTGGGAGCCGCCCCCGCAGGAGGCTGAGCAGGGCGTCCATGGCCCTACCTTCCAGCTGGCAAAGAATGGGATTCAGGTCAGGCTGGCCTGGCACAGCAGGCCCCCCTCTGAATACCTGGGCTATGCAGTGGACCAAAGAGCGCTACACAAAGAGCACGGCCTCTCCTCCACATCCTCCCAACCACTCAATGGCCATCTGCAGGGTGGGGTCCTCAAACTCGGAGCCAACTCCTGCCCCTCAGCTTCTCTACCCTCACCCTAAATCGCCCTTTCCTTCTCACTGAGTTCCCTTTCACCAAACCAGACTTCAGTCCCACTGGGTCCAACCTGGATGGGGGACATCTCCAGAGTGGATGTGCTGCCCTGTGCATGGAATGGCCTTGCCTGGCACCAGGTGTGACTGGAAGGGCAGCCCCCACCACACCATGCACAGCTACGCCCACCACCATCCACGAGGCTGCTGCCACCAAGGCTGGGTGGGCAGATTACCTGTTCCCACACACATGCTGGGCCCCAGCATGGCGCCACGCTCCGGGCTGGTACAGGTAAGAGGTCCTTTGTGCATGAACAAAGGATTGCCGATGCCAACATGCCCTTGGCCAGATCCCCGGCTCACCCCTCAGCGTGTGCCAAGTTGAGCACCCTGCTGGCTCAGACCAGGACTTCCAGTAGGTCCCCGACCCTCCTGCCAGCAACCTGGACATTCTGAGTACTGCATGGGCACACGAGGCCAGAAAGGACAGCCTGAGGTCTCATGCTCCAGTCCCTTTGCTGCCTCCCTCAGTGACAGCTGCCCCCTTAGCCATACTGTGGGGAGCCCTGGTACCCCAGCCTCCTCACTATAGTCCTAAAGCAGCTTCAAGACCCCCTCCCGCCCCTTTCCACCCATCCCATCCCATCCCACCCCACCCCAGGCAGAAGGAGCTGGCAAGGGCCTCACCGCTTGGTTTGTGGGCAAGGGTGGGGGTTGCAGGGGCGGCTGTCAGCTGGCCGAGGCTGGCGCTGGCACATGTGGGAGGGATAGGCCTCGCTGTCACTGGTGCAGAACACCAGGCGGGATTGGTGTCCTGTGCAGGGGCCGGGCCACAGAGAGCAGCTGATCAGTCAACCTTCTCCAAATGCACTCTAGGCCGGGCACTGTTTTGGACTTGGTCCAAGGTCACCTTGGTTAAATCTCAGACAAACCTCAGGAGGCATCAATTACAGATGAGGAAACCGAGCCTCAGAGCGTTTCCACTATGAGTGGCAGAGCCCTGTGTGACCCCGGTCATCAGTTCCAGGCCTGACCTCCACTCCCAATGGTTCTCTGTGGTGTCCCCCACATCCCGGGCTCCCCTAAGGTGACCCCATGCATGGAGATTTCTTGCCAGCTTGCCCACCTCCCTGGTAGCATAGCCTTGAGGAGAGGGCTGTGCCCCACCCCATCCCGGGCTGTCGGGGCCTCACCTCCGCCACACTCCACACTGCAGTCACCCCACGATGTGTGGCTCCAGCTGAAGCCCTGGCTGGACCTCGGGCCGTGCAGGGGCAGGTAGTACTCGTAGTGCACACCGGGGTTGGCCTCCTGGCTGATGAGCTGCAGCAACGCATCCTCCTGAGGTCAGCTGTACCCCACCACCCCCTAGCCAGGCTCATACCCATGTCTCCTGAGCACCTACACACAGGGCTTGATCAGTGCCCAGCTTCCCACCCCATTCTCACCTCAATAATCAGGGGCTCCGAGGTGGGGCCCCGGGCCTGGAGCCTCTCAGGGGCCAGGTCACCCTCAGCACCCCTTTCGTAGTGCAGGATGGTGTTGGCCACTGGCAGGGCCTTGGCCTCCGCGATGGTCCAGTGCCCATTGAGGTAGTACTCCCCACGGACGCTCCGCACAGCTGCACAGGGACAGTGGTGGAGTTAGGGGAGGGTACACCTCAGGCTGCCCAAACTCACCCCACAGCCAGAGCACAGCCTCACCCAGGAAGTTCCTGCTGGCAGCAGCCTCCTCGATGTGAATGCTGGTGGCCCCCGGGGGAATGATGAAAATCTGGTTGTAGCCTGGGAAGGGCAGAAACTCAGGTTAGAGATCGGTCACCAAACTGCCCTCACCAAGCCCCTGAAAGGAGCTGTCCCAAAGGACTCCCAGGGCCACACGGTACAGAAGAGGGACGCACCAGGCTTCTTGGGGACTAGTGTTCCCTGCCAGCAGACAGAACAGCTCAATGAAGGCCAGAAGCCTCAGGGCACCCAGAGCAGGCTGGGAGAACAGTGTCAGGACAGGGACCAGCGGAAAGGATAAGATAGGGAAGCCAGGTGGTGGCACTGAGATTCAACCAGAGTCCTAACAGTCACAAGGGAGGCTCCCATGAAGAGTGCAGCCTCCACCTGTGGCACCCCCTGCATCCCTGCCCCTTGACCCACAGACCCCCTTCCAGGTGCCACAAGTGCCACTTAGACTTAAACCTTGGTCAGAGAAGGAGACAGCTAGCACAAGGCTGGCCACACCCCCCAGGGGACCCACCTCTACTGAGGTCATTGGCATCGAAGGTGCCTGTGACAGGGTAGCAGCTTGTGCCATCTCCCCCGCACTGCAGACACTTGTCTTCCTGTTTGGGAGAGTCTAGCTCGTGGTCACAGCCGACGACCTGCCAGGGAGGATGAGAGATGAGAGCAGCAGGGAGACAAGGGCCTGGCAGGATCCCTGGTCAGCTGGTCCTACCTATCCCGCCCATGCTCCAGGCAGGACAGGGTGTCAGGATTAAAGATTATACAGCAGAAGCCAGCTGGACCTGTCTGCGTGGCTCCCATCTCCCCTTCTTTGATAAACACACACTCTCTCCCCCTGGAGGCCCCAGCCCCCTTTTAGAGCTTGAATGATGCTCCCCAGGCTGGGTTTGGGGCAATCAGCGGGTATTTTATTCTCCTTCCTCAGAGTGAAGTGAGGCCAGGGCAGTGAGAGGTGATGCCAAGGAGCCAGCCCTGCCCTGGGCCTTGCTGAGCTGCTACAGCAGAGGCCTGGAGCTGCATCTCATCACACTTTGTAGGAAAAACCTCCCTGACCCTGGTGCTAACAAGAAGGGTATAATGGAAGAGGTAAGGTGAGAGAAGTTTCTGGAAGCATCCTCCAAGCACCTGCAACCATCCCTGCTTAATATTTGGTTTTCGCTGCAGTCAGTTGTAGTTAAGCGCTGACAACATGCCTCCTTTACGGGGTCAGCATTCTCAAAGGGCAAAGGCAATGTGAGGAGGTTAGAGGGCGGCTGTCACAGCTGCAGAGCATCCCAGGAGCAAGGCGGGGTGCCCTGATAACTTGAATCGACCCTGCCCTGAGCAGGGGAGGGACATCACTCACCCGGCAGCGGCCATCCACACAGACATCCCGTCCACCAGGCTCACAGGGTGTCCCGTCCAGCACAGCTTCCCGGTGCTTGTAATAGAAGTTCTCCCCCTTGGGGATGCAGTTCAGCTCACACTTGTTTGGGGCTGGGGTGCGCAAGAGGAGGAAACTGAGGCCAGGGGCCAAAGCCTAGCCTAGCAGCAGGGAGGCGGGGGCCAAAAGCACATTTGTGACTGGGAGAAACATGCCCTTGCAGGAGCTGCCCCCACCAGATGGCACGGAACCCCAGCCCATCTTAGGGAGAAGGGACAGAGTCCACAAGTGGGCTTATCTCTGGGGACCACATCAAAGAAACTCCAGAACGGGGCAAACATACACTTAAGAGGCCTAGCCTAGCACTGTGTATAATGGTGCAGGTGTTAACTACAGGCTACCCTGAGTCATCACTGGGCACCGTGCATGCTGGCACGCAGCTGATACAGACATTGGATGGGAAATGCTCACAGTGGAATGCAACATGGTGGGAACTCTGTAAGTACGGACATTTGGACATACAGAGAAACCACGGGAGAGCGAGGATGAAATGCCAACAGTAATCCTACAAGAAGGCAGGCTTAGGGTGACTCGCTTGAATTTATGTTTCTTATTTTTTTTGTGCTCACTTTGGCCACACATACACTAAAATATTTTTCTTACTTATCATAACTCCAGCCCCTCACACTGAGCTACATCCCCAGCCCCTTTTAATCTTTTGCTAAGTCACTGTATCATATAGGCTGGATTTAAACTTGCAATTCTCCTGCCTCAGATTACAGGCATGTGCCACATCAGGCTTTTTCATCTAATCAATATAGAGCGATCACACACACATTGTTTTTTGTTCCTCTATGCAGTTCAGGCTGGCCTTGGGCTCACTTTATAGCCCAGGCTGGTCTCAAACTTACAAACGATTCTCCTGTCTCAGCCTCCCAAATGCTGGGATTTATAGGAGTGCACCACCATGCCCAGCTATGTACTCATTGTTTAAACAGCCCTAGAGCGCCCCATGTGGTGGCGAATGCTTGTAATCCCAGGTTCCAGAGACTGAAACTGTAGGACTGTGAGGCCAATCTTGGTTTCATAATGAATTCAAAGTTAGCCTGAACTACACAGGGAGAGCCTGTCTCAAAACAAACAAAACAAAACAAAAAAGACACCACGGCGCACACACACAACCTGAGAGTGCTAACTGGTCCATAATTAACTCCAGCAAGATAGGCACCCCTTGAGTACTCTTTCCAACTTCTCTATGATGTGGATTGCATATTTTTAACATCAGGATTCAGAAGTACTGAATACAAGGGACCCTCGGGAACAACCCATTCTGGCAAAGGAACTGCCAGGCACGCGAGTTCATTGCTTAAGAATTCAGAGCCCCGAGGTTGCCAGGAGTCACTGGCTGGAGCAGCCCATTGCATTCGCGGCTGCGTGTCTTTCTGCACCGCGTTTCCCTAACATTCCTGACCTGCACCCCCAGCGTCCCCCACACTGTGCCCCTCCTGAGCTGGGTGCATGGGCTCTCCCCAGGCCAGGCCAGGCCAGGCCCCTTCTGCAGCTCGCCCCACAGCACTGCAGCCCACCCTCGGCTCCGCCCCGGCCCTGCGCGAGAAGCTTCCTCTGAGCACAGCCGGAACCGAACCCGGGCTTCAGACAGCCCAGATCACCAGAGATTTGAGAAAACGCGTCCAGGGGGCGAGGCCGTGAAGACCCCAACCTGCCCCCCGCCGCGGGGCCGGGGCCTGGCGACAATGGCGCTGCGCTCACCGCCGTAGTAGGGCAGCCACCGGTACTGCCGGCCGTGGAACGAGGCGCCGTCCAGCTCCGCGCACTGCTCTGCCCTGAAGTCCCGCGCGCCATCGGGGCAGCTCTGCGTGGCAGGAAGGCAAAGTGGGTCCCCAGCGAGGGCCTCCGAGGTCAGGGTCCTGCCCACCCTACCCCTCCCCAGCCGAGAACCAGGGTCTCTGCCCCACCACCCCATCCCGTCCCAGGGCAGTCAAGGGGTGCACGGCGGGATGGGGTCATGGGGTCGGTCACGGCCTTACCTCGGTGCGGCAAGTGCGGTAGCTCCGTGCGGGGCCCACGCAGCTGGTGCCTCCATCCCTCCTGCAGGGCGAGAGCCCCGGAAAGATACCTCATCCCCCGGCCCCTGGGGCTCTCCCGCAGGTCCCCCAGTTTTGGTGGGCTCCTGGGTGGGCAAGCCCGGGCCAGAGGCCCAGCAAGGGGGAAAGGAGATGCGCTGACATACATTGCCCTGGAGGGGGGTTGGTGGCCTGGTGTCTGAGCAGAAGTCTCTCACAAGCCGGACCATCCCGAAGTCGGCCTAACCCAGTGCCTCAGAAAGCAATTTTCCAGAGAACACAAATCCTGCGCTTGGAGATGAGAGGGGATGCACACCCAACTGTAGCGCCCCACTGCAGTGTTGGCAGCAAGTATAAGGCCTCCTCTCTTCTGCCCCTTCTCCAGAGCAATGAGCTCAGGGAGCCCCTTCATTGCCCTTGTCTTGTACCCCACCCTCTCTGTGGAACCTATCAGGGTGCAGAGCAGGCAGCGCATGCTCAACAAGTCACTGAAATGAGGAACATCCACACTTAAAAGCGGCTGAGGGTTAGGAATTGCTAATTGGAGATCATTTACTCCGCTGCACCTGCGGACCCAGCTCGGCAACCAGATAGCAGTGCAGGAAACTCACATACTCCAGTTCCTCTCCATCAGGGGTGATCTCCAGACTCATGGTTAAGGGGCAAATAAATTGCTGTCCTACACTCTGCTGATGTTGCCCCCAGGATGTGTCACTTGGAGGCCAGTGGCACTTTAACCTCAGACCCAGCAGCCAGCCTGCCTTGCACCCACCTTTTTTAAACCCTGGCGCCTTCTAGTCCACCCTACCTCTGCGAGTAGCAGGTCCGCTCCCGGAAGCTGATGCCCCCTCCGCAGGTCCGGCTGCAGGAGCTCCAGTCACCCCAGGGGCCCCAGGTGTCACTCTGCTGCCTTGCCTCGGGAGCCTGCAGAAGATGCCTCAGGGTTTGAGCCCAGAGCCCCCACCAGGACCCCTTGCCTACAAATCCCCCCTCTCTCCAGTTCAAGGGGCCTGGGAGTCTCCTTCAGGGCTCCACAGCTCTGCCAGGCACTGCAAGATATTTATTCACAAAATTAGCCAGCTTTCATCATAAGGAGCTCAGAGTTAGGCCTGGAGAGTGAAAGGGGCGAGGCAGCCAGCGAGATCAGAAGTTGTAAGACTCCTGGAGTCTGCTCAATGCTAATGCAAGGACGGCCCTAAAAGAGAAGCAACTGAGATCAGGGGTACATAGCTGCGTGACTTTCAGCCCCCCACCTAATGCTGTTCTGCTGTGGCTTTTGCATCTGGCAAAGAAGCCACCATCAGCGGTGCCTCTTGAGCCCCCACCCCACCCCGGCTTGCCACACATGAGGGGAAGCCTGGGTGGAGTCTGGCTTGAGAGATATCTGCAAGCATCTAGAAGCAGCATCAGTAGAATGTACTCATGGTGATTAAAGAAAAATAGTGAATTTTTTTACTTTTTTATAGTGAGACACATTGGCATTAATCTCCCTCAAAAATGCTCTCCTTCACTTCGAACACACATCATTGTTCTTGCCACTTTATATTTTGGTTCAGGGAATGGAACTTACGACCTTTGCCAGGCAGGCGCTATGCCGCTGAGCTATATCCCCTGCCCTCTGCCACTTTCCGGAGCAATTCTGCAAGTCCTTGTTCAAGTGTTTGGTGGTATGTCCGTGGCTGCCTCAATGTCCTCAATCAACTCAAAACCTTTACCTTTCATGGAGATTTTGACTTTGGGGAAAAGCTGGAAGTCACATGGTACCAGATCCAGTGTTGCCAAAACGTTTTGCCAAAAACGTTTGGAATTGATTCAAAACGCTGAGATAATCACAAAAAACAAAAAACAAAACAACAAAAAAAAACACCTCACAAAAGAGGACTTTCAGAATGGTTTCAGAATGTGGCAAGAATGATGGGATGTGTGGTTGAAGCGAAGGGAGTATTTTGAGGGAGGTTAATGGCATTGTCTTTTGCTGTCATGATTTTTACTTAACCATTCACATTTTTTTTATTATACAAAACATAGAAGCCATGTGTCGTGAGAGGGCGCCTTCCCTACACAGACAGATAAAAGATAAAAGACAAAATCTTTATGGCACCATCACTGAGTTCTCATCAGGAAATGGAAGCATTGAGCAGCATTCTCTGGTAATGTCCTTAAAGCAGGGGCTCCCAACAGGGCAGGGCTGCTGTGGCCAACACAGTGGTTCCCTGCCCTGGAGCCATCTGGCCCTGGACAGGATGAGGTGGGGTCTAGCTTGGATACAGGGCTCTATGGAGCACAGCCAGGGGAGAGCCCAGCAGGCATCCTCCTGCCTCTGCACCCACTTCGAGGCTGCAAAAGGCTTCCTGAGGCTGGCATCGCAGAGCCCTGAACAGCGCCATCTCGCGGGCACATTTTGTTCACTGTTAATTACCCAAACCACTGGGCAGTGTGATACCAGGAGCTACTACAGCCGGCCTTGCTGGGCCTCTGCCTGCCTGTCCCCACCTGCTCCTCCTCCAAGCTCCCAGCTGCAGCAACCCAGAAGCCCCTTTTCTGCTGTGTTGTTTCCAGAGGAATCAGCTGCCCCCTGTGCTGGAGAAGGGGGTGGAGTCATAGGCCTCATGGCACGGTGCCTGGAACCCAGGCTAACAGTCCACTCTTCCTGGGTAGTACCCAGAGTGAACCCCAGATGGCATTCAGGGATCCCTCAGTCGGCCCCAGCTAGAACCAGAAAAGAGACAGCTGAGCTGTGGCCTTGGTCACATCCCTTTTACCACACCAGGAGGGAGCGCAGGAGTCCCAGCCCCACTTGAGACTCTGCACTGGAGGGGAGGAGGAGGCAGGGAAAGGCTACTTGGGTCTTGGCTGTGTCTAAGGAAGAAGGGACCCAACAGCATTCAGGGTGCTTTTGTGATGGGGGTAGTTCTGAGGAGTAAACCCAGGGCCTTTGCACTGGACTACACCCCACCCCTGCCATTTTTATTGTTTGAGATGAGGGCTGGCACAGCCACACAGGTTGGGCTTGAACTTGCAATCCTCCATGCCTGCCTGGCTCTAGGCACTATGTAGGTTTTCATTAATGTCCTCTGTGCAGCATTTGGGCAGGCATAGAAACCCCCACATTAGAGGGGAATGCCGCGGTCATGGGGGCTCTGGATCTCATTCTGGGGTCTTAACACTGTCACCATGGCCCCACCACATGGGTTTTGGCCTATAAGCAGCTGGGGCACCAGTGCATAGGGAAGGAGCTCAGAGTGGCACCCAGGGAGCAGGGCTGCAGGAGACAGAACTGGGAAGAGGAGGGTGGCTGTAGCCCACCTGCCATTCTGCCTGTGGCCTTGGAGGATGGCCCCATGCCGCTGCTGACACCACCCCTGCCTGCCCTTCTGCCTTCCCCTGCACTTCCAGAGTGACACTGTTCCTTGCCCTCCCCCGAGTAGCACACCGCCATGTCCTTCCTGTTCCCCTGGTGTGTCTCTCACAGGTGAAGCTGTGCTGTCCCGTCTGCAGGGAAAACTCTCAAGGGGCAGCCCACAGCCCCGCTGCCTCTATGCCCTCCCTTCGCTCAGCAGCAAGCCAAGGCAGTGCCCTCCTTTCTCCACAGATGGGTCCTGCAGTATAGGACAGTTCCCGCATAGCCTTAGGACCCAGTGTCCTCTGGGGGGTCCTACTCTTCAGACCCCTCCTCATCAAACAGCTGCTCTGATTGATGGTTTCCAGGTAAAGGCAGAAACCATCTGATTGAAACCAGTTGGTTTCCTGTATCCACTAAATTTGTGCTAATATCATAGCAGTAGTCACATGTGGCTGTTTAAGTTAATAAAAACCAAATCAAATGTAAAAATTCCTCATTTGCACTGGCCACATTTTAAGTGCTCAACAGCCACCGTGGACCTCGCGGCTGCCTACTGGGGAGCAGATACAGATGATGTGGTTTCTGTTCTTAGAAGGTTCTACTGGACTGTCCTGCTTGGTTACTAACCCCTAAGGAGAAAGCAAGCCACAGGTACCCCAAGTCTGAAGGCCCCCAAAGCCCAGCGAATGGCAGCTGGAGCTGATCCTAGCAGGTGTCTGATAAGATGGACCTCGGCTGATCCTAGCACTGCCCCCACCTGTCTCTTGGAAGATGCCATGGGCAGGAGCCTCTCCAGCATCAACCAGGACCCAGCACTCTCTGAAGCGGGCAGGCAGCAAGGCAGGCAGTTCTAGGCACCCGGGCCAGAAGGCTCCAAGGGCCCAGGTTCTGAAGGAGCTGCGCCCACTGGCTGGTCTTCTCCTACCCATCGCCCCTCTTCTGCCCAGCCCTGTGCCCCTTAGACAGCAGGCACCAGGTTCCACCCCACCTCCCCTGCAGAGACCTGGCTGCACTTACCGAGGACCCGGGCTGCAAGGCCAGCAGAAGGGGCACAAGCAGGATCAGCTGCATCTCCGCCTGCGCCTGCGGGAGAAGTTTAGCTTGGAACCGCGCGGGCAGAGAGGTCACCCCCCCCCAACACACACACACCCCGCCCGCTGCAGCCCCGGGGCAACAGCAGCAGCCTTGAGCTCTAGTGCCAAGCGTGCGGGTGCCGCCTTCCCTCTTGTGGCCCACGGGTAACTGGGAGACACGCTCAGGGAGCTCTGGTGCACACTCACACGGGTGGGAAAGCCAGCGCCCATCCACGACCTGCAGACGTTCAGGAACAACCTGTTTCAAAGTTCCAGAGAAAGAAAAAGAGACAGGGCAAATACAAATTATCGAAAAACATGGAGTTCAGGACCAAGATGGGCAGACATTTAAATTTAGCAAGGGATTCCCTTTATAAAAGTCACTTCATAGTTGTTTTTAAACACCTGACACCCCCCCCCCCGCCCAAAGTAGATCTGTAAAACAGTTTTATGACTACAATGGATTTTTTGTCTTTTTCCATTTTATCGGTACCAGGGATCAAACTCACGACTGCCTGCTTGCAAAGCAGGTGCTTATGCCGCTGAGCTAAATCTCCAGCCCTGACTACAATGGATTTTTAAAAATGAAGGTCTTGGAAAATATTTTTGTTGTCGTAGTTGTTTCAAAATAGGGTCTTGCTATGTAACCCAGGCTGTCCTCAAACTCACAGCGGTCCTTCTGCCTCAGCCTGTTGAGTGCTGGGATTGATTACAAGTGTGCACCGCCACGCCTGTCTGAAACTAATTTTTAAATTCGACTTTTAAAAAACTGTTGGCCGGGGCTGGGGATTTAGCTCAGCGGTATGAGAGCCTGCCTTGCAAGCAGGCAGTCGTGAGTTCGATCCCTGGTGCTGATAAAAACGAAAAAAAAAAAAATGTTGGCCGACTGTGAGTGAGGCTCAGGGGTAGTGCAGGTGCACAGCATGTGTAAAGCCCTGAATTTGACTCACAGCGAGGCGCTCACACAGGCACCCCACCCCCACCCCGCCCGTCTCTGACTCCAGCGGCCCAAGCAAGCAGAAGACCGGGTCAAAGCGAACCTAGGCCACTTAGCAAGCCTCAGATATTTTTTAAAGGCTGGAGATGTAACTCAGTGGTAGAGTGTGCAATCTCCAGTACGTTAAAACTAAAATTTGTATCCTCCTTAAACGAGCAGTTTTCTGCCCTGGGAAGCTCCACCAGAGGCGCACCGGGTGCCTGCGCGGTGTGCACGTGTGCAGCGAGGTGGGTTCACACGCACTCGCAGAGCAGCGCGCGCCGCTCAGCACAAGCTCTAAGTACTGACTTGCCTCTCTGAATTTTTAAATGTGTCATGCTAACAATGTCCTAATTGTTTTTAACTATAAATGACTTCGGATTCCAAGGATAAAACAATATAAGCCAAGTTCAGCAAACTCTGTCCTGGCACATTTATCGACTGACGTACACGCGGTTCACTTGGCACAAAGCTTCACTGCATTATTTTCAGGAGCCTGGTCCTAAGGCTGACGGGGACAAGTCTTTAAGGGGGTGGTGACCTTAGCTAAGGGACAGGTTAAACACAGGACACAAGACAACAAGACCCTGCCTGCGCTGCCGTCGCCACTGGACGGCGATCCCGTATCCGCAGATCCAAACGCCGCAAGCCTGAAGGTCGGGGTGGTGTCCGCTCGCCGGGTAAACGGCGCCGGGCCTCGCCCTCCCCGCTGCCCGGTTGGCGGGGCGCCCCCTCCGGCTCCTCGGGCTCCAGGGCCGAGGCGGGTGCAGGCCGGGGGTCGCGCCTAGGGGGCGACAGTGTCGCCGAGGACGCGAGGACAAGGGGCGGGGCGACAGCGCGCCCCACCGTGCGCCCAGCCGGCGGGGTGGCCGCGGCGGCGTGATCGGGCTGCCGGCCCGCCTGTTGCCGGGAGCAGGCGCGGGCGCTCCGGGCCGCCCCGCTCCGCGGCGCCCCCTGCTCGCCCCGGACCCGCACCTGACCGACGGGGCAGCTGCGCGCTCGCCTCCCGGGCCCCACTTCCCGGCCCCGCAGTCGCCCGCCCGGCCCGCCGCCCTACCTGCGTCTGCCTGCGCCGCGGCCAGGAGCGCTCTGCCGCGTCCGCTCAGCCCCGGCCCGAGGTCACCCGCCAGCCGCCGCCCCAGAGGTTGGACTTTCTCTCCCCGCCCCATCTTCCCCCCACCAGCCCTACTGACACCAATCCCCGTGGGCGGGCAGAGCCCCGCGCAGCGGCCCCTGCAGTGACCCGCGATGCCCGTGCCTCCACCCCCTGTGTCCGTGCCACGCTCGGCTTATCCTCCACTCTTGGGACGCCCAAGTGATTCCTGTTTGGGGTCTGAGCAGGTAACCTCTTCAATCCCATTTCCCTTTGCCTCAGCCCACCTGCTCTTTGCAAATATCCCCCCCCCACCCCCGCCACAGCTACCTGACCCTCCCCTGTTGTCTTCCAGCTGAGTTTCTCCACCTACCTGAAGGCGTCCCTGCCAGCTTTTCCCACTGCCCAGCACTCCCACGTCCTAACTCCTACTCATTCCTCAAAACCCGGGTCAACTTGCACCTTCTTTTGAAGCCTTCCCCACCCCACCCCCAAGCAGAGTTGTTGTACCCTCTGCTTCCTAAGTGTCTGTCCCTGCCCAGTGTAGTTCTAAAGAAGGTGCATCACACTATTGAGAGTTTCTAGAGAGTAAGACCTGCAAGCCCCATGGCCTGTGCCCACATTAGCTGGCAACAAGGTAGATCAATAAATGTGATAAATGAGATTTCCTTCCCAATTGTCTTTTTTTTTTTTTTTTTTCCCCTCAACCAAGTCACTCCTTCCTTCCATGCCTGCCATCCCTTTTTTGAAATACACTTTTCCCTAGGAATGTGGGCCCTGGGCTTGCAGAGGTGGAGAAATCACAAGGGCTGGTCCCCTTCCTCCTCTTCTGCTGTTAGCCTTTACTAGCCCTGGCATGAGTTGCTTCTGTCCAGGCATCAAGTGGGCACAGAAAAGTCACCAACCCTGAGCTCATAGAGAACCCTTCCCAGCCTGCCAACTCTTACCCAGTAGGACAGAGAGGAGGGGCCACAGCTGTGTCTCAGGGGCTCCCTGGGGAGCTCTAGGGAGTCTTAGGCACCAATAAAGCTTGGCAGAAAAAATGGGAGTGGAATTGGAAAATAGTCTCTTGCATTGGAAGAGCCCCACTCCCTGCCACCCCCCAAGCCAGGACCTTTCTGAGCTTGGTCAAAGGTCCCTGTAAAGGGGAGGAAAATGCTTCTCCTGTTGCAGAGTGGGGGCAGCGGAGGCCCAAGGAGTTCAGCCTTCTGATCAGTCCCTGGTTCTCCTCTGACCCCTTCTCAGACGCCCACAGCCCTGATCTCTCCTAGCCCAGCTGCAAAGAGGCGGGGACAGAAGTGCACACAGGGATAAAGGCAACCTCGGCCCCAACCAGCCCAGCCCCAGAGATCCTGGCTCAGGTGGGCGGGAACTTCTCTGCAGGCCTTGTGTCCCTGCCTGCCTCGGCCAGCCACACTGTGGGGAGCACGGTGCCCAGCTTGCGCTCACTGTACAAGAACACAGCAGTTTAGAGAGAAGGGTCCTCTTGTTGCAAATTCCCTGGATGCTGGCCCTCTGCCCACTTTGGCTGCACCCAGATCCTTTCCGTCAGGGGCCAGGGGCTCCCGGGGGCAGCACACCTGGCTTGGAAAGCTGCTCTGCTCTGTGTGAAGCAGGAAAACCTGGTACCAGCCTACTGAGGAAGTGGGGCCAGATGCCCACTCTGCTCTGCTCTGCTGGCCTCACTCCCAAATCGTCCCGGCCCTTGTCACGTCTACACTCCAGTAAGTCACATTCTGGCGCTGTTAGTTTAGACTAAATATGTGTCACCTCGTTAGGCCAAAACCCACTCCTGTGAGCTTCACACTGAGGGTGGTGGGGAGGAAAGAAATGGACTTCTACTAGGTAGAAAGCTCCTACTAGGTACTGAGAATAACTTAATTATTTTGCTGCCGCCACCATGGCTGTGCCTTAATTCTCTACATTTTGATCATTTCTGCAGATTGCAGATTCAGGGGTGAGGCTAAGAAATACGTGGGTAGATCTCTTTGGGACCTTGTGCTGGGACTGAAGGCTCAAGAGAACAAAGTGTGTTGGTCATAAAACCTCAAGAGCGTCAGGGCGCCAAGATACACCCCGTCCAGGAAGCTTCCCTCACATGTGCCTCTGGGTGCCCTTGGGCCAGGCTTTTCCCTGGCCGTGAGTGGCACATTTCTCTTTTCTGTCTGCATGAACTATGAACTTCCCTAGGGCAGAAATTTCTCTTCTGCGATTCTGCCCAGGCCTGGAGGTTGTCCTCTAGGGGAGCTCTGAGAAGCCTGACTGCCTGGCTCTGTTCCCCAGCCCCCAGGCTCCTGCAGGGCCACCTTTATCTGCGCCTATCGTTTCCTGGATAGCGTTCTGGCACATCTAATCCCATGGTGGCATCTGCCTCTCAGCCGAGCTGGCCTAACCACAGGGTTCCTGGCTGCCAACCGCAGAAAAGGCCTGGGTGGACTTAAACAGAACCACTCCCTGGGAAAAGGACATTGGCAGGAAGGCTGGAGCACCAGGGATGGAAATGGGCTGAACCCTTGAGAATGTCGTAGACTGTGACCCAGGAACAGGTCTGGTGAGGGCCTGGCCTGCCGAGCTACTGGCACCACCACATTTAGAGCAAACCCTGAGTGGCCTTGTCAAACCCCACTAAGTGTGCCTGCACCTTGGCTGCCAGAGCCTGAGGAACAAGAATTGGCCGGTTCCCCAATGGGGAGTGCAGAGGCTGCGCCACCCCAATATCTCTACTCTCCCTCAGCACCCTGAAGTGGTGCTGGTCAAACACCTGGACGGCTGGACTCCTCCTCTTTGTCTTTTGGTGGCGGCTGTTCATTCATGTATCATTCCCTGAATAGTTGAGGACCTAGTGCGCCCCAGAAGCTGAGGGTGGTGAATGTTTAACAAGGGCTCCGTGGAGAACAGCCCTGCTGGGTGGGGGTACCGGGTTCCCTGGAGGTCCAGGGTTGGAGCTGTGAGGCAGGGGCCAGGTGTGCTGGGTGGGCTGGGTCCTACCCCCCGACCCACCTCACTCCCCCTGCATACCAGGCCCGTCCAGCAGAGTTCACCCAGACTAAGACCAATCTTATAACCAGAATATTCAGATTCCCCGTTTCCCTTACAGTGGTCTCCAACTTACAACAGTTTGACTGATAATTTTTCAACTTCATGATGATGCAAAATGTGAAAGCAATACACATTCAGTAAGAAGAACTTTGAATTCTGAATTTGGATCTTCTCCCTGGCTAGCGATGTGCATGCTGATATTCCCGTCAACCCCAGTCCCCTGTCAGTCCACCTTCCCACAGGAAGGAGCTGCCATGTGCCAGAGGTAAGGGTTTCAAGGCATTTTCCATTTCTGGTAACTGAAATGAGCAGGGAGCAACTTTTCAGTGTCTGAAATGTGTCTCTGACCTGTGATCCTGGACCCTACTTTGTTTTATTTATATATTTTGTGGTGCTGGGGATACAACCCAGGGCTTCAGACATAGTAGGCAAGCACTGTGCTACTGAGCTATGCCCCGCTCTATTTTTATTTTTCATTTATAAATCTTTAATCCTAGAATTAAGTGGCAAGCCCATCACTCTTTTGGGCAAAACACTGCCAAAAAGCAAAAATAATAATATTCAAAATAATAATATTCAAAGCACACAACAGGTACACAGGCATGTGCTGTACTCCTATTTTAGAATACAATGGCACTTAAAGACAGGAAGGCATAATCGGGAGGTTGAGGCAGAAGGATGGAAAGTTTGAGACTAGCAGGGTCATACAACCTTGTGTCAAAATAAAAAAGTGTTATAAAAAGTTGTAGCTTGGTGCTCCCTGGGTTCATACCCCAGTGGGTATAGATAGGTGGTATCTGTACCTATCTCTATCTAGATTTTTTCTACTTTATCATCTCTTATTGTACATTATTTATAAGCTAAACTTTATCACAAGAGTGTACGTACAATATAGAAAAAAATCTCAGTATATATATAGGTTTGGCATATGCAGTATTTCAGGTATCCCCTGGGGGTCCTGGAACCCACTCCATAAATCAGAGCAACTATACCCAGGTCCAACCTCTCATTAGAAACTCTTGGAGCAAAATGTATTCCAGGATTGAGAGGTTTCTAGAGTTCAGCTGGGCATGGTGGTACACTCCTGTGATCCCAGCATTTGGGATGCTGAGGCAGGAAGATTGCAACAAGTTTGAGGCCAGCCTGGCCTATGTAGTGAGTTCTAGGCCAGCCTAAATTACATAGTGAGACCCTGCCTCAAAAACAGAGAAAGAGAGATACAGAGAGAAAGAGAGAAATACGGAGAGGGAGAGGAAAAGAGGAGAGATTTTCCAGATTTCAGAAATTATATAATACCCCAAGCAGGGTACTTGGGGTATTATATCGAGACTGTTAACAGTCTGCCACAGATCAGGCCAGATCATGTTGACAAATAGGAAAGACATTTAAACTTTCAGTGTTTTGAATTTCATAGTTGGAAGAAAGAGACCATAGAGCTGTGCAGATTTCGGACGACATGACTACAAAGCAAACAGGGTTGGAAGGCCCATGCCACAGCCTGGGGGCTCCTGTGGGGTGGGGGAGGCCTGTGTGGTCAGCCTCTGGAGCAGGGCTCTGGTCTGCCACTTGCTGGCTCAAAAAACAAAACAACCTGAATTTTTAAAAAATGTAATTAAGGGCTGAGGGTTTAGCTCAACGGCACAAGCGCCTGCCTGGCAAGTGTGAGGTCGTGAGTTGGATCCCTGGTACGAAAAAAAATTTTTTTTTAATTTAAAAAATAAATTAAAAAGGAAGATAATAGATTAATGTAAAAAAAAAAAAAAGTAAAGCTGGAAATTCTAAGAACCCGCAGCTGAAGGCGTGTAGCAGGAGGACAAGGGTAGCATGGTCTGGCTGGGGACTGGCACACACTGCGGCTATGAGAACCTTCCGCACAGGCTTCCTCTTGGCTGAGACCAGAACCTGTGACTGTGACCAGGCACAGTGAGATGGCCAGAGCTGGGGGCCGAGGCCTCTGTGGCCTTGAAAGACCTCAGGGACACAGAAGGACACTGAAGAGAGGAGGCATGTCCTCCAAGGAGGGTCGGCTGTTAAGTCTTTTTGGTGGTGGCTTCTGGTGGAGTCGTGGTTATCTTTATATTAAGATGAATGTGTAGGGGCTGGGGATTTAGCTCAGCGGCATAAGCGCCTGCCTTGCAAGCAGGCAGTCGTGAGTTCGATCCCTGGTACCGATAAAAAACAAAAAAGACAAAAAAAAAAAAAAATGAATGTGTAGCCTGGATAAACCTTGGAGACCCTATGCTAAGTGAGACAGACCAGTCATGAAACAATAAACAGACTTGATTTGATTTTGAAGGATAGAAAAGATTCCGCTTATGGATCTCACGGCTCTAAGAACAGCCCTCGCAACCCCACCCCACACCTACTTTTTGGAGACAGAGTCATATTAAATTGCCCAGGCTGGGCTCAAACTCATGATCCTCCTGCCTCAGCCTCTTAGGGTGCTGGGGCCACAGGCGTGGACTACCACATCCAACTAAAACTTTTTTTTTTTAACTACAGAGAAATTTCTGGCTGTGATGCCACTTGGGACTGTCCTAGACCCTCTGGGCCTCTCTCCTCCCGCTGCAATGGGAGCATCCTCCATGAGAAAGTTGGGAAAATATCAGACTCTGCCCAAGGCCACCCAAACAGGTGATCTGTGACACCCTGTCCTGTAGGCCCAGAGTCAGATGGCCCTGGGCAGCACAGTCACTCCTGTTTGTTTGGTGTGCGTGACTCTGGGGATGTTACTCATCTTCTCTGGTTGTCATTGGGGACTGGGGACAGCAGGCCCTGCCCACAGGGTGGCTGAGGCTGACACACATGCTGCTTGTGCCTGGTGGAGCTCAGCGCCAGGACCTTTCATTTATAGTAAGTGTGGCTTCGAGAGGCAGGTACCTTACTCTGGAGCTTTTATTGGTTAGATAAGGAAAAGTGTTAACAAGGGATCATCCTGTATTCCTCCTGCATTCAGAGTGGTGACACTGACGTGGACAAACCATCTGTTTCTCAGGCTGTGACCAGCGTTCCCTGTTCCCGCAGGAGGAATCCTGTTTGGGTTCCATCCTGCCCATCTTTTTGTAAACACTGGGGCTCTTAAACAGACAAGGCCCCAGCTCCCCAGCACAGCTTTGTAAACAGGACTGAAGCTGGCGAATGTTTGTTCTTACAACATGGTCCCCCATACCAGCCTGCTCAGGTCGCTGTGTGGGGACACCCTGTGGGACCCCTCCACTCACCACCTCACTGGCTTCTGCAACTTCCGGAGCGGGACCCCCAGGAGCCCGGGACAGGCCGTCTTACCTGGGCTTACCTGGGAGCAGGACACCCCTGCGGGGCCTAGAAGCCGGGTGGTCCCCAGAGGCAAATCCACAGGCTGTGTGTCTTGGCCATCATCAGGTGCTGGAGCCAGGCGGAGGTGAAGGAGACATTTTCTTCTGCCGGCTTCCCTGCCCTGAGAGCCTGTCTGTAGACAGAGCCTGGACTTTATCTGAGGCAGACAAGATGGGCAGGGAAGAGGCAGGAATGTCAAACCTAGGGAAATGGAGGCAGGAATTGGGTCCTTGGACCCTTTCCAGACAGAGACAGGATCCAGAGGCAGAGAAATCTGGGGAGAAAGGAGTCTGGAAGGTGAGAAAATGTGCTGCACATGGGCCTGAGGCGAGGGAGCGTCAGGGAGGGGCTGTGAGAACATCTGGGTTGGCCAAGATCCCAGGGGGAAGATGGGCCAGACTCGCTTCCAGTCCCAGCGATAGAGGGGGCCTCAGAGGGGTGGCAGGAACACTGCCAGGAAGCTGGGAGACAGAGAGGAGCCTATTAGCTCCCACCTCAGCACTGGCCACAGGAGAACAAGGGCCCACGCCTGGGCTCCCCCTGAGACTCTGGAATAGGCCTCTCTGGAAAGACCATCCCCTGCAAGAATGCTGGCCAAAAGTGTATTTTGACTTTAAAAAATCAATTCGTGCAGTAATTACCAAATGTTTGGAGTGCTTTAATGACTAATGACGAAAGTTGTACAATTACTGGTAAATACTGTAACTTAGCTCACGAACTTCTCTCTAGTACATGAAGGAGAATCTAATCTGTGCCTACTAGGAGACTAACAAATCCCCCAAACTATCCCTGCCATATGGGGACAGGGAGAGGCTCAGGTCCTCCCCTCAAGCAGGAAACTCTGGGGCCACTAGCATGAGCCCATCTGACACCAAAGGGGTTTAGGTCCTCTGTGGCCAATGCAAATGGCCTGTGCCCTCAACAGCACACTAAGGTGGCAGGCTGGCCAGATGCCACTGCAAGGCACTTAGCAACCAGCCATGGAGCAGCTTCTGGAGACCAGCGGGAATAACGGAGAGCCGGAGCAACCGGATGACCCGAAGCAGGAGGTGCTGCCTGCCTGCTGCTTCGGTTTAGGCCTCCATCACTGTTAGGCTAAACCAAGGCACAGCTGAGACCACTGAGGCAGGTGAAGCGGAAGCAATGTAGGAGGACTTTATTGTGGACGAGGTGCGGCTGGTCGCCAAGGGTGAGGGCACGTTTTTATTGGGCAGTTTGGGTAGGGGAGGGAGGCAGTGCTGAGCAGGGTACAGAATCTGTGTTCTCTGAGTAGGGGTCTAAGGCTAGGTGAGAGACAGAGTTGGGTGCAGGCGGGGGCTGGCAGGGGCAGGCACAGCCTGTCTTGTGTCTCTTGTGGTTTTTCTCGGAACCAGCTCTTTGCAGGTCAGCTGTGTGGGGACAGCTGCCCGCTTCCTGTTGAATGCCATGCCGCCCCTAGGTGTGAATAACAGACCTGTTTGGGGGAGTTTTTTTCCTCCTAGCTGGGCGGGGGTCTAGTTTAGAGACCTGACAACCATTATGCCCTATTTAGGAGGGTTATTATGGGCTGCAGGAAGCAGACAGAAGCAGATGTCCGCCAAAGCAGAGGGAGCACAAGCCCTGTGCCACATTTCAGGAGGTCTGCAGACCCATACATCCACTTCTGCCTAGTCTCCCACATCTCACTAAGCGATTAAGATTCATGCTATTTATGAGGTATTAGGTAACTCTGATTAGTTACAACCTAGTAAGTCATAGTATCTTGGTGGACAAAAATCTTTGAAAATCTGGGTAAAGGACAAATTTCCAAAAACCCTCAGCTTTTCCCTCAGGGCTTTGCGAGACACTATGTGTCTGTCACTGTGTTAGACACTGTAAGGAGCAGCTGGCTGTATCTGAAGAATTCACTAAAATTCTGCTGGCAGGGCTGGGGTGTGGCTCAGAGCTATAGTGTGGGCTTAGCACACCATAAGGCCCTGGAGTCCATCCCCAGCATCAGGAAAAAGGACAGGATGGTCCAGGGTGGTGGTACATGCCTGTAATCCCAGCATTCAGGAGGCTGAGGCAGGAGGATTGGAGTTTAAGGCCAGCCTGAATTACATGGTGAGACCCTGTCTCAAAAAAGGTGGGGAAAGTGGGAGGGGAGGGGAGACAAGGAAAAGAAAGAATATAACAACAGAAAGAGAGAGAGAGAGAACACAAGCGAGTCAGCCCAGCAGCCAGGCATAGTGGTACACACCTATGTTCATGCCATTCTAAGAGATTACAAGTTTGAGCCCAACTTGGGCAACATAGCAAGACCCTGTCTCAACATTAAAGTAAAATAAAATTTAAAAAGGAAAAGTGTTGGCACTCAGCGTGGAGGTCCTGAGTTCAATTCTCAGTACCAGAAAAAAAGGAGGAGGAGGAAGAAGAGGAGAAAGAAAAGGAAAGGAAAGGAACGGAGAGAGAAAGAGGAGGAGGTAGAAGAGGAGGAGGAGATGGTGGTGGCAGCAGCGGGAGGGTTTTATAAATAGTATGTGAGGCTGGGAAGGAAACAGATCAGTGGCAGAGCACTTGCCTAGCATAGGCTCTGCGTTTGATACCCAGCACCATGAAAAAACTTTTTCTTCTCTTTTTTTCATTTCCTTCCTTTATTTCATCTATCTATAATATGGTATCAAGTATTGTTTGTATTTTTAAATCATTCTTGTACATCTCTCTTTGAGTTTATTCTGTTTCCAACAGTTTTACCTGGAGGCTTACCTTGAGGTCTGTTATGGGTTATTTGGTAAAGGGAATATTCTCTTTTGCTTGAGAAATTGACCTTGGGCTTATGAACGTTGTGAAACTAAAAATGGAGTCACTTAGGTCAAATCCCAACAAAACAAACAAATCACTGCAAGGCTGTGATGGAGGACAGCTCACCCATGCCTGCAGAGCCCCAGCCTTGCACGACCACAACCTCACATGGAAAGGGCTCCATGGAAAGGCCTGTCCAGCCTTGGTATTGGTGCCAATCTTGTTATTGGTCCTTATGGCTAAGGGTAGTGTAACTGATGTAATGCTTTCTATTTTACCTTTAAAAAGCCTTGTCTTCCTTTGCCTCCTTGGGTATGTCCATGTGTGTTCCCACTGCAATGTTCACTCCAGAATAAATCCCCTAGTTTTAGAGAATCTCCCTTCATTTGCTGTTCAGATTGGCATCATTTATAGAGTTCGAAAGGGGACTCTCAAGAAAAAAGAAAGCACTGACACCAGAAGGGAAGTCAACTTCAGAAGGACGGAAGACTGGGTGGAACACGGAGTCCTCTTGAGATCTCTACTTCTGGGACCACCTTTACCCATAAGGTGAGCCATCTCCCAGGCTGGCTGCCTCTTTCGGGAAGGTGAATTCAGTTGCCTGTATTTGGTGACTGGTCTGATTTTAAGGCCACCTAACAAAGCTAGGTTCTCTGACAATCCTGATAGTAGGTATTGTCCCAGCAAGCGTGCTGGTGTCTGCAGAACTGACGTCGTTTGTGACAACTTCATGTCTTCTCCCAAGAATTCACTTCTGGTTTTCCACCTCTGGCTTCAAATTTGTGTTTGATCTGCAATGTCTGGTTTAAAATTATTTTGTGTGAGCACTTTTTTGTTTCATTTTGATTAATGCACATCTGCAAATGATTCTGTTCTTATACTTTGTTTTTCCTGCTTGTTCCTGAACATTTTAAGGGGCAAATATAAATACACAGAGCTTGAAGGATTTTCTTTTGTTTTTGAAAAACCAACAAGTTCCCTAAATTTTGAAGGCCAGTCAGACCAGGACTTCATTCTGGGACTGTCACCAGTTGTAGTATGGTCCATTCTCATGCATGTTATTTTTAAATCAATGGACAAATGATACCAAGGATAAATTCTTAAATAACAACTACAGGATTAAGCAACCTGGGGGGGGGGGATCTAATGTTAGAGACTTCCAACCTGTGTCTCTGTTTTTCCTTCTGCTCTGAATCTGCTGACTTTTTTTTGCCTGTATTTTAGACAAAATGCTGTTACTAGTTACAACAAAATCAAGAATGTACTCTTGGTAATTTTTGTTCTTCTAGAAGTTTTTTCTTAGTGCATTCCAACTAAGATAAGGAATAAAAAAAGAGGCTTTCCAAATTAATGGCTTTGCAAACTACAGTAGCTCCATGGCAACCATCAATCTAGATACCTGAGAGTCATCCCTTTTGGAAATATAAGTTTGGGTTTGCGCAGCTAACAAATGATTGAGGTGCTAGAACAGTTAATTAAATGGTGGATAGTCTAAAAGGAAAAGAACTAGACAAGCATTTATGAAAGTTAAGCCAAGATCAAACAGTTCAAAATTTTGAGCTCAGAGCAGTAATAAAAGGTCTCGGTACACTTGCCTAGCATGCACAAGGTCCTGGGTTGGATCCCTGACACAACAGGAAAACACTGTCTAAAAAAGAGAAAAAAAGAAAAAACCCAGCAATAATAAAAACTGTTTTCTGCCACAGTAGCAATACTAGAGAAAAAAGCCCCAAATGCAATTGACTATTTTAAAAACTACTTAATGTATTTTCCTAGTGGTGTTGACTAGGCAAGCAAACCAGACTGCCAAAAATAAAATAAAATAAAAATCTGTTACTAAAATTTAGAGCTACATGGAGATTTTTTTATTTGTTCATTTGTATGTTTGCTTTTGTTTTGAGACAGGGCCTCATTATGTAGCCCAAGCTGGCCTCAAACTAACAGTGATCCTCCTGCCTCAGCCTCCCAAGTGCTGGGCTTACAGGTGTGGGCCACTCAACCCAGCAAGATTTCGTTTTTCTTAAATAATTCATCTGGCACTTCCTAAAATCTAAACATTTGAAAAATTAACTCCCAAATTCATTTAAGATTTAAAAATGAGGAAAAGAAGTTTATTAAAATGAAATTGCAGTTCTGGGATGATGGTGAACAGCAAAGAAAGAGCCTCTCCAAAATTCACTGTCCAGACGTTATAATACAGCAATGTGAGGAAGAGAAGAAAGAGGAAAGTGGGGTTGAGCAAGGATCTGAAGCAAAAACTGAAGTGCTCAAGGACATCAGAGACTTCAGTGAAGCGAGTGACAACCATCGCTTTCTCCCTAAACCCTGACTGTCTGCATAGGAGGAGTAACTAGAACCTGCAGAAGCACGGTAACCATGGGTGACCCCAAGGCCTCTACAGAGAAAAGAAGTAGAGGAACTGAGCAGTGGACACAGAAGACTATGGCGACTGGTGAATTACTTTGGTTTAGACATCTCCCGGGAGAGGGCAATTGGCCAGTAACCACCTTGGAGAGAGGCTGAGTTCAGAACTCAGAACAACTACAGGCTGCTGACCCCAGTGTCAGGGTGAGGTAGAAACAAGGTTAAGTCAGCAGGAGGTCCAGGAGATGAGTTCAGACTGGCAGGAGGCACATGGAGTGTTGCAGGCTGAACAAACAGAGTTCCACCCTCAGAGCCAGAAACCACCCTGAGCTTCAGTGGACAGAAAGTACAGGCTTGCTAGGATTATCCACTAGCCTGTTATAAACCTACAGCTGGCTTTCTGGGGTTAATCAACAGAGATCTGAACTCTGCCTACTTTGTCTACCAGTGACAACAAAGAAACCTTGAAGGGGACATTTGTATTTCTTTGTTTCTTCATTATTTTTGTTTCCTTTTTTCTTGATTGCTTTTATTTTTATATGAATGCAAACATGCTTTCTAGTTTTATTATTATTATTCTGTTCTGTTCTTTTCTTTCTTCTCTCCCTCCTTTTTCACCAGTTTCCCAAAATCTGTGTGATCTTCCTTTGTCCTCTAGCCTTCCTTATAATCTCTTCTTCTTCTTTCTCTTCTTCTTCTTCTTTCTTCTTTCTTCTTCTTTTTCTCTATTTTCCCCCTAGCTCCTTTTAAGTTTTCCCCAGTGAGGGTAAAATTGCCATACCGAGGGCATATTTACTATAAATGATTTTTTGGTTTGTTTTAGATCTGGTTATAGAACCACAAATCTAGTTCATATGGTTAAAGGTGGCAGTTACTACAGTTTGTCATTTTCTGTGTTATTGTTCCTGGTATGCCAAGGCTAAGCTTGTCTAAGAGTCATAAAAATTACTATAGGTCAGTGCAAAAGAACCACCAGCAAAACCAGGTAAGCAACAACTTCTCATCCCCAACAAACTGAAGAGGTGGGTCCTTGCAATAGACTCAAAACCCAAAAGCCAGCTACACCTAGAAGACATCTTTGAGAAGTAGGCATTTCCTAAGACTGCTAAATACTGGCAATAAAGTTACTTGCCATAAGCAATACATAAGCACCAACCCAGAAATTAAACTAAAAAATAACAGAAAATGAGCAGATACTTAAGCAAGATGCAACCCAACTTCCAGTTCATCAAAGGCAAACCCAGTGGGTAATGAGGTGGAACAATTCAAAAGCCGCCCACCTGGACCCTCTAAAGTAGTAACAGTGGATATAACAAAGCAAATGAATGAGGCTCTAGAAAAAGACCAATTGAAATAATTTCTCAGATAACTAAAATAATTTCTCAGGGATGGTGACCATAATGAAAGACATGGTTAGAAACTCGAGAGCAGATAGAGATTCTAAAGAATAGAAGAGCTTTGGAAACTGATGAAAATCATGAATACCCAACATAGGAAAAAATGGAATCCATGAAATAGATTCAAACAGATTGCATCAGATTAAAAATTCCATTGAAAGTAAATGCAGAGAATGAAGCGATGTGAGGACAGAATATCAGATACAGAAGACAGGATTGCAGTTAGCTATCACAAAAAGAAAAAATTCTTAAAAATAATAAACCATGAAAATCAGTCCAACTCATGATGCTAGATGATTCAAATAAAATAAAAGTTTGAAAAAGCAAGAGATAGCTCAAATGAGATTTAAAAAACAAAACAGACGACAACAACAAACAACCTGCTCGCAGAAGTAATGGCAGAAAACTTCCCAACCTTGGAAAAAGAATTTGACATACAGATAAGTGAGGCACACAGTTTAAAGTTAGCCATGATTAAAACAAAAACAAAAACAAAAACACCCCTACACGAAGGCATTATTATAGTCAAGATTCCAGAAATTCAAGAGACAGAATAGTAAAAGATGCTAGAGAAAAGAAACAAATTATCTATAAAGATAAACCCATTAAAATCACAGCAGACTTCTCAACACAAACTTTCAAGTCACAGGCAGTGTGAAGTATTTTAAGCCCTAAAAGTAAACCATCTCCAAGCATGACTGGTGTATCCCACAAAACTACCTTTTTCCATAACAAAGGATACCAGAAGAAATTCTTGGCCAGCAAAACAGCATTCTAAAATGTTCTAAAGGACATTCTAGAGAGAGATAAAAAGGACTAAAACTCCATGAACCTCAACAGAATCAATCCACTAGATAAGGCAGGCAATTAAACAGAGGGGCAAAAAAGGGGACCTAACAATGGGAAAATTACCTACAAGGATCAGTTAATATATATCAGTTATAACCATCATTGTTAATGGTCTTAATTGTCCAATCAAAAAACACAGATTAACAGAATGAATCAAGAAGCAAGATAAAAATATACTTCACATAAGAAACACATTTAATTTTAAAAACTTACAGACTGAAAACAATATTCAACGTGACTCAGAAAAAAACAAGTAGCTATTCTATTTGCAGATAACGTGAATTTCAATTAAAGACTAAGAGACAAAGAAGGTCACTACATCCTGGTAAAGGGAACAGTCCAAAAGGAAGAGATAATAATCATAAATATATGTGCACAAATACCAGTGTACCCAGCTATATAAAGCAAATATTAATGGTCATGAAAAATCAAATAAGCATTAATTCAACTGTACTGGGGAAACTTAATACCCCACTGTCACAAACAGATCAGCTAGACAAAAAAGTCAACAAAGAAATATGAGAACTGAATCAAACCTTTTAACAAATGCACCTAGTAGATGTCTACAGAGTATTCCACTCCAAGACATCAGAATACATTCTCATCTGCACGTGGGAAATTCTCCAAAATAGACCATTTAGTAGCTTTCAGAACATGCTTAAGTAAATGCAAAGGAACTGAAATTATTTCTTGCATATTATCGGGCCACCGTGCAATGAAATTGGAAATCAATGGCAAAAGAAACCACAGTGTGGTTTATGAAACCACATTTCATAAACACATGGAAATTAACAACCTCCTAAACAACCAATGGGTCACTGATGCAAAGAAAGAGGAAATTAGACAGTTTCTATAATTAAATACAATGTATCAGAATTTATGGGATGCAGTGAATGCAGTTCTATAGCAGTGAATTACCATATCAGAAAAACAGAGTGAGCTCAAATAAATCTCAAGCTTCTAGAAAAAGAAGAACAACCCTAGGTCAAAGTTTATAGGAGGGAAGAAATTATAAAAATTGGAGCAGAAACAAATGCAATGGAGACAAAGAAATACAAAAAAAGCAATGAATTGTTTCATTGAAAGTTTAAATAAAATGGATAAACCCTTAGCGAACCTTATCAAAAAAGGAAAGACATGCAATTGAGAATGAAAAGGGTGAAATTACAGCAGACTCCTCAGAAATCCAGAAGTTCATCAATACCTACTTTGAGAACCTGTATTCTAAGACAAAAAAACACAGAAGAAATGGACAGATTCCCAGATACAAGTGAATTACTAAAGCTGAATCAAGAAGATATAAAAATTCTAGGGTGGAAGCCATTTGGGTCCCAGAAGAAGAAATGAGCCTTTTCCTGTGAGCTAGCAGAAGCCATGTGAGTCCCAGAAGAAGAAACAAGAAGCCAAATTGCCCTTCCTGTGAGCCAGCGGAAGACATGTTCACATTTCCCATGAGCCAACTGGTCTGCAGGCTGGGAGACAAGAACACCCCTCCCTGCTGTAAGCAACTGGCTGATTCAGAGGAACACTGGCTGAGTTGTTGGCAACTGAGGTACAAAAACAACTTAATGTTTGTATGGTTCAGCTGACTTTGCAAGCCTAACATCAGTAATCTGAGCATCTAAAGAGGATAACAATACACAATATAGCAACATAGGGGATTCCCTTCTGTCTTGCTTTTGAAATCCAATATTGTTCTCACTGTTTCATTTTGTTTTGTTTTATTCAGTGTTCTTCTTTGATTGGTTTTATTCTGTTGCTTTGTTCAATTTTATTATGTCTGATGGTATGGGCAGCAATTTTGAAGGTAACAAGAGGCATTATGGTAGCCATTGTTGATTTCCTATTTTCCTGTTTTGAAGTCCTGTATTGCTTTCACTGTTTTGTTTTGATTGGCTTTATTCTGTTTTATTTTGTTTGGTTTTATTCTCTTTAAAATATAAATTTAAAAAGTAAGATATGAAAATTCTAAATAAGGGGCTGGGGATTTAGCTCAGCGGCATAAGCGCCTGGCTTGCGAGCAAGTAGTCGTGAGTTCGATCCCCGGTACCGATAAAAAGGAAAAAGACAAAAAAAAAAAAAAAAAAAAAAGAAAAGAAAAAGAAAATTCTAAATAAACCAGTATCAGTTGACAGAATTCAAGATAAATAAAAATCCTGCCAATGAAGAAAAAGCTCAGGCCCTAACAGATTCACTGCTGAATTCTACAAGAAATTCAGAGGAGATCTAAAGCTGCTATTTCTCAAACTCTAATGAAACTGAAAGGTGAGCAATACTCCCAAATTCATTCCTGAACAAGACAAGGATGCCCACTGTACTCTTACTTGATATAGCTCTGGAAACATTAGCCAGAGCAATTAGATAAAAGAAAGGAATAAAGATAGGAAAGGAAGAGGTTAAATTATCATTATTCGTGGATGACATAATACTCCCTATGGAATTCCCCAAAAACTCCATCAAAAGACTTCTAGATTTAACAACCAAATTCAGTTGTATAGCTGGATACAAAGTCAACACTCAAAAATCATTAATGTTGGGCTGGGATTTAGCTCAGTGGCATAAGCGCCAGCCTGGCAAGCGCGAGGTCATGAGTTCAATCCCCAGTACCACCAAAAAAAAAAAAAAAAAAAAATCATTAGCGTTCCTGTACATAAATAACTTACTGAGAGAGAAATTAGAGAAACAACACCTTTCACAATAGCATCCAAGAAAAAAAAAAACCCAAAACAAAACACACACACAAACACACAACTTAATACTTAGAAATCAATCTAATGAGAAAGTAAAAGACCTTTACCTTGAAAACTACAGTACTTTGAAAAATGAGATTGAAAAGGCTATCAGAATATGGAAAGAGACCCCTTGTTCTTGGCTTGGAAGAACCATTATAGTGAAAATTGACATATTTCCAAAATTGTTAACAGGTTTTATGCAATCCCAATGAAAATACCAATACATATTCATAGAATTAGAAAAAACATCCTAAAATTCATTTGGAACCAGAAGAGACCTAGAATAGCAAAAGTAATTCTGGGTAACAAAAGCAAGGCAGGGGCATCACCATCTCTGACGTGAAACTGTACTACAAAGTCTCTGTGGTAAAAACAACAGAGTACTGGCAAAACATAGAGCCAGGGTCAATGGAACAGATTAGAAGATACAGAAACAACTCCAGACATACTCAGCTACCTTATTTTTGGCAAATATTTTAGCTGAAAGCAAGACAGCCTCTTTAATAAATGGTGCTGGAAAACTTGACTTTTCAGATGATAAAAAACTATACTCATATCTTTCACCATGCACTAAACTAAAATCAAAATGAATCAAAGATCCAAATAGTAAGCAGAAACACTAAATCTGCTGGAAGATAGAATAGATGGAACTCTTGAAGACTTTGGTATCGGCAAAACTGACACCAAACAAAGCCAGAATTACACAGGAAATATCACAAAGAATTAACAACTAGGATCTCACCTTATCAGAAAGTTTCTGCACATAAACCAACAGAAATAAACCAACAAAATAAAAGAGACAATATTTTTCCCAAAATGTGGGAAAAAATTTTGTCAGCCGTTCCTCAAAGGACTAATATTTAGAATATATAAAGAACTAAAAAAAAAAAAAAAGCCTCCCCCCCCCCAATTAAAGCTCCAACTCAAAACTGGGCATCTGAACTGAATAGATGCTTCTTAGATGAAGAAGAAGCAGAAAATAGATACATGAAAAAGTGTTTACCACCACTGGGCTTTTGAGAGATTCAAATTAAAACAACACTGAGATTCCATCTCACCCCAGGATGAATGATGATTACCAAGGAATCAACCAATAACAAATGCTGGTGGGCTGTGTGGAAAAAGGAACACTTTCCACTGTTGGTGGCATGTAGACTGGTGCAACCACTGTGAGAATCAGTGTGGACCTTCCGCAAAGAACTAAAACTACAAGTTCCATTCAACTCAGTTATTCCCCTCCTTGTTATCTTCCCAAACAATTAGTAGCAATACATGCATATTCATGTTTATAGCAGCACAGCTTGTAATAGCTAAATCCTGCAAACAGCCCAAATGCCCATCTATCGGTGAATGGATATAGAAGATGGGGGGATAGTGCTACTCTGCCATAAAGAAGGATAAACTTGAGACATTTCTTACTAAATGGATGTACTTTAAAACCATACTCTTAGGTGAAAAGATTTAACATACATATTTAAATATGGACTGTTTCTCTGTGTGAAAAACCAAAAATGTAACAAGAACCAAAGTGTATAATAAATATTGAGATATGGGGGGAAATGTTCAAATGAGAAAAGGAAGAAGAAGGGGGAACAAGGAAGAAAAAGAGAAAGAAAAAAATGGAAACAAACCTTTTGTAAGTAAGGAGAAGAAGGGAGAGGAAGGAAATGACATCGAAAAACAAGATAAATCACACAGAGGTACAAGTTCACTATGACGAATGTTATCATTGTGTATATCTAAAATGTATCAATTAAAAAAAAGAAATCACAAACCAGGCATGGTGGTGAACACCTGTAATCCCAACTCTTGAGAGGCTGAGCCAGGAGAATTACCATAAATTCAAGGCCATCCTAGACTACATCATAAATTCAAGGTCAGCCTGAAACACCTAGTGATATTTTGTCTCAAAAAACCAGAAACAAGCCAGGTGCGGTGGCTCAATGTCTATAATCCCAGCACTTGGGAGGCCAAGGCACAAAGATCATTGCTAGTTCAAGACCAGTCTGGGCTACAAACTGAGTTCAAGGCCAGCCAGAACTACATAGTGAGACCCTGTCTCAAAAAGAAACAAAAAAGGAAAAACAAACAAAACAGAAAAAAACACCCCAAACCAACCAAACAAAAAACCCAACACCCACCAAGAAAAATACACTACTTATAATTCAGTCCACACAGACTTTACAAGATTACCTACTAGGAAGAAATTTTAAAAATCCTTTAAAGTGTTTCATAAATATTAAAAGCCTTTAACCATCTGAACAGGTGACCAAACTTACTCCATTTTGTCAGTTGGATTCAACTATTTGATTTTTGGCAGTATGGAGGATTTAACTCAGGGTCTTTGGCGGCTTGAGATATATCTCAGAACTTTTTAACTTTTTATTTTGAGAAAAGGTGTCTCTATTTTGCTAAGTTGCCTATATTGGCTTAAACTTGTGGTCTTTCTGCCTCAAACTGCTGTTATTAGTACTGTCTCACTGTCTCATGACTACAGCTCTGAAATGGCAGCTCTGTGATCTGTGCACATGTAGCTATATGGATTTATGCATGTCTATGTCTTACATGTTGTTTCTACATGGTAAAATTCTTTTTTTTTTTTTTTTGGCTTTTTCATTTTTTATCGGTACCGGGGATCAAACTCACGACCGCCTGCTTGCAAGGCAGGCGCTTATGCCTCTGAGCTAAACCCCCAGCCCCATGGTAAAATTCTTTAAGGAAATTTATTCAAATGATAAATGAGCACTCCATAAAAATGATACCCAAAGCTGTTGAAATATATAACAAACCCAAATAGCTTTTGTACATATGACTAAAGCAAATCTTTGATAAAGAAGTTAGTTTCAAATTTGATAAAATAAAAATGAGAACATCAGTATCACTAGCACATTTCAGCTGGATTTGCTGATCAGAGTTATATTAGTTTCCACTAGATTTTTTAAAGTCATAAAACTACAAATACTGCCCAACAACAATCTCTATTCATGTAATTCTTTAATAAGACTAATATTATTTATTGAAAAGAGCTATATTTTTGAGTTATTGATAAAATACCCACATACTTAAGGTTCTTAATGTAGGTCAATATCAACCATTTACATCCTGTAAATAAGAAAATGGGTCAGAATGATAACTGCTCTTCCCACTTTTGGTATTTTTAAGAGCAGAGACAGAGGCAACATGAATGTCACCCCTTCTTGTAAGAATAAGGACCCAGCATATCTAGTTTCAGAGGTTCTGCCCACCTCTTCCTTTATTGGATACAGCTTAAGAGAATGGCTCTTCATCAAACACAATACATTCCATGTGTTGTAGGACTCTGAGTAGACAGAGTCCCAATCTCCTGTGGCTTCTGTAAGACATTTAGTGAAGGAAGCACATTTTAAGTAAATATGGAAAGATATTCGGCTAATCAAACTTTCCTCTGGATAAACCTGTATTAAAAAATCAATTATTTTTGGGTGTCTCTCAATTTTTGTTTTTCTGAGACAAGGTCTTCCTAAATTGCTGTATTGCTTAGGTTGTGGTCAAACTTGTGGTCCTCCTGCCTCAGTCTCCCAGGTGCTCAGATTACAAACATGTACCAGCACACCCTGCTTTATCTTTTTATTTTTTAAAAGATGAGTATTCGCTTTGCAAAGAGATATTAAATTGTCATAAACAGCTCCACTGATGCACAAATACCACTGTATTCTCAGTATGCTCTCCCGGCTCCAGCTCTGCCACCGGTGCTAGGAAGTCTCCCAGAGATTAAATGGTTGTTTACATATTCACAGGTGGGAAAAAATAAATCCATCTACCCAGCCCTTTCTTAGAGGTAAGGTTTATCTGCATATCCTGATCTTTCTAAACTCCAATCTTTCCTTATAAAAAAAGTGTTTTTTAGACCCTGTCTCCCCCGGCTTGCTCACTTGGTTCTAGAAATTGAATCCAAGGCCTTCGCATGGAGTTGAATCTTGTACATTTCTTCTTAAGTTTTGAGACAAGGTCTCACTAAATTGCCCAGGTTAGGCTCAGATTTGCAGGTCTCCTTCTTCAGCCTTCCAGAAAGCTGGGCTCACAGGTGTAGGCTACTGCGCCAGACTAACCCCATCTTTTGTGGGTGCTTTTTATTCTGAATTTCTGTTCAATTTACGTAAGTTACCATTGTGCTCATGAACTCAAGTGTGGTTGTAGTTCCCGAGGGTGGCATGAAATGGGCTGACAGAAAAACCCACAGGGCTTACCTGGTGATACAGAAAACCCAGCCTCTTTTCCATCCACAGCGTACTCTGGCCTCATCAAGAGCACTGTCAGGGCTTCTACTGCCAGAACGCTGCTTCTAAGGCAGGCCCACGACACTGCCTTCAGGCTGCATGAAATGGGCAGACACTCCTGTCCCCAAAGGAGGGAAGGAGCCCTCCCTGTTCCCTGTAGTCCTGTGCTCAGGAAGCCTTTTCTCTGATCCCCTCTGTGAAAGATGGCCCACTCTGGAGTTTGTCTTTATTATAAGTGCCTGTTTGCAGTACCTGAAGCTGACCTTTATCTTACCGAGTAGGTACATGTACTTAACATATCTTGATTCTTTTTATTCCCTGTCTCCTCCCCACCTACCTGTCTCTAAATCCTTTTGCCACAATTTCTGCTCATTTCCCATACACATGTTGACTCACTTTTGTTTTTTGAGACAGGGTTTCACTATGCAATTCAGGCTGCTATGAACTCTTGTAGCCCAGGCAGGCCTCCAACTCAGTGATCCTCCTGCTTCAGTCTCCCGAGTGCTGGGATTACAGATGTGCACCATCATGTCCCATTTTGTTCATTTTTTAGAAACAAAGGATTCTGTAGAATTCAGGGATGGAGTGAGATGACATACTACACAATCAACACCAGGTCAGTAAAGGAATGCTGCTTTTTATGTGTGACCTCATACTGGGGATCAAACCCAGGGTCCTGTATGTGCAAAGCATAAGCTCTACTACTGATCTATACCCTCAGCTCAATCATTTAAGATACTCCTCTAACACATGAAATGTGTCTTGACAGGCTTTACACTAATGTGAAAGAGTCTAGAAAAAAAGATTACAGAAATTAAGTAGTCAGCTCTTGGTATCTATGTGGGCACTATACCAAAACCCACAGGTGCTCCAATTGTTTATATAAAACGCTATCATGAAAGCCAGGGATGGTGGTTCATGGTTCCACTCTCAGGACGCAGGAGGCTGAGGCAGCGGCACCATATATAGTGAGGCTCTATCTCAAAAAACAAAAAAAAGAAAAACAGGAAAAAAAGGGTACTTGCACATGATCTATGTACACACCTTAAATCACATCTAGATTATAGCAGGATATAAATGCTATGTAAATAGTTGCTATATTTGCAAGCTGCAGTAGCACATGCCTGTCATTCCCACACTATGGGAGGCTGAGACAGGATTCCAACTTTGAGTCCTACTTCAGCAATTTAGTGAGACTCTATCTCAAAAAAATAAATAAATAAATAAAAGAGGTGGAGATGTATCCTGCATTGAAGCTCCTATCAAACAAAAAAATGGATAAAAATAGGTATATAGCTCAGTAGCACAAGTGCCTGGCTGGTAAGCACAAGGTTCTGAGTTCAACTACAATATCAAAGGAAAAAAACAGCGTCATATTGTACTGTTTAGGAATAATGATAAACATTTCTGTACATGTTTAGTACATAGCTTTGTCCCCTGGTCTTGATCTGTGAATGGCTGAGTCAACAGGTAGAACTGTGGATATGGAGGTGGCCTATATTGTTATTAACAGGTTTTCTACTGCAGCTTTCAGAGGTATGGCCTGCTACCATCCATATCACTTTATTATGAGGGGATGGAAATACATTTGTTACTAAACTGTCTTGGAAACTGCCGGTCAGCCCTCAGTGCCACATCACAATGCTTCTGTGTCAGAAACAACACAGGCAGATTCATGCAGTCTTTATTGATTTGACAAATACAGGAAAATGTGCAATCATCTATCAAAAATTATATTTTACCAAGAATTTGAAAGGTATTTTAAAAAGTCATATTCACAGTCTATCTGAATTCTGCCCAAAGCAGTATCCACAGGCTTGGAAGCAAGGCAAGGCTGCATGAGAGAGCGATCGCACCGAAGCCCGCTGCCCGCAGCTCCCTCCCAGCTGGCCAGACCACTCCGTACTCTGTGCAGCTGGGCTGGGGCTATTCTTCAGATCATATTTAAAAAAAAAAAAAAGAGTGCCTTCTGGGAAATCTTTCCTGCTACCCAGACAAGCAGAAGAGCCAGCACCACCACATTCCAGGGCCAGGGTGGATCCAGCATCCAGTTCACAGGCCCCTGGAAATGGCTTTGACATTCAAGGAGGGGGTTCTTTTCAGCACTGGGGTGCTTTGAGTTTTGGAAATCTGAGGCGTTTCCTGCCGGATGCGGGCTGCTGCAAAGGAATCATGCAGATGATCCTGAGATGTGAGCTTGATGAGTGTTGTTAGTGCGCTCAACTCACTCAGCTCCAGTCAGCGATTTTAATGAGGGCCGGGAAGAGCTGAATCCATGTTTAATCTGCTGTTTAGGTAATTTGAAAAGAGGTGTGATCTCAAGCATCACTTCTAGACTCAAATTTATAATGATGATAGAGTACTGCTTCCATTTGAAGGAAAAAACTGAATGGCTAGTTTGTAAGTCTCTGCCGAAACTCAGCATTCAAGAACATCCTTGGGGGAAGGAGAATGAAGGAAAAACTAGTCTTTAAATACACACTGCCCAAAAGCAAGTTGAGCAAAAAATGGTACCTTACTGAAAGGACTGGTTTCTGAAAAAAAGTCAACTATATATCATCAGTTTTATAAGCCCTCATAAACAGTCTGTGAAAAATGGTTACTGACAGTATTTTAGAGACATTAAAGAGGTCATGCCAAGAATCGAGGCTCCAGCTACGTTCTCATGATGTATCTTGTGCATCTTTGTATCCTCAGACTCCAGCACCAGGCCTGGCACGACAGCAAGTCCTTTTAAAGCGGTTTCTGAGCTCTTTTCCGACTTTAGTATATGTGCTGCTGAAGCGAGCGTGTGAGCCCTTTTCCTTACAGGGTCAGTCATGAATGTCACACATGCAAAGCCCAGTTGTAGGGAGGCAGCGGTGGTGGCTTCCTGGAGATGTCTGTCTCACTTGGAAGACTTCTACTTCACATCTACACATTGTGATCAAGAATACATATTAAGCTGTTAGAGGCCAAGTAAGAACCAAGAACATATTATTCCTTTGGCCATTTATTATAGAAAGAAGGGCTCTTAGAAACCGGAGTTCTAGGAGATCCAAGAGTTTAACATAGGAAAACAGCCTTTTTAGTTGTTGTGTAGTAAAGTTGCTGATTTTTTTCTTTTGCAGTGCTGGGGAATGCATGCTAGGCAAGCACTTTCTGTTTTCTTCCAGGTCACCTACAAAACTTCCTGGTCTCCACTTTTTCTCATTGAGAAATTTAGTCATTTAGAGAGCTATGACACACTGACCAACTGAAAATCAAAAACCGGAACAAGAGCCCTTCCTCCCTGGCACAATTCTGAGGTCTTCTGAATACAGCTGGCATTATTCCCTTAGGCACTGCAAGCTCCTCCTTGCAAACACCCTGCATCCCCAGGCCAGGCCCAGCCACTCATCAGCTGCTTCTCTCCCCACCGCTTGCTTCTTTTCACTGAACTGGTTGGCTGGCCCGTTGGTTGTACCTTATTGTTGGTTCTGCCCTCTCACACCATCCCTCTGCGTGTGAGGCAGATCCCCTGCAGAACTTTCTGCTGTTTTCTCTGGTGACACTCTGTTTTGCATGTTGGAAGACTAACACTGTATTTCAGATACCGAGATGTGGTTCAAACCTGAAGACATAGGATTACTGCAACCTTTCCACACAGGACAATATATAGGCAAGACTTACACCCGCCCACCCACATCCTCTTTGTCATGAAAGATACAACACATTTGGGACCCTTATACCAATCAGCTACTTTAGGTTACAGCTCCAAAAGTGCTGTGAATCACAAATGTTGTGCAGATGACTCAGCTGCCCCTATGCTTTAGAGAGGTTCGTACACATGTTGCTGTTTGAGAGCAGAAAAGATACAATCTTGGGAAAGAAGGGGTTAATGAAAAACAGATGTCAGGACTACTACCATCAGCCCCACTCTTTCTTTGTACATCATTTATTTTTCCTGCTCTTCTCAACAGCCTGCCATGGATTAGTACCAATGCCCTACTCCTGAAGCTCTTTTTCTCCTTGAGGCACTAGAGATTGACCGCAGAGCCTCTCACACGTACTAGGCAAGTAATCCAGTACTGAGCCACATCCCCATGACTGAAAACAATATTTCCAACTTCAAAGAGAACCCCCAAATAGGTCAAATGACAGTCAAGAAGAGCAAGCAGCAAAGAGGAAAATCTAGCCTTTCTTCAGCTACAGGAAGAAACAGGTTCTTATAAATGCTTAGACTCTGACCATGGCCAAGGGTTCTCGGTGATAAAGAATGCTTGTACCTCAGAGTTCGCTGAGAGGTGCCACAGGTTGCTGGCCCTGTTGAAGTGGTTTTCCTGATGCATAAAGCCTGGACAACACAGTAACTTCAGCCAGCACCTCCACTACCCAGCCCACTTCATGCAAGTACACTGACAGGAGGGCAATGTAGATGGGGCCACAAGTGCCCGCTGTAAGGCTCCTTCCCATCGCCTAGCCGTGAGCTCACCGCAGTTTGACCAGAGGACTCTTCTCGCTTGCCTCAGCAGCTAGTTCTTCTGACTCTCCTGTAGCTCAGCAAGTAAAATAACAGCTCTCTCCAAACTCTTGTTCTGTACTGATACAACTGGTTTATAAGTTTATAAACCACCAGGGTATGGCTGCTGAACACTTTACCCCGGTACTGAAAATTAAACCCAAAGGAGCCATATTGCTAGCCCTTTTTAAATTTTGTGAAAAGGTCACATTAAGTTGCTCAGATTGGCCTTGATCTAGGGATCCTTCTACTCAGCCTCCTAAGCAGCAAGGATTTTTTTTCTTTGCAGTGCCAGAGCTGAACCGAGCCTCGGGGGCATGGAAGGGAAGCACTCTCTCAGTGAAGTACTCTCAGCTGCTAAATGAAATTCTAACTCCTGCCAGAGATAAAGAAAAGCCAGGACAGAAAGTGCTTCACCAGCCATTTCATTCTTCTTTAATTTTACTCTCTTTGGGCACATTTACTCCTGAAGGAGTTATGCTGGCAAGGCTGACAGCACTGGTTAACACATTTTTTTGCACCAAAGAATAAAATTCTAGATTATCAGGCCCACCTGCTGCCATGCCAGAGCTGTCTCCTTTGCTGTCGAAGACAACTGCTGTGGGGGGAAACGAAGGAAAAGATGGGGCAGAGGAGGTGAGCAAACGTGTAAATACACCTAAAAATTAGGAACTTGGTGAGAAACCCAGAATTTACTTCGGGATAATAAGGAACCACTAAGCAATAGTTTCATTATTTCCAGAAGTTACTGAACTTGGAACCTGAGGTTAAGGCTTTCAGAATAAAGGAAATAAGCTCAAACTGGTAGTGGGAAGAAATGGGGAGGATAGACAGGGTACTGGACTGGAGAATGTTGTTAAAATCGACCAATGCATCTGATGTGATGCACAGTGCGGGAGGGATATCTTCTTTAAAAATTAGGTCTGCAGCAAAAAAAAGCGTCTGGGAGTGAAAGCTTGAGCCCCATTTGACCTTCCCATTTTGCTACTGGGGCTTGCTCTCTTCCTAGTACCTCCTGAAAAAGTTCAGAATCCAATTAATACAGATTTATTAGGTTGACTTCCAACATGTAGTTTAAGGTAGAGTTCTGTTTGGTTTGAATCACTTCGTTTAACTTCTTGTTAATGGTAGTCCTGAGAGTTCGCAACATTGGTGAATCTCCTGCAACCAAGGGTCACATGCTGGTAGAATCACAGGTATAGTTTGGCCGTCATGTTTGCTTGTCCTTGTCCCTCAAATCTGTAGGTTTTGCACCAAGGGACATAGTCCACCATGATGAAATATGCTCAAAGCCATTTCGATAGACACCTCCTCCCCAAGGCTAATAGTGCAGGTGGTCAGGAAAACCTGGAAGAAGCTGCCGAAGTCCAGGAATTTTTGACTTGGTTAGATGAGGACACAGGCAAGTCCCTGTGTCCCCCAGATTTTATTGTAGTCAGAGGAGAAACATCCATGGGATTCTGATAGCAAGTATGCTAGATATAAAACTGATGGAATGCTAACTGGTCCATAAAGGGCTGCACAAGGTAATCTGTGGCAAAGTAGAAAACAAGCCCGAAGGTGATGGAGATGGGAAGGGCTGGCAACGCCTTCTTGAAAATGGCCAGGAGCAACAGTGTAAGGCACAGGCCCTGCGGAGGAGAGACAGGAAAAGGAACATATTCATGCCTGATTATGAAAGCACTGAATGTGAAACAACTCAGTAGCAAGTGCTGCTTAACTTGATACTTTTCTCTGGGGTTAGAAAAACGAGGGGGAGGGCTGGGGATTTAGCTCAGCGGCATAAGCACCTGCCTTGCAAGCAGGCGGTCGTGAGTTCGATCCCCGGTACCGATAAAAATGAAAAAGACAAAAAAAAAAAAAAAAAAAAAAAAAAAAGAAAGAAAAATGAGGAGGGGGGGGAGTGTTAGTGGTGCACCTTTTTTTTTGAGACAAGGTCTTGCTATGTAGTTCAGACTGGCCTTGAACTGTGTAGCCCAGGCCTCAAACTCACAGCAATCCTCCTGCCTCAGCCTCCCAAGTGCTGGGATTACAGGTGTGTGCCACCGAGTCTGGCTTCTGGGGTTAAATTTTACAGCCGATGTTCATTAAATGTGATAAAAGGGCTATAAAACAAAAATGTAGCTGCTGCTTGTTTCTATTTTGGTGCTGAAGACTAAAACCAGGGCCTGGTGTATGCTAGATGTGTGCTCTACCAGAACTCTAGTTTTTGCTTCTTCTTTTTGGTGGGAATTGAACCCAAGGCTTTTATACTGGGCTACATCCCCAGCCCTTAAAAAATTCTGTTTTCTTTTAAGACAGGGTCTTACTAATTCACTGAGTTTCCAAGGCTGAGCTCAACTGTAAACCCTCTTGCCTCCGCCTCCAAGAGTACTAAGGTCGCACCACTACACTCAGCAAATGGTAACTTTTTGACAAAAAGAAAACCACCCTTATTTTCCTTCACTTTACAGAGCTGACTGCATACAACTAATGTTTTATTTCCTAATTCCAGGAAAGAAGTAAAATCTGAAGATATGTAAAATGATTTGAAAAATTAAATAATACTGAAATTTCTATCTACAATACTGTGTGGGCTTTGGTGATTTTGGTCTGGCTGGCTGAAATCCAGGGGCAAAGAGGGCTCCTTGTGCAATGTGGGGAAAAAGAAATGCTCTTAGGAAAATGGATAACAAAATGAGCATGTGAAAAGGATTCTGCTTTCTTGTGAACAGGTACACAGCATGGTTCATTTTTTTACCGTGGTTACTGAGACACAAGCTGTAAACTCTGTAGGCTGGGCACCATTTCAGTTTATTGAGAATAAGTGATTTTTTTTCTTAAAAGGTACCCTACATGGCTGGGTTACAGCTTAGAAAAGCCACATGCCTAGGGTACTGTAAGGCCCTAGGTTTGACCTCCAGCACCAAAAACAAACAAATAAACAAAGATACGATACAGCCAATAAATATTTTCAAAGCCAGAAAACTAACCTTAGAAGGGAAATAAAATACATGAAAATTCTAACTGGTTATGATCTCAATAAATCAGAAGTGTAATCACAAAATAAATGCATAAAAGTTCTCCCACAGACTCTCCTCTAACCCCACACTATTCATCAACAATATAACAGTTTTAGCATAAAAAGCAGGAAGAAATACTTGATGGGTCGTTTACTGAAACCACAGCTGCACAACTTTGGGGTCTGTGCTGTGCTGAGACCTAGAGGGGCTCCATGGTCCCCTCACAACTGAGCTCCAGTAGAGCAAACTTCTGGCCCCTCCTGCTGGGCTCCAGCTCCTGGTTCCTGACCTGAAGGACTTGGAGTTTCCTGGAGAACTAATGGAACTACACAATTAGAAGCCATGAAGACATCTCAGGGCAGAGCTCAGCATTAAAAGCCCCATGTGATTTTCACAAGCAGCCAGAATGCAGAGCTACTCAGCTCAGGCCTAGTTATGCAGGTTTACAAAAAGCTTCTTAGGTGGTTGGCACATTTGGCCACCTGGGGTGAAAACTAACTGCCTTAAGGGGACACAGAACTCAGTTTTCACATCAGGATCCTGACAGTTTTACTAGCGTATACTCACAATTAATATGGCTACAAAACAGGCTATGGTTGTGTTCCAGTCTCCACTGGCAGTCGCTGAGGCTTTACCAACCAGAACACTGTAGAAAATGAAATCTCCCAATCCAAGTTTTACTCCCCCTGAAAAAGGAAAGATTTTTTAATATAAAGAGTTTCCATTATTTACTGATTTCATAATTCAAAAACATGATTCTGAGCTGAGCGTGATGGTGTGTGCCCACTGTCTCAGCTATTCAGGAAGCTGAGGCAGGATGATCATCTGAGCCCACGAGTTGGAGACCACTTGGATAACACAGAGAAGCCCTGCTTCAAAAACCAAAAACTGAAAATATGAACCAGCACTGAGAGTACTGTCACTACATGGTAAACAACCTAGCTCTAGTTAGGTTATTTTTGTTTGAGACAGGGCCTCTGATATTCTAGGTTGGTGTCGAACTCACTTGTGATCCTCCTGATTTAGCCTCCCAGAGTGATGGGATCATAGCCATGTATAACTATGCTCAGTTTTTCTAGGTTTTCTTTCTTTCTTTTTTTGTTTGCTACAAAGGAGTTTTAGATTCTATGCAACTGACTAGAGCCTCAATAGATGTTGCTGTTACATATCAATAACAACAAATCCCAATTGTCACCCATTGAATGCCTACCCCCTACCTAACATATACTAACTAGTAAAGCCTCACAGGAACCCCTGAGGTATCCTTTGTTTCATACAATTCACCTCTGTGTTTGTGCAGAAAATGTGTAGAGCTATATACACAACCATCATCATGGCCCACATTTCCACTGATCCAGGAGATACCCCATACCCATTTACAGTTACCAACTCTTGTGGCTCTAGCTCTAAGTGACCACTCATCTGCCCTCCAGTTCTAAATTCACCTTTTCTAGACATTTCACTTAAATAGACTCATGCAAAATGAAGTCTTTTGTGGTTGGATTAAAGGCTGCTTTGAAAACATATGTGCCTTTTAGAAACCAAGTTCTGGAGTAAACGGAGCCTTCACTGAAACCATATCTGGTTAGCACGCCTGTAGGGAGAGGTGTTATGCAAGTTGGATGCTATGATGGTGAAGAACATGTTTCTAGGAGCTGAAGTCGTGAGGGGCAGTAGAGGGGTTTTCTTTGCACCTACTTTCCTCTGGGTCCTCACTGGCAAGGGTGTTGCTGGACAGTTCTTGGACAGCAGCCCGCGACTCGGGTGTTGAGCGATGAGGCCCCAGGTGACTGTCCCTCTGGGCCTCCCATTCTTCACTAAAGCCACCATCGTCATTCTCTCTACTGGTGTCCTGTGACTCGTTTTCTGTGCCTTCAAGAGAAAAGGGAATTAGAGCTCTGATATTTAGATGTATCTTTTAATGTCTTTAAGAAAAATACATGTAAACAGTAACAACCTGTTATGTAACTAGGTTAATTTAACTAGCTTTTAAACCACAAAGGATGAACTGTGCCCATCTAGGGGCCATTTCCCCCGTGTTTCCTGAGGGCAGAGTCCTGGTTTGCTTGAGTCCCCTTTCTTTGCCCACGTTTCTGGTGGCAAATCCTGACCAAGCCAAGCCACGCCAAGCCAAGCATGGAGAGCCCACCATTCATTCCTCTTCCCTACAGAAGTCCTAGAGGATTCCCTATAGGAATCAAGAGTCCTATGGCTGAGGGATTGTGACTCAGGATAAGCTAATAGTGCTGAGAAACTGTACAGGAAGTTGTGGGGAAATGTTCGCTTTCCCTCTTTTGGAGCTCCTTTCTCCTCCTGTATTTCATGTAATCTGGATGTGATTCCCAGAACTGCAGTTGTGAGCACAAGGAGCAGCAGGCTGAGGGTCGCCCCCATATGCTGAAGACGGCAGAGCAGGAAGAACTGGGACCTTGTTAACACTGAGCCCCCAGGATAACCAACCCCACAGATGCCAATGCGTCAGGACCTCTTTGAGAAATGAGAATATATTTCTTCTCTACAGCACCCGAGTTGTTTCTGTTCTCTGCAGCAGAAAGTTCATGAATGCTGGCACAAACCACAGACTGCAGGGATTAATACTAAAGTGGATTCATGGGGGATGAAGATTTCTTTATGACCAGTCGTTGTGTTTTAATGACTATCAGTCTGACTGAAGACGGTGAGCGTGACTGTTTCTGAGATTCTGCCACACATTAAAAATACTTAAATACCTGCGTGGAGTTGGTTATACTTTCTTCTCCCTCTCTTCTGCAGTGCTGGGAATGAGACCCAGGACTTTACACATATGGTACTAGTCAAGAAACCCACCACTAAGCACACTCCCAGCCCTCCCTTTTATTTTCTATAGAAGTAACACATGCAGTAACACATGCAGAAGCAGCTTTATCATGAATGAAGAAAGCTTGTGCATCTTGGGGCCCGTGAGGGCTTGCAGCAATTCTGTATTGTTCTTTTCCACATTCTTTTTCTTAACTGGGTCTCTATAAAACCTGAATCTTAGCTGGTTCAGATTTTACAGAATCACGGAAGTTTGTTTGTTTGTTTTTTTGGTACTAGGAATTGAACTCAGAGGACCTTATACTTGCCAGGCAGGCCTGTGCCACTAAGCTAATTCCCAGTCCCCCAAATCACATAAGATTTACAAATAAAAATATCAGTGTCTAACTGCCTTGTCCTTCTTCAATCCCATCCTCCTCCACGCATTTTTCTGATAGCTGTTTCTTTTGGCATTTGTCTCCACAATTAATTATGAATAGCATGCTCATGGTGCCAGGTCCTGATGTTGTAATTTTAGGTACTTATTCATACACTCCCCCAAATATATAAATTTAACTCTTCCTATCTATTTATGTTGAGCCCTGCTTTTATATTACTGCTACGCAAAAAGTATTCACAACCAAACTACTTTGCCATAGTACCAATGCATAATTACATTTGTTTTTTTTGAACAATCTTTTCTCTAGAAAAATGTCTTCATTCTCTCCCTTGACTATTTTTTTTCTTTGTAATTTTTAAAGAGAATAAAACCAAGCAAAATAAAACAGAATAAAGCCATCAAAACAAAACAGTGTAAGTGACATAGGATTTCAAAACAAGATAATAGGAAATCAGCACTGGCTACCATAATGCCTCTTATCTTCAAAATTGCTGCCCATACCTTCAGACACAGTAAAAATCAAAGAAAACAGAACAGAACCAACAAAAACACAATAATAAATGCAATAAAGCACTTCAAAACAAGATAATAGTAAATCTAAAATGGCTACTATAATATCTTATCTTCAAAATAGCTGCCCATGTCATCAGGTATAATAAAACCAAACAAGAAGAAACAGAATAAAACCCAACCCAACAAAACAATGAAAATGATACAGAACTTCAAAACAAGATAATAGGGAATTAACAATGGCCACCACGTTCAGAAGGAGATTCCTCATAGATGCTACATTGTGCATTGTTATCCTCTTAATAGATGATCAGACTACTGACTTTAGGCCTGCAAAGTCAGTGAAACAATAAACACTTCCAGCATCATATTTTACCTCAATAGTTTCGCTGTGGCCTGTGTTTTTCCGGGTCAGTCAGTCACTTGGGAGCAGGGGGATCTTGGCTCTTCTTGTCTCCAGCCCATGTGTTGGAAGGGGCTGGCATCTAGTTCTCCTGCCAGTGTCCGGCACATGGTGCTGACCCATGGGGAGGGCTTGACTTCTTGCTGGCTCTCTGCTCTTCTCCCCTGCAGTCCCTGAGTGGTGCTGACTCATAGGAAAGGGCTGGTTTCCTGGTTTTTTCCCCAGCAGCCTGCTCATGGCGCCAACTTGCAGGGAGGGTTTGGCTTCTTACTCTTCTCCCTTGCAGTCTACCTCTTTGACTATTTTCTATGGTTGGGTTGTCCTGAACTCTCTGATGGCATTAAAACAACACATCATCTCTCAGATCTATTATTTTTTTTTCCTTGCACAGACAATGCTGTTGGAACCCCAAGGCCTTCTGTTCTAATCTCTAACTTCCAGTTCTTCCAACAGAGTGGGTTTCAACCAGAGTTTGCACCTCCCTTGCAGGGAGTGTGCAGGAGGAGTTAGAACAGAGAAGACTGTGGCTACTGCAATGCTCTGAGCCACTGCTGGCACTGAGTGAGAGGCAGGACACCACCCATGCTGTGAGGAGGCATGTTCTCCCTCAATGCCCAGGCACTCTCAGAAAGGAGCTCTGCATTCATCCAGCTCCTCCATGCTGCAAAGCCCTTGCCGATGTGTTTCCCCTTATGTAAAACTCTTCTTCCACTCTGCAGTGAGCTGCTGTCACCTGCTGTAAAACTTGGATAGTCCAGGATAAATAGAATTTCCCTACTACAATGTTCACAGTAATTTATACTTTTTGTATAGAATGTATCATAACTGGGAAATATTTATGTAATTACACAAATGCCTGTGTGCCTAAAAAGCTTATGAGCTCAAAACTGTAAGGAATGTCTTCTCGGTGACACTATCTCCAAAGCCTAGCAAGGTACTGTGCACACAAGTGCTCAATCAACATTTGTCAAAAAACAAAACGAAAAATCCTCAATGTACCAGATCCATATAAAAACATGTATGCATAATCACAGATATTTTAATTTTCTTTGGCTAGCACAATAACCAGGTTTGCAGCAACTGTTTCCAATTATTTCCTACTTTTTTATACAGTCTACCACTGGTCTAAGGACAGCTTGTTCTGCTACCTTCCACACTGCAGAACAAAGCCTGACCTAGTTGGGTCCAAAATAGGAGTCCCTAGTAGCAAATGCCCCTGTCGCAATTACCTGAATGATTATGGAGCAGTTTTTTTGACTCTAAACTCTCCCTCTGCTGCCAACTCATATACATTTTCTTGTTTTTCCCTAGTGAGGTTTTTTTGGGGGGCTGGGGATACCAGGGATTGATCCAGGGCCTTCACACTGAACTACATCCCAGCCCTTCTTTTATTTTCTATTTTGAGACAAGGTCTTGCTAAATGGCTAAGTTGCCCAGGCCAGACTTGAACTTGTGATCCTCCTAACTCAAGCCTTCTAGTATGCTAGTCACTAGTCTTCACTTCGCCTGTTTTCCAGGTTCCTCATAAGGTTGGCTCTTTGTTTTCTTTTTTAAAAAATGTTCCTTCCTTTTTTACCACTTATATGTTGTTGTTATTCCTCAGTTCTAAGAATAGCTTCTAATGTGTGTTCTCCTTCATATCTTTCTTCTGTAGCATCCACGTTAGGCCTTGCAAGCTGTCATTGTTGGTCATCACCATTATCCTCTTCCAGAAAGTCACATCCACCACGAATATTTGACCTTTTCCATATAATCATTATCATATCTCAAATCAAGTATATCTGTTACTCCAGTCATGTTGGACAACAGGTTCTCAATTTTATATGTTTGGAGAAACAGCTTAGTTTTTTTTTTTTTTTAAAAAATATAGCCTCCACACCTGTATTATGTATTTAATGTTGGTTTTGTTTTGTTTTTGAGACAGGGTCTCACTATGTAGATCAGACTGGTCTTGAACTCATTACGTGGCCCATGGTGGCCTCAAATTCATGGCAGTTCTCCTGCCTCAGCCTCCAGAGTGCTGGGATTACATGCATGCACCACCACGCCTGGCAATGGTGTTGTATATTTAACCCAGGGTTCCTTGACTGGGTTGTTGAATCCAAGGTCTCCAGACTCCTTAGATACTTATCTGTGTATTTCTCGGGGGTTGCCATAACTATTTCAAGAGATTTTCAAAGCAGTCTATGACCAAAAGAGGTTAAAAACATTGCGCTGTGTAACTCACTGCTTGCCTGTGAGGTGACAATGACCAGGATATTTCCAAGCAAAAATCACCTACTTTGTGTGCTATACTTGGAGTTCTTGGACACCCTTCTTTGGGCCTCGGGGTCTCCTTCAGCCATATTCACCAACCACACCATTGTTGCTATTGGGAAAGACAAAAATCCATGTTAGCACTAGAAATACAGCAAGAAACTGCATGAACAGATAGCTAGTGAGCCATTGTCTTTCTGTGGAAATCACCGATCTTTGTAATGCTGCTTCAGTAGCCATAATCAGATGTCAGCATGTGCTAAAACCCATAGAAGATTCTCTTTGGTTTTAACAGATTAAAAACAACCCTGAAACAGAATGTTTGCTGCAGTGTGTACACTGCAGCTGTTAGGACACATCATTTGTTGTCTGTGAAAAGCACCCAGAAGAAAATCTATTCACGCCAGGCAGCACTCTGAAACGGGCTCTAGAGGGTGTCCTAAAGCAGTGTGAGCCTATCAATGGAAAAGTGGTTCTGGAATTAGATCCCAGGACAAACTGAGACTCATGAAACTTCATGATGGTTGTTATTCTACAGAGGCATAGAATAAACTTCCGTCATGTTATGTTTCATTTTTTAGATCTTTAATAATTTTAAACTATTTATACATGAAATAAAGGTTAAAAGCAATAAACATGAAGAGTGTAAGAATTGGCATCTATGTTCTTTTTACAGAAATACCTATCAATTAAGAGAATGTAAATACTTTAAAACGGTGCTTCTCTTTTTTTTTTTAGACAAAGTCTCACTGTCTAGTACAGTGTAGTATAAACTGGCCTTTGAACTCATGATCATCCTCCTGCCTCAGCCTTCAGAGTGCTGGGATTACAAGCATGTATCACCATGCCTGGCTTTTTAAAAATATATTGTAATCAAAATAAAAAATGGTATCGCCTCTATAGGAGGGGAATTTGGTAATATCTAATCAAACTACATGTGCATCAGCCTTTGACACAAGAATACAACTTCTGACTGTTTTATTTCCCAGGATTGGAGATGGAACCCAGGGAAGCTTTACCACTAAGCCCAATCTTTTATACTTTCATTTTGAGACAGGGTCTTGCTAAATTGCCCAGGTTGGCCTCAATTTGTGACCATTGTTCTTCAGCCTCTTGAGTCCCTCTCCTGCTTTTTGTTATTACTCCTTGATAATTTCATTCAAGTTTTTGAGGAACTTAAAGTTCCTTGAAGAATTTATGAAAGAACTATACAACCAAAGAAGCTACAAGTTCCATCACAACCACACTTACTCATTCACTATGTTCTTGTAATTTCTGAGGTCAAACAAGTGTCATTCCATTATAATTTGTCTAACTAGAAGTCAGTATAAACCAGGTGGGCAATACACTATTTAAACCCAGACCCAATAAAGAGAAACAGAAGGGCAACTGTTGTGTATAAGACACGACTTTCTGTAACTGTACTGGCAATGAAGCGGCGTGGAAGTGGTGTCTTGGTTTACAAACTTAACTCCACCATTCTGGTTGCAAACTGATTTAAATTCAGTGGTTAGGTTCACTGTTTAAAATTTAAATTCTAGGCTTAAAAAACCCCTCAGATTCAATAATTTATAAAAGCCTCACAAGTTTAGTATTTCATGAAAACAGATTTATTTTAGATCTGATCTACACAGAAGTAAAGGGCTGAACCCCTTTTTCCTTATATATGTTGATTTATCACTCAGATATGTGAGAATGTCAAATATTCTGTGATAATTATTTACACAGAATATGCTATATGTGACAGGTATCTTGAAACAACAGAGTACACTTTTTTTCCCTAAAGTATTTAACGTGGGAGGTTCAAAGTATGTTCTAAATCCTCATCCCTTATGGCACCTACATTTGCCATGAGTGAATAGATTTTCCCTCCTTGTTCAACTATGAGGTCAGCTCCAACCAGTGTCCGGTGCTCACCAGAGATGACAGTTTGCTAATGCTCAGTGTAGACCTCAGGCTTTGCTGACCTCTTGTACTTGTAACCATCAAGAAAACACGCCCTCAACTAGCCCATGGGCCCAGGCTGGTAAAGGGAACAAAGCCACCACCAGAAGTCCACCAGCTGAGACGATGAACCATCTGCCAGGTTATAATGAATGACTTTAAAAAAAAAAAAAAATCCCCCAGCCCTCCCCCCTTTTTTGGCTTAAAACTAGGATTTACTTACTGTATCTGTTTCATATCCCTTGGACACAGTAAGATACCTAACAAGTGCTTGCTGTGTGAACAGAAGTGAATCACAACATTGGTATATTTGCTTAAGAGAATCACTATTATATTTCCCATATGTCTAAAATTTTTAAAAAATTTATTATTGTGAAATGATTTTAGGTCTAAAGAAAAGTTGTAAAAATAACACAGAGAATTTACATATATGCTAAACATTTACTCTGATATCCTTAACTGAAAAATTATACAAATTATAATTAAAAATGCAAGTAGAAGGAGTATAAAGAAACGTTTAACTACTCAATCTCTAACTCCTACTTTGCAGAGGTAAGCACTATTAATACATTTTCAGTTTCTTTAATGGATCAGTGGGTATTTTAAATATATAGACATTCGTAAATACGTAATTCTGTTTCTTACTTTCTCCTTTAGGGTTATTGCATGTACTGCTTTAAATTTGGCTTTTTGTACTTAATATATAGTGTGGGGCATTTATTATCTTTTTTTTTGTCTTTTTCCTTTTTATCGGTACCAGGGATCAAACTCACAACTGCCTGCTTGCAAGGCAGGCGCTTATGCCACTGAGCTAAATCCCCAGCCCCTTTTTTGGTCTTTTTGAGACAAGGTTTCACTACGCAGTTCAGGCTGGCCTTTAGTTCACTTTGTGCCCAGGTCAGCCTCAAACTTCCAGTGATTCTACTGCAAGTTTAGCCTCCCGAATGCTGGGATTACAGATATGTACCAGCAGGCCCTGCTGGTCTTGGGCACTTAAAAAAAATAACTGGACATACACAGACATAAATACATTTTTTCCTGGTGTTTGGGTGGGGGGTGCTGGGGATTGAGTTCAGGCACTCGTACATGCTAAACACCTGCTCCATCACTGAGCTACATCCTCAGCCCTATCCTATGCTTTTTATGTAAAACTGCTCCCTTATGATGGACACTTAAGTTGCTTCTAATTTTTCCCTAACGTAAGCACCGCATCAATGACCATCTTTCTACACTCTCATAAGTATATCCCTTAGTATACATTTCTAGCATTCACTATTAACATTTCACATAACATTTTGTATACACCAACATAAAATACATAAGTAGGCTATAATTCCTAGGAATAGCACGCAAGACATTCACACTCAGGCATTCATTAAGAAGAAAACGCTGATGTCCAAAATTTCACAACTCTTTTCTGCCAATAAACATGGTGAGTACATGAAATAATCAGTTTATGTTGCAAAAACAGTGAAAGATCCTAGCATTCCACACAATGGCTGTTCTAAACAGCTGCAGGTGTGGCCCCATCTCCTCCTACAAATGACCTCACTGAGTTTCCCGGAAAGATCCAGGTCACCTAACAAGTGCTCCCAGCGTGACCTCCCTCCATTCCATTGTCTCTCCCTTTAGCTTTTGAGTCCTGCCTTTCCTTCAGGCCAGGTCCAGCTTCCCGTCCTGAGTAGGGAGCAAGCTCTGCCTGCTGTCAGGAACTGTGTGCCATGAATTTTTGGGGTCTTGTCAAATCTTTTCTTCACTACTACTGCTCGGCCTTAGAAAATGACTGGATCTTCCCTCTCCTGGAAATAACCTCAACCTGCTCTCCTCACAGGTGCCACTGCTCTCTGCCCCTGGGACAGGAAGCCTCAGAGTGGTGAGTGGAAATTACTACACCCCTTCTGCACCACCTCTCTGTCTACACCACCACAGCCACTGCCAGCACCAGCAAAACCTAGACGCGCACACAGCCTTCCCTTTGGAACACTATATCTGGTCCTATCATTCTATTGAAATTGCTCTCTTGAATGTCATTAATGATCCCTATAGGATCAACTTAGTCTTTATTACCTTTGACTTTTGAGAGATCCACCTTGAAACTCTACTTTTTTAATAACCCAAAAGAAAATAACCAAAAATAAAAACGCTCCAAAAATAAAACCAAACTAAAGACTGAAAAATAGAAATGACAAAAAAATACATAAAAATGATAATAAGAATAATTACAAGGTAAAGTTTTAAGATGGAGCTGGGCATGGTGGCACAAGCCTGTAATTTCAGTCCTTGGGGACTGAGGCAGAAAGACTGTCACAAATTCGGGGCCAGCCTGGACTTACTTATACAGTAAGTCCAAGGCAATCTGAACTACATAACAAGACTCTGCTCAAAACAAAACAAACGAACAAAACAAAATAAGATTGAGGATAATATAGTGAAATTTATCCTTACTGCCAAATTTTACCTTTTTTCAAGGATAATGTATTAATGTATTGCTTGTATAATTAAAAATTAAATATGGAAAACAATACTCTTCCTAGACAGGTGAGAAACAAAGCAAAAATCAATTATGTATCTAATAAATACATAAAAATGTTTAAATTATCAATAAAAGCAATTAAAAGTACATGGTAAGAGAAGACATTATTTTGCCTACTGGATCTCGTACACACGTGCACACACACATGGATATACGCTAGCATCAATGAAGGGAAGGAAGTGGTACTTTCACATTATGAAAATGAGAGGTAATCTGACAACACCAATCAAGACTTAAAGGTACAATGTCCTCTGACTTAGAAATTCCACCCTAAGGATGTGCTTTGCAAAAAAGTCACGAATTCATTAATCTTATCTGCAAGCACTCTTTGTGATAAAAATGAAATGTATATGATCTAACTGGCAGTTATAACAGAATACCATACAGATATTTCAAGTACGTATATGAAAAAAGCTCATGAAACGACTAAATGAAATAGTCACGAATAGCCGGTTAACTGAAAAACACTGGCTTTTCCAGTTTTCTGGTATTTTCTTCTATTCCCTTTAGTATTCTCTCTTTGGTTTCTCACTGTGTAGTAGTTGGCCAAACTCTACTTTTGGAATTTTTATTTGTACGTGAATTATGCACTCAGTTGCCGAGCTTAACTACCATCTCTGTGCTGATTCTTTGATTCTGCTTCTCTGTTATCAACCTTTCCCCAAGCATTAGGACTTCATTTTTGAACACTTGTTGGAACTTGCTTTTTTCTTTTTCTTGAGACAGAGTCTCACTATGTAGTTCAGGTTGGCTGGACTCGCTATGTAGCCTATGTTAGCCTCAAAAATGTGGTGATCCTCCTGCCTCAGCCTCCTGAGTGGTAGGATTACTGGCCTGTGTTACCACCCCTAGTTGCTTTTTTTTTCTTTCTGGGGATTAGGGGTCTTTTTTCTTTTCTTTTTTGGTGGTACTGGGGATTGAACCCAGGACCTTACATATGCTAGGCAAGTGCTCTACCACTGAGATACACGTCCAGCCCTTTTTACATTCTGAGACAGGTATCATTAAGCTGAGCAGGCTACCTCAAACTTGCCGTCCTCCTGCCTTGCCCTCCCAAGTGGCTGGGATTACAGGTGTATGTTACCACACCCTACTCTCTCCTCCTGGAAATTTCTACCTGGACAGTCCGCACGTCTCACCAGCTAAATTAGACAGTCACAGCTGTATGCAATACTACACAGAACTCTAAACAAGGAACACTTCTTCATCTTTCCTTCAGGTTTCAAATTTCTCTCTTCTGGTGCTAACAGTCAATGATTCTCTCTCTGAAACCTCTCAGCAAGTCCTTCCCCTGGTGGCCACTGCCAGTAACATAGTTCAGAAGTTTCCATCTCTATCAAGGCAAGCAAAACCTATCAGTGATGTTTAATATGCATCCAGTATCTCAGTACCCACCCGTTACTCACCTACACACTGCAGCTAGCTTACTGACAGTTCCTCTGATCATACTACTCTTCTCCTCAAGAACTTTCTATGATGCCCCCCATGACTACTGAATAGCAAATAGATATGTGAACCAGTCAAAGATATCCTTGATCTTGCCCTAATCTGCTTTCCAAAATTCATCTCTTAGTACTACCTCTGATCAGTATTTACTGAGTGATTAGAAAGAGTATGACTCTAAGACCAAAAAAAAAAAACCCCAAAGAAACAAAACAAACAAACAAAAAAAAACAGGCAACACATTCTGAAGAACAGTATAATTTTTGCAGTAAGTTAGAGCAAGATTAACTTGTAGTATGTACTGCCCATTCGCTCGTTCTTTGGTAGCACTGGCGTTAAACCCAGGGCCTTTGCACTGAGCTAAGTTCCCCAGCCCTTGTTTGACATTTTAATTTTGAGACAAGGTCTCACTAAGTTTCTCAGGCTGGCCTTGAACTCACAACCCCTCTAGCCTCAGCCTCCCAGAGTGCTGGAATCATAGTATGCTCTACCACCCATGCATTGCTCAATAATTCTTGACTAATAAAATTTTAAACAGAAATAATGGCTCCCTGATCTCTAGGTGTTCTCCATTTCCAGTCATACTGGAACCAAGGGCATGTAATAACAGCAATTTGCAAGGAAACGAAAGTCTGCAGAGCTTCCACTGATAGTATATATTTAAGATGAGGGAAAGTACCATAATGATCATAATTACATGTGTTTGAGTTCCACAAATTCTAAGCTGATTACTAGGTTATTATCATTTTGACATACTTACAGGAGTAAATGAGAGCTGGGAAGAGTGTTTCATTTCTCTCCTGAGCTGTTTCGACCAGCATTCGAAGTGGACCCTTTGGGCACAAAACAGCCACTAAATCTGGAAAGTGAAAAATAAAAAAAAAAGACATCACATGAAAAGTACTAGGTTAATGTGTAAGTGGGTATGTTAAGAAAGAATCTGCCAGGGAGAAAGTTAATGTTTCCTGTTTTTATATAAAAAGGTATTGAATGAATATGGAACAAATGGTAGGTAAACCAATAGGGATGGGTGGGGGCCACCTAAACAAAATAGACAAAGCCAGATAAAAGATATGAAAATTGCAATCTGGGTTTGACTATTTGCTTAGTCTACTGTATGTTTCTACTGGACTCTAGTGATAGACACAGAGAATGAAGGAAGTTTGAAGGAATGAGGCAGACGTAATAAGGCACAACTATTTTAGAACACACATCAATTTGTGTTAAGCAGAAATGGAGTTATTTCTAAGCTAAGCTCTAAATAGAAGCTTTACACAAAGTGTTTTTAAATATTTTAAAATAGGAAGAGCAGAGGGAGAAGATATCCATCCCTTCTCCTTTTTAAAAACAGTACGAGGCTCAGGATAAAGCTCAGTCGTACAGTAGTTGCCTTGCAGGTATGAGGCCCTAGGCTTGATCCCAGAACTACAAGAAAAAATAAAACAGCAAACAAAGTACATATACTACTTAAGAATACTGGAAACAAGAACATAGCAAATTTAAACAGAAAAACAATTCAGTAATTCTCTGCATGATAAACCTTAGCATTTCTTTAGTTTCCAAATACAAGCACTCCATAAACAGTCAGGTCTCAGAATATATGTGCTGAAAAATGGCTGATTTTAGAAGAATAGCAACAAAGAGAGGAAGCAAAATGTCTAAATTATTCCCAATTCTACCACTATTTCCTTCTTTCTTCTTTCAATTACAAGTTTACTTACATTTTCTGTGTCATAAAGATTCAGAACATAAAAATAATTTCAAAAAGATAACAGGTATAGCTAAATTTATAAAGGAAGACTTGATTTTGTTGCTGTTGGTGGTGGTTTTACTGTATTATGTATTTATGCTAAAAAATAAAACAAACCTTGGGGCAGGGGACTTATGAGCTCAGCGGCATAAGTGCCTGCCTTGCAAACGCGGTCATGAGTTCAATCCTCGGTACCAAAAAAAACCCCTTCGTGTTTGCAAGTGGTCACGTGTCTCTGTCTTATAAAAGCAGTAATAAAGCAAGAAGAAAAGGAACACAGTAACACACACACACACCGAGACACCTCTACTCTCCTTGCACCATTTCCACTTCGATTTGTCTGAATGACAGAGGCACACTTGCCTTACTCTGAAATGATGAGATCGTCAGCTCCTTGAGGTTCCACAAGCTGGAACTACTTTGGTTTTATGACACAGTTTCCCTCACAGAACTTCAAAGTGAAAATCTCATTTATTTTTAGACCAATTAAAGTGAGTGAAAGTGAATTTTTGTTTTGAAAGTTTTAGAACATTTATGAGAAAACATCTTGAGATTTGGAAAAATGAAGGATCACTACCCTAAATACTAGGTGTGAGGCCCTCAGAGGAACTCGAAAGTGAAGGGATAAGCATTTACGGTGTGTGGAAGCAGTCGAGGGCTGATGGTAGCATAACACAGTGGAAAAGACACTGAATTTCACATTCAGATTGGAGATCAAACCATGTAAACGCCTGGTAAATAATTTACATGTATTAAAATTCAAGATTCTTAGTAGTAAGATATAGTTAATAACAGCCTTGCTTATTTCATAGGATTACAGATTTTTTAAAAAGCTAACATTTGCTTTTAGATACTGTTGTAATTACTGAAACAAGTGACTTGTCTGTACCCCCAAAGCCACAGAGTGAGACCAGTGGAGAACCTAAGCAGCTGTCTCCAGATTGCGCGTTCCCAATCACAGCTGCGCAGCAGCAGATGATGGATTCTACAAACCGTTATGAACTCTTTCTGAAAGGCAGGCAACACTCGGCACGGTGGCTCACGCCTGTGATTGCAGCACTCGGGAGGCCGAGGCGGGAGGATCATTGTGAGTTCAAGACCAGCTTGGACTAAAAAGTGAGCTCAAAGCCAGCCTGAACTGCTTAGTGCGACCTTGTCTCAAAAAAGACAAAAAAGTAGGCACAGGAGTACACAACTTCTATAATCCAGACTAGCTGCTCAAATACAGAACTAGTTCAATTCCATTTTTGGACTTTTTCTTTGAAAATGAAGAGGTTTTCAGCTGGGCATAGTGGCGCACTCCCGTAATCCCAGCGCTGAGGCTGGAGGATCATTGCAAGTTCAAGACCAGCCTGGACCACAAAGTGAGCCCAAGGCCAGCCTGAACTGCATAGTGAGACCCTGTCTCAAAAAGACAAAAAAAAAAAAAAAAAAAGAATAGGTTTTCTACTGAAGGTCACCAGACATTTTAACACGTATTAGAGCAATGATAAAACAACATAATCTCTAGAATATAAGAGACCACTGCCTGGCCTCTGAGAATGACTCTTTTTGCTCTCCTGAAGGGGAATAGCAGAGTATTTAGCTCTCTGACTGCCTCAGTTACTCACGGCTGGGGTCTGCTCTGACTTTTCAGGACCCATGTCACATGGGTTGTTAAAGAATCTGAGTTATCCAAGTAATTTTAATTTTACAGGGGTAATTTAGCCAGACATGGTAGCCTGTGCCTGTGATCCCAGCACTGGAGGGGCTGAGGCAGGAGGACTGCCGTGAGTTTGAGGCCAGCCTGTACTATATACTCCCTCTCCTGAAGAACTATGGGACATAACTGCTAAGGGTCTTTCCTAAACCAAGAGAACTAGAAGAGAAAGGAAAACAACAGTGAGGCATTTCTGTGATGAATGAAGTGCCAGCCTTGGATTTTACCGTATACTGAAATCACAGCCAAGATGAGCCATGCAGTCCACTCAGGGAGGTACTTGATGAACACCAGGGCCATGAGGGCACTGATCATAATAAGATATGCCTGCTGCAGTCGAAGGGGACCTTTCCAGTGAATGGAAATCATTCCTACCACACCAAAATTCCAGATCAGGAGTGCAACTGTAATGTAGTCCACAGCAACATTGTAGGTTTTAAACACTTCCCTGAAAAAAAAAACATAAAAAGATTTATGTGCAGTAATTTTAACCAAGACATTGTTCAGAACCACGGTTCCCAAATTTGAGATATTCAAATGCTGCCTTTATATTTTCACCATCTTCTATGTTAACATTTTTCTTTAAATTCATTTTTCCTCAAGTGGAGCTATTTTTGTTTTTGCAGTTACTAGGGTTCGAGCCCAGGACTTCACATATGCTAGGCAAATACTCTACCCTTTAGCTATCCCCCTAATCCTTTTGAGACAGTCTCACTAAATTGCTTGGCCTGGCCTGGCACCTGTGATCATCTGGCCTCAGCATCCCAAGCAGCTGGGAATAAATACATGCACCACTACATCCTTGTGGCATAAACTGGGGTCTAGGGGGACCCATTTCTTACTTTTCTGTTCTAAATTTGTATTCTGGCATAAAAGTAGCTGGCTGTGCATCTTAGTACCTTTCCCTAAGAGATATAGGAAGCAATCTATGTGTTAACCCACTTGGAATGTGAAAGGCAAGGAGTGTGTGTGCAGGTGTGCAAAAGTGACAAAATTGGGATTTGGACCCACCTTTATGTGCTACTGAATTGGTTTTATGTATGTTTACCTGAGCATCACAGAAGGTCCAACAGACTCACACCATTCCAGGATTTGTTAAAAAGAAAGGTTTTTTTCTGATTTTTCTGGTAGAAGTAGCCCAATTCAGTACAAAGGCACATGAAAAATCAGATTTGCAAGTTTTGGGGGAGGTCAAAGTAAATCATCAGATTTCTTAGGCATGGAAGAAGATGATGATTCATTATGGTAAAATACGTGGTGTGTGTATATGAAGTGTAAATGTGGTGTGTGTGTATGAAGATGATAATGACAATGATGATGATGATGATGATGACCACAACTTTGACATTGGCCACGTGAGCTAAAGTACCTGTGACAGTGAAGTGGTGCAAGAATTAACTGATACAGACACAGGGAATGGGGAGGAGGGGTTGAAGGGAGGGTAGGAGAATGTGGGGAAAAAAAAGAATCAAGTTCAGACACAGGGAATGTGGACCTCCTTGATTCAGATGACAAAACAGCAAGGTGAGTACATATTTGACTAGTTGAAATGTTATAAAATGGAATGATCCAATGTTAGATCTAGGTTCAAAAATACAGTGAAGATCTTGGTTGGGGTGAAATGTACTGGACAGAATGCCAGCACTGCCATTCAATGTTCGAAACTGCTGCAAGATGCTATGCAACACACACAATGCAGTAAAACATTCTGTATATGCTGATAGCCATATTTTAAAATGTACTTATTATGACACCTCAGTAGCTGAACTGAAAGCGTTCATGGGTCTGCTGTATTTAGCTCAGTTTTTTTTGTTTGACTTTTTGAGGCAGGGTTTCACTATGTAGTGTAGGCTGGCCTTGAATTCACTTTGTAGCCCAGGTTGGCCTCAAACTTGTGGCAATTTTCCTGCCTTAGCCTTTTCAGGCTGTGAAAGGTGGTATATGTGCCACCATACCAGCCAGCATAGATTTCTTATGTTGACTGCAAAATGTAAAAGACTTATTTGATATTTTATTTTATTGACATCTTATTTCCCTGCTAAGTGCATGTTCTACAATACAGTAGGAAGCTTCTGACAAAACAGGAAGGGAAGGGAGGTAACAAGACTGTCACTTAGGAAAGGAAAGCTAAGCACATGTCTCGTCTGTGTAAGTGGGATGTGTGCAGTTAACATGCAAATGTCATGTGTGAAGAGTACCTTGGGTGTGATAGTTGAAGCAAAGCTTATTTTAATGGTAGAGTTCTATTGGTATTTTCATTGTAGTTCACATAGAAATTTACTTCTGATGTTATCTTTTAGGTTTTGTAAGTAAGTATGCAGCTGATATGAAAATGTTGATGTCTATTCTAAATGCACAATGCATATTGCATATTAAGAATTCAATTTCATTAATATTCTATGTTCCTGTTAACTACAAACTGTGTAACACAATAAGAACCTCCTGAAAACAACAGGACCACTGAGATGCTGTCTGCCCTATAAAAAGGTCAGGAAAGCAAAAGACGTGCTGTTAATGTAAGCAATGCATGTGTACGGAATGTGCTACAGTACAGTGGTCATGTGTGCAGACTGCCTTAGGTGTGCAAACTGAAGTAACATTTTTTTTTTTGTAGTACCGGGAATCAAACTCATGACCTCATCATACTTGCCAGGCAGGCACTTACGCCACTGAACTAAATCCCCAGCCCCACGATTTTTTTTTTTTGCAGAGTGCTACTGGTATTTTCATTGTTCTTCAAATGAGAATTTATTTCTGATGTTCTTTTTTAGATTGTGTACACCAAGAATCAGGAAATGTTGAAATCTAGATGTTTTATAAACACTCAATAAAATATTTAAAAGCTCAACATTTTAGTTTTGCAATTTTTTCCTGTTAAGTACTCATTGTTTAATAAAGCTCATAAAATTAAAATTAGTAATTCAACAGAAATATTCTAAACAATAAACATGGGTCTGACAGATTCACATTTATATGCACCTTGATGACAAAATTAGTCTTATGCTCCAAGGGCTACACAAGTACCTACAAATTTTACAGCTAGAAAATAAATGATGTCATTTTCATACAATGAAATTTAGTGCACCCATTAGAAAATATGTATTTTTAAGACATACATACACAGAACACAGCATGTCAGATGTCCTAGGTAACTGAAGTATTTATTTCAGCACATGGGTTAAAGAGACCATCCAAGAAGATGATTCTTCCCCTCACTTTGAAATTGCAAAATAAATGCTGAAATTTCTGGATAATGTTGCTATGTGTATTAAGCATTTCTCCAATATACTAGCATGTAAACAAGATGAAATAAACTAGTGTCAGTCTTTAGGATATAATACAGGAACCATGAATCAGATAAAACTCACAAAAGATACTATGAACAGTAAGTTTCCTTCCCTACTCTCTCCCAGGTTCCACTCTAGAGGAATGTATTAATTTGCTGTGCATCCTTCCAGAGAGCCTAGGAAAATATGTATATAAATACTTTTTTATTAGATACTAAATGAGAGCGTGTTATATTTACTGTTTTATAACACACTTTTTCTTTTAACAATACTTAGGGAGAACTTTCCACATTAGCAGATTACAGCTGCCTCAATCTATTTAATTACTACACTTCATGGATATAGCATAATTTAATTTTCTATCAGTTTAGACTAATCTTTCTCTAACTGATACATTGCTGCCATGATTATTTCTATACATTACTGGGTTCACTTAAATTGTTTAATGTTGTGCCAAACATTTGGTGGGGGGGTCTGGATTTTGAACCTAGGGCTTTTACAGTGAGCTGCATCACCCCACCCCCTTTTAAGTTGTATTTTGAAGTACAGTTTTAAGTTGTCAGGCTGGGCTCAAATTTAACACTCTCCCTGCCCCATTCTCTCATGGACTGCTGGGATTACATGCCTGTTACCCCATATCTGGCTACCAAACTGCTTTTAACAAAGTATATTAGTAGGTAAGAGTTTATTTCTCTGCATTTTTGCCAGTTAAGATATTACCAAGATATTTATCTTCATTAACTTAATGTGCAGTTTTAATGCAGTCATCTTATGAGGAAGATGTGTAAATCTTTCATATATTTAAGAGTAATTTGTGTGTGTGTTTTTTTAATTAGCAGTTTATCATTTATCCTTTGATTCTGTTCATGGTATGTTTTAGATCTTTTATCCATTTGGAATTCATCCTGGTATAGAGATAAAGAAAGAATCTAAAATTTTTCTTCCAGTGAACTACTTGATTATCCCCCCACCAATTAGAAAATAATTCATCAAAAGTCTACTAATGCTGTCACCTTTAACATAAACTAAATTCCATTATAAATCCGAGCATTTTTCTCCTAGACTTTCTAATCTTATTCACAGTGCAGTATCACTATGGGGGGGGGGTACTGGGATCGAACTCACAACTTGGTGTTGGCCAAGCAGGCACTAATGCTGCTGAGCTAAACCTCCGGCCCATGGTATCATTATTTTTATATTTTATTTTTGGTGGTACTGAGGCTTGAACTTAGGAACTTTGTGCTGAGCTATGTCCCCAGCCCTCTTAAGACAATGTCTCACTAAATTGTCTAATCGGGGCAAAAAACTTGTGATCTTTCTGCCTCAGCCTCCCAAAGTACTGGAATTATAACAGCTTGCCACCATATCAGGCTCAGGAATCGCTGTGTTAATATTGCAGTTCTATAATTTCTTATCAGGTAGGCCTAGGACCCTTGTATTATTTTGCAATTCCAGAAAGTGAGATATTCTCATTTAATTTTCCAAGTGAGTTTTAGACTCATCTTGTCCAGATTAAAAATAAAGTCCAATTCAGGGTTAAAAATAAATCCTATAAAAATAAAATCAAGATGCATAGGTCACTGCAGACAAGCCCTCCCTGCAAGTTGGCAGCATGCATGGGCCTCTGAGGAGAGAACCAGACACCAGCCTCTTCCAGCACATGGGCTGGGAGACAAGAAGAGCCAAAGTCCACCTGCCCTCCTGCTCAAGTAACTAGATGATCTGGAGAAAAACAGGCTGCGATGATGGCTACTGAGGTAAAATACAACTTCACGCTTGTAAGGTTTAGTGCTTCACTGACTGCAGGCCTAAAGCTGGTAGTCTGATCATCTATTCAGAGGATTACAATATGCAGTGGAGCATCTATGGACAATCTCCTGAAAGTGGTAGCCATTGTTAATTCCCTATTATTTTGCTTTGAAGTCCTCTATCATTTTCATTGTTTTGTTGGGTTGTGTTTTATTCTGTTTTGTCTTGTTTGTTTTTAGTTTATCTGATGGCATGTGCAGCTATTTCAAAGATAACAAGATATAATATGGTAGCTATTTTGGATTTACGATTATCTCATTTTGAAGTGCTTTATTGCATTCATTGTTTTGTTTTTATTGGTTTTTTTCTTTTTTTGAGTTTTACCATGTCTGAAGGTATGAGGGGCTATTTTGAAGACAAGAAGAGGCATTGTGGTAACCACTGTTGATTTCCTATTATCTTGTTTTGAAGTCCTGTGGCATACTGTTTTGTTTTGATTGGCTTTATTCTGTTTTGTTTGGTTTTATTCTCTTTAAAATAAAAATTACAAAAAATAAATAAAATATTTTATTTTATAGCAAATTTTAAAATAAAGAAAATCAATATTTTATGATATTGAGCCTTTCTATGCAACCTGGTACAACTTTCATTTGTTTAAATCTTCAAGGTATTCAGAAGCATTTAAAAATTTCTTATATCTTGCACAGCAATTATTTAACCCTCAGGTTGGTTTTTATTTTTGCTGCTATCATAAATAACATTTTTCCTTTCATTAAATTTTTTTATAAACCTAGTTGTTTATGGGATGTGTTAATAGGCATTTATAAATGTTGTATGTAACTGTCTTACCATACTGACTTAATGATTCTATTTTTGGTTAGTTCTAATGCCAACTTATCGTCAAATACTGATAATTTAACTTTTTCCAAATTATATAGCTCATTCCTTTTTCCCACTTAACTATGTCTGCCAGAGCAAAATTAGACAACAGTGTAGTAAAGGAAACCATCTTCTTACTCTGACCTTAATAGTTTCTCTGTGAGGGTGACACTGGCTTTGAGAATGAGATCTCTTTGTTTTATCATGTGAAAGAAGTAACCATCCACAGGATTTGTTTTATTAAGATCGGATCAGGAAGAGGTGCTAAATTTTACCAGATGCCTTTTACTCTGCACAGAAATGATGATCTACTAATGTGGTGACTTACCCTGAAATTTCTTAATAATGAATGTTTTCCATTTTGCAAACAAACTCTATTTGGGCTATAATGTATTATTCTTTTAATGTATTCCTGCATTCTGTTCGTTAATATTTATTTATTTTTACATCAATAAATAGGACTGGTCCACAGTTTCCTTTTCCTTGATAACTTATAGGGTTTTGGCTTTCAATCTTATGTTGGCTTGATAAAATGAATCTAGGCTGACATGATGGCACATAGCTACTCAGGAGGCTGAGGTAGAAAGCTATTAAGCTTGAGCCTAGCCTCAGAACTTGGCAAGGTTCCATCCCACCAATAATAATGATAAGCATCGTTGGAACCATAATAACCTGGAAGCTTTTTTTCTTTATCTGTGTTCTGTGACAGTTAAAATACAATTAGAGCTATCTGTGCCTTAAAAGATTTAGTGGAAATCCACTTAACAGAAATCATTTGAGCCTCTACTGTTGTGGATCCTGGTAGAAGTAGTGTCTGATTTATTTCACGCCACATTACTATCTCAAAGTGCATCCATTTTCTAACAAATAACTCAAGTTTATCTTTCTTTATGGTACAGCAGTATTTATTAGTTTTACTGCCTCCCTTCCTTCTTAATTTAAGAGGTAGGAAGATTTGAAAATTGTGTCCTGCCACTGACACTGAAGAAAGACAGGCCAGTAAATCTCTGAATCTAACTATCCTCATCAATAGAACAGCCCAACTATAATTTCACATGTGAAAATTTCACGTGAGGTTTGATAAAAACAACAGAAAAGTGGCTGGGAATTTAGCTCAACAGCATAAGTGTCTGCGTGGCAATTGCAAGGTCTTGAGTTCAATCCCTAGTGCCGAAAAAACAAAAACACAAAACAAAACAAAACCAGAAAAGTCTAAAAATCAGTAAATTCATGCTTAAATACATTCTTAAAATCTTTTTTAAACATTCCAATTTATGTCTATCTGCCTCTATTTTCTTCTTTCCCCCGCCACCCTTTCTTTCCAGACAGGGTCTTGCTCTGTCTAGAACTCACAATGATCCTCCTGCCTCAGCCTCTCACTCTTTTAAGTGCTGGAATCGTCACCATCAGTGCAGGTGTGCGTCACCAGGCCTAGCTGAGAATATCCCTATGGATAATACGACTCATCTTTTATATTCCATATATTTATGTGGAAACTATTATAACTTAAGAATAATTCATCAGTAAGAGGCATGGCTTTAAGATAAGTTACAGAGCCCAAACACAGTTTAAAAGGAGACTAAAAATTACACCACTTACCCCAAGTAAATGAATGAAAAAAAGAACAGCAACAACAGAGATGAAATAATAAGCCAGGCGTGAATGACCTAGGAAAGAAAACATTTTAATATCATCAACAGATTATGAGCTTAGTTTACTTCACAAAATAATGCTGAATTAACCTTTACCAAGGCAACAGGCCAAATATGTTAATTTGATGTTTTAATGTGCATTTTTTAAACCAGTGAATAAACACATATACATACATTTATCCAGCTCTCTATCTATCTGTCATCTACACTGTATTTCCTTTTTACCTTCTCTGTTCAGATTTTTTAGACTTATTATTATGTTTGTAAGTGTTCTTCATGTTTAAAAATATTAGCCTTTGCCTGTAATAATGATTGTAAAGTTTTCCTAATTACAGTGATCATTGATGTTATGATTTCTTGAATCACTGCCCGAATTCAAAGCCTCTAAGGATGATGATTAAATAGCATCCCGCTTTCTTAGAACATCAGGCAGTGGGCAGGCCTTTTTCATCAAGCAAAAACTGCTAGTTAACTTCCTTATACTAAGTAAGGGCTGGAAAAGACAAGAGCTCTGTGTCAGTGCACGAGTATCTCTCTGACGCTCAACTCTGCAGGCAGAAATCATGTGACTTCTATAAGTTATAGTTCCATCTATAGCAAATGATGTGCAATAATCAACTGTCTTTCCTGTTGCTACTTTTGTAAGGATCACTTGGTCTTTTCTAGCTTCTTGTACTTTTGAAGGCATTGCACAATCAACCACAGATATGAGAAGTCCTTGGGGTTAATTTCAAAACAGGTTCTGGCAAGCTTCTGAATTTTTCACTTGAAAACTCTTTTACTTTACATTAGGAGTCAAAAACAATTTCTATAGAGCTGCCTATGCTTGCTAAGACATGAACATCAAAAAACAAAACATAGCTGGACAAGTGTAAACACTTCAGATTGCATGAAATTCAGCATAATTAAAGGATGCACAGAACTGACCCAAAAAGAGATGAAGACAGGTTCTAGACATATTTCACCCTCTCTCACCAAATACAAACACAAAACAACAGAAAGTATGCCATAGCTAGCTAAAGACTATGAAAAGTAGAGAGCAGATAGATGGGCTGGGGGACTGGAAGTACCACCAAATTAGAATGAATTCACCACTTTTTCCCCTTTGAGATCCACCTTCCTCCACTTGAACTCACCACCACCTGGGTTGGCATTAGTAAGACAGCAGGAGCTGCAGAAGTCTACAGGCCTAAGGAGCAGAAATGGGTCTGCTGATATGCAGAGAGCTGTGAAATTTTTTTTCTTTTTTCTGGTCCCATGCCCCCACTCCCACACAACGTGGGGAGGTAGCAATGGGGACACAGAATCCCACAATTCAGAGAGAGAACCTTCCTTCTTGATTGGAGGAGCTGTAGTCCTCAGAGAGTGGATAAACAGCCCTTGCTTATTTCTCTCTCTGACCTCTCAACTCCTGGCCCTTTCACCAGGGAACCACTAAGCTGCAGGAATGGAAGAAAGAAGCTCAGAGAAGCAAGGAAGTACCAGCTCACAGAAATGGAGAAACGTGTAAAAGCAACCTTTCAAAGCTGTTCACGAACCTGTGGGCCCCCTCCAAGGTGTGGATTTGACCTTCATGAGCATTCAGACTCTGACAACTGAGTTCCAGACAGAGACTGGTGAACGGTGGCACACACTCTAATAAGCAACACAAAGGCTTTGGATCTGACGTGGTAACTAGTCTATAGCAGGCTGGCTGCAATGTGAGACCTGAACCAATCAGTTTAACTAGCCAACAAAACAAAAATATCAACATCCTCCATAGACTTTAAATAAGAGCAGAGCTCATACTGCACATCATATTTTAAATGTTTTAAATATTTTAAAAGATACAGTCCAAAATAGCAGGCATATAAACAACTAGAAAATCTCAACTTACATCAAAAAAGTTTCAATAAAGAAGAAGACACAGATATCAGAATTTTTTTAGTTATAAATTCTATAGTCTGTCTGTCATTCTTTTTTGGTACCAGAGATCAAACTCATGACCTCACCCTTGCCAGTGCCACTTATGCCACTAAGCTAAATCCCTAGCCCTAGAGTTTATTTTTCAAAGTCATCTACCAATTTGTGATTTTTATTTATTTTCTTTTTTTTACGCCAGAATTCTAAGTTCTTAAAGCAACTATTATAAAAATACTCCAAGAAGTAATGGTAAACACTTGCAATGACAGGAAATACACAAAGTCGAGGGAGGGTAGAATAAAGAATCAAATGGAAATTTTTAGGGCTAAAAAATACAGCTTAAAAAAAGTTGACTGTATGAACTCAGCAGCAAGACGACAATGGAAACAGTCAGGGAACTGGAAGCTAGATCAATAGAAATTACTCAAATGGAATAATAGCAAGAAACAGATTAGTAAATGAATGAACAGAACAGCTCAGATTACGTATTCCTTATTTGAAACATTTAGGACCAGAATTGGTATTTCACAGATTTTTGGACTTTGGAAAATTTGCATTGAAAAGCTAATAAAAAAAAATCCAATTATTTGACTTTGGCACAAAATGGGGCCTGGAGACACAGCTAAGTGGCAGAGTATGTGCTCAGCGTGCTCAAGGCCCTGGATTCCATCCCGAGCACCCTCTCCCCAAAGTTTCAGATATGGCCTTCAAAAACCTGAGCAAGCTGGGTGCGGTAGCACACATCTATAATCCTAGCACTTGGGAGGCTGAAGCAGGAAGATGACCATCAGTTTGAGGCCAGTTTGTGCTACAAAGTGAATTCAAAATCAGACCAGGCTGAACTGTATAGTGAAACCCTGCTTCAAAAAGAAAGACAAAACAAGCAACAACAACCACCACCAAACAAACAAATTAAAAAACCAAACTTTGAGTAGAGTGTCGTGGCATGAGTCTCCAGTTCCAGCTACTCAGAATGGCTGAGACAGGCAGACAGCTTGTTTAGGGCCCGCCTAGCCAAGGTGGAAAGACTCAAGAGAAAGAAAGCTTCAGATATATAGATGCTTAGTCTATAAAAGGTTATTTGTGTTAGGTTGAGGGTAAAGGTAAACATGAGGATAAAGAACGTAATACTAAACAATTTTTTTTTTTTTGTCTTTTTCCTTTTTATCGGTACCAGGGATCGAACTCACGACCGCCTGCTTGCAAGGCAGGCGCTTATGCCGCTGAGCTAAATCCCCAGCCCCTTAAACAATTTTTTGAAGAAATAATGATTGAAAATTTCCTAAATTTGGCAAAAGGACATCAACTGCAGATCACAAAGTTCAGTGAAAAAACAAAGTCACAGTCACATAATGAAACTGAAAACAGAAGAAAATCTCCAAAGTGAACAAAAAAATGACATTACTTTTAGGAGAAGGATTTAAATCTGATTTTCATCAGAAGCTATCAAAGCTGATAATGAATACTTTCTTTTCTTGTGGCACTGGAGACTGAAACAATACAGACTTTAAAATGCTGAAAGAAGAGAACCAAGACACTTCTAAATCTGCTAACATCTTTCAGTAGTAAAAGTGAAGTGAGAGTAGCACGGAAGGAAGGCGGGCTAAGGGAAAGTGAAGCCAGCAAACCTCTGAAAGAACTACTCAGCGAGGGCAAATGATGCCGGAAGGAAACTCAGAACATCAGGAATAAGCGAAAAATGACAACAAACGTTATGACAGTATTTTCTCTTAATGTCTTTTCACCCCACCCTTTTGGTTTTTAGGTCCAAGGGACTGACCCTGGCGCTTTCCCACGAAGCTACATTTCCAGCTTTAATATAGTCCTCAAAATATGCTCCATGGCTGAATGAAAATTATACATTGTCTGATGGGCAACTTTCTTTTTAGAGGTGGGGGGTCTCTGTCGCCCAGGCTGGCCTTGAACTACCTTCCTGCCTCAGCTTCTCCAGTACCTGGGTTTACACTGTATGCCATCATGCCTGGTTTTCTGATAAGCTTTTTAACACATGTAGATTTAATATGTAAGTCAATAGTTAGGTAAAGAGAGGAGGGTAAAGAGATGTATCTAATAGTAGGGTTCTTACATTTCACTTGAAGTGGTAACATAGACCCTAAGTAGACCATGAGGAGTTAAAATAGATTGGCTAAAAACTCCTATATCTAAGAAATTTACAGCTTGTAATATTCCAAAAATGGAAATTCTAGGTTCTCACAAAGTTTACCACCAAACACTTCAAGAAATGGTGTCAGTCTCTCCTCAAAAATAGAACAGAACACACACTTCCCAACCTGTTCTATGAAACCACTATTATCTTGTATTATGGTTTAGATAAACAAATGTTCTCCAAGATCCTCATGCTGTCATAAAAAGGCTTTCAGGCTGGGGATTTAGCTCAGTGGCATAAGCGCCTGCCTTACAAGCATGCGGTTGCAAGTTCGTTCCCCAGTACCAAAAACAAAAAGCTTTTGGAAGGCAATTGGATTAGGGGTCACTGCAGCTGACTGCTGTTAGGAGGCAGAGTGTGGTAGGATGAGGAGGGGCACTGGGGGCATGACCTGGGTATTTCTTAACCCATTTCCTCCTTTCCCTCTGTCTCCTTTCTGCTAGCATGTGGGTAGTTTTCCTCTGTCCAACCCTTCTACTGTGCTTTCTCGTGGAGCCAGTCCATGGACTAACACTATGAACCAAAATAAATGTCTCCTTCTTTTAAGACACAGGTTTTAGGTATTGTACTTTGTCCAAGTGATGAGGAAGGCAACTAAGACACTCTGATTCAAAACTATTCAAAGATGGTATGAGAAAACTACCTCTGTATCTTGAATACAGATGCAAAATCCTCAATGAAACATTTGCAAATTGAACCCAGTAAAGTATAAAAAAGAATGAACCACATCAATGGGATTTGTCCCGAGAATGCAAGGCTCATGCATCGAGGACACATCTATAATTCAGCACTTTGGGATCCAAATTTTAATCTAGCCTGGGCAACTTAGTGAGACCTCAAAATAAAGAACAAAAAAGGGCTAAGTGCAAAGGCCCTGGGTTCAAGCCCTGGTACCACCACTACAGAAAAAAAAAAATCAGTTTATTAATATAGTACAGAGAAAAAC